GGTTGGCTGCGGACAACGTCTTGCAGATGGAGATTGTCACGCCCCTAGGCAAGATCTTGACCCTTAACGAGGCCCAGAACTCTGACCTATTTTGGGCTATGCGCGGTGTAAGTGCGCCTCACTCTTGAGAGCCTGGCACCAGTACTCACTTCATCAGGGAGGAGGGTCAACGTTTGGTGTTCTCACCTCCATCACCTTCGCGACACACCCTTCGCCCCCAATTACTCACACAGCGTGGGCGATGCTCACTGAGCTCAGGTCATCCATTATCCCAGATCTCGCTGCCTACTTCCTCTCAAACGTCCCTTCCCTCGAGAAGGCGGGCCTCGCGGGCTACGCCCTGATCAACTCGCACATGCCGAATCCCGTCAGCTCCCCAGGCCTCCCACCGAACGCGGCTGGCGTCATCGGCATTTCTCTGATGCAGGATGACACGGACCGAGAAGAAGTCAACAGAATCTGGACGTCAATCAACCAGACTGTCAAGGAACGCTGGCCCAACGTCACTTTTGCCAAGATTACTACCGAGTATCCGTCCTGGCTTGACTTCTACGATAAGAATTATGACATGAATAAAGGGGGCATCAACAAACTGCTAGCTTCTCGTTTACTGGACGAGAAGGCTTTGACGGGAGATCTGGACGCTCTTGCTAGCGCGGTGAAGACGGCCACTGATAATGTGGGCGGCATGTATGCCTTTTTGGTATCAGGTAGGGGCGTACACAACGCGAAGCCTAGAGGCGGAAGTGATGCGGTTCACCCGGCATGGAGGACTGCCTATATTCATGCGAGTAAGTCGAATTTATTCGTCTAAGAGGCGTTACCCGAGCTAAATATTGTTTCCCACAGTCACTGCTGTAGGATGGACTTCGTTCAATGAGACGTCCAACAGCGAGGCCGAGAAGAGCATTTACGACTCGGTCGAAGGGTTCCGACAGTTGACACCTGGCGGGGGATCCTATTTGAATGAGGTAAGTCAGACACAGCATGGGAAAGGAACAGTCTCGAATCTCCTACTAACATGGTACAGGGTCTCTCGTACGAGGATGACTGGCAACACACCTTTTGGGGCACGAACTACGAGCGTCTTCTCGAGATCAAGAAGACCGTCGACCCAGATGACGTCTTCTGGTGCCAGCCTTGTGTTGGAAACGAGGGGTGGAAGCAGAGAAGCGATGGGCGGCTTTGCAGAATCTAGGCTGACACACTCAGAAGTCGTGTTCGTCGTAATATTGCCGTTCCCAGGCTAGAACCAAGACTGGATAATGTCACTCCTATTCTATCACTTCAATGGACCTCGTGGCAATGACAATAAGATCTAATGAAAATTCGGATTAAGGTCTACTTGGACTCTATAGCCGTGGTTTATGACTTTCTAGTCGGGTTCATAGCCTTCACCCAAGGCTTCCAGATATCCTCGATAGTCTCGGGCGAGTTCCAACCGTTCCATTCATAGTTGGTCAAACCCCACGTGTCAGGCACACCTTGAGCGCCGGAGCGCACACGGTAGCTACCAGCAAGACCCCAGACCATCCAGCTGACGTTGTGCTTGACGGTGTAATCCCTCAGACAAACCTGAAGTGTGTCGTTGCGAAGCGTGTCGTCTTGACCATTGCCAAACTCGGAAAAGATGACGGGCGTCAACCGGCTCGCCTTGGGGCAGTCATTCGTAACATTGCAAGCGGCGGGCTTGTTGATGCCCAGCGCGTTGAAGCCGTTGCGGTAGAGACCAGCCTCAATAATGGGACACGTCCCCGTGTCAACGTCCTCGCTCATCTTGTACAAGTGCAGTTCCCAAACAAGCTTGTCCGCCCAGGCGTGGCTGTCGAGGTCAAACACCTTTGGCTCGCGGCGAGAGGCATCGCGGATGGCGGTGCACTTGTAGCACGGCGCCGTCAAGTAGTTCTTGCCCGATGTGAGAGCAGACAAGTCCTGGCCGTACTGCATGCCTCCCCAGAGGATGAGGACGTCCGAATTAGCCTCGTGGATGGCGTCGGCGCCAGCGGAGAAGTTGCCGACGAGCGTCTCCCAGTTGTAGTACAGGTTCGTCACGTTCCACGACTCGCGCATCTCGTTGCGGAGGGAGAGGGAGACGATGTTGGGGTGGGACTTAGCCCAGTTGGCGACGTAGGAGAGGCCGCGGCGCCAGTGGGTGGTGTTGAAGTTGACGTCGTCGAACCAGGCGTTGCCGTCCGTGTGGGAGCAGCACCACTGGGCCTTGCCGACGTGGACGTCGGGGGAGATGAAGATGCCGCGCTCGTAGGCGGCCTCGGTGATGGCGGACCAGATCTCGAAGCGGGTCGTCTCGCGGGTCCAGGTCGGGTTGTTGCGGATGATTTCGTTGGTGACCTTTGTGCCGTTGACGAAGCCTAGGGCTGTGATCATGGCGACCTCGAGGGGGACGTCCTCGCCGGCGCGGTCGTAAATTTGGTCGACCATCTCGATGGCGTAGCCCCTGAAAAGAGTGTGAGCTAGGGGTTGTTCAAGTTGTACGATGAGAGTTAAGGAGGCTTACATGCGAATGTAGTTGAAGCCGACGCTCTCGACATCGTCGAGAATCTGATCAACCGAGGCCCATTCCAGGCCCTCAGGAACCATAGTCTCGCCTTCGTGGGTTGTTAGTCTGGTGGCCTCTCAGAACTGTCCTAAATGTTGAACGTACCACTCATCGGCCAGTTAGTACCAGCCCATGTCACGACCTCACCGCGGGCATTGACGATGTCACGTCCGCGGGTACTGAAGGGAGCGTAGGGCCATGAGCCGCTAGTCTGGTTACCGGCCTGTCTCTTCACGGCTTGGTGAGAGCCATAACGAGGCGAAGCGGGAGTCTTCATGTACTGCGCGCATGTCGACGACACAAGCGCCGCAAAGGCGATGGCAAGACCCTTCATTGCGGAAACAGAGACTCACGTAAAGACCTACGTGAGAAGCAAAGCTGCAATGGGAAAAGAGAAGGTTACACTGGCGAAGAAGAGGAGGACGGTCTCTCTCTTAAAAGGACGTAACAGCCATCAAAGATACTTACTGGCTAGGCGCATCTATGGATGGCCCGGAGCCATTGGGCAATGGCTCATTCGGCTCCGCATCCCCCGCACCGTTATTTTCCTCGTGTTTAATGAGCATCGTCATTCGACCCCGATCCGATCATGGACCAACATCGGCTCCCAAGCTACGTTTGGGTTGGTCCTGGGCGAAGGGCGGTGGGCTTTTTACCGAAACTATTTCAACCAAGGTTTGGGGCCGGTCGAGGCCAGGATTCCCCCCATGGAAACGACTTCCCCGAGGTGCATCTGGTGACGGCATTGGGCCGCTTGAACTGGTGGAGTCTTGGAGAAAGCTCTAAGCAGGGGTTTACCCCGCATTCAATCATGGGGGATAGTGGAGATGGGAAAGAAGAAAACAACTTAGATCCTTAGCAGAAGACCTTGACAAGAGACTTTTGTTTTGTTTTTGCCCGTAAACGATGACCCGGGGGCGGGGTTTGCTCTTCGGAGCCGGACCGAAAGTGGTGGTCTACCGAGACTAGATGCTGTCGTCTGATCTCCCACGCTTTTATATACGAGCCAAGCGGGTGCTTGATGTACTAATACCAGTAACCCTGTTTCGACCGTAACTGTTCCTTTTTGACCAACTCGTGTTGCTTTTGTCGGCGACTGGAACTTATATACTCGAATACCGGCAACTAACTTTGTACACTGCGTGCTGAAGATTGTCCATTTGAACCCCAAAAAAAAACAAATATCAAAAACACATACCTTACTTTGTTCCACTTGAAATCAGGCTGGGGCCCGACTTTCACTCAAGATGAAGGTCAACCCGGAAACGACTACCTGCGTGATGTTGCACAGCATGAAAACGCGGCACTAGCTTCCAAGGGGAACGAGTGTCATCATTATCGACGAGGCAGCCAAACAGATTAGTTCGGGGGTTATTGGAGGCCACCTAAGCATACACTCCCGAGAATGCAGTGAGATATTGGCGGTATCAATAGAGAAGAAGTGTGGCGAGGGTGCAGGCAGAGCCCGGGACCTAAAAAAGTGTTGCAGAAAGCAGGGCGAGAGTAGGTCAGCATGCTGTACGACCTGACTTGAGGAAGCGACCGAGAACAGATGAGTATAAGGCTGGTCCCCATTCCAAGACGGATGGCTCGAATGCCACACGGTCTGCCAAACTCTATCATACCTTCGTACTCTGTATGGCGTCACGGAACGGCATAGGGGGGAACCATCTCATCGGATCGCAACTCACGGGACGGCCGAATCGGCAGCCTTGATGTACCGCAATTACCTCTCATTGATCTTTCACCCGCTTCTTTCTACACGTTCTCTTCTTCTTCCTCTGAAGAAATAATCATACCTCCCCGCTGTGCGCCAACTACTGAGCCAAAGCATGAACCAAGTGGCCCGGCGCCTCGTTATAGTCTGCTCACAAATGCAGAGTCTAGCGGAGATACTGAGTCAACTTCACGGGATGCGAAACCAAGACTTAGTAATTAGCGATATCACTTGTTTCCGTCCTGAAAGTACCACTGGACGCTTGAGCTATCAGCAATTGTTCTTAGTATAACGTCTTTTTCCGCAATTCTTATTCTCCTCCCCCTCTATGTGAACAAGCCTTTATCATCCTGGACCTTTCCAGTATCGTTTAATGTTGTCGTCTCTGTTCTTGGAGCGACTTCTCGGGCCTCCCTGGCATTCTCTATCAGCGCTTGTATTAGTCAGGGAAAGTGGAACTGGTTCCGAAGGAGAAATGAGAATGTCATGGTTTTCGATCGTTTCGAAGAAGCTAGTCGAGGACCTTGGGGAAGTTTTCGTCTCTTATGGTGGACCAAGTTAACGCACGAAAACTTCATTTATTCAGACCACGGCGCGTAAGCTAATTTCTCTAGACACTGGATCGCTCTTGGAGCCCTCTCCGCGGTCATACTAGTAGGCTTTGAACCATTTCTGCAAGCTGTCATCACCTTTTCGGGAGAAGATGTCAGCTACGAAAACCTTGCAATGATAAGCGGTATTGGAAGAACGGAGAGATTAGACGCAGGCGAATATTCAGTCTCTGGGTTTGTTCACACAGACCAAGAGTTGCCAGAGCTGTGGGGTGTCTTCACCAAGGTACCCATCAAGTCTGAGTGTGACTTTGGGAAGGCCTATCCAACATCAGCTCAGCCGAAAATACAAAGCCATCATTTGATTGTCCAACAGGTAATTGTAGCTGGGATACTTTCGCATCCGTTGCGGTCTGCAGCTCCTGCAACGATGTATCGCATGCGATGAACAAGTCGATCGGACCAACGATGGAGTATGAAGGCGGCGCCATTACATTCAAGATCCCATACCTGCATCTGAGCATATCTAACCCTTCTGGTCTCAAGTTAAGGGGATTTTATCTTGATCATAATAGAACGTTAGGTGCCGAAGTTACTGCGCAGTCAACGTACAACCCCGAGCATACATTGACGTTTGGTCATCTCCAGTCCCTGATATACTCCTCAATTATGATAACCAGCCAGGACTTCCGCCTATGAAAGGCAACCTGGGAAGACAGTGATGTGATTGCCATAGAATGCGCTCTATACTTCTGTGCCAACATCTATCAAACAGTAGTCGAGCCAAAGGTCCTACACGAAAGAGTTGTCGGTTCTCACGCCAACCGAAACCTGGACTCTTTCCTATCAGTAGGATCGATAAAAACCAACAACCCAGCCTTGTCACAGGCCTACAACACTTTTGTGAACCACTCACTATTTGTCGGATACTGGGATGCCCCCTGCACAGATCTGCAGCTCGTCGTCTCCCGAGCCGACTATCTCGCCGCTACTGGCTTGAACTTGGAGGATGACCTGAAATTCAACATCTCACATAACACTATTGTAAGCCTCACCCAATGGATAGTAGTAAGACTGGTGGGCCTCGGCAATACGGCTTCAAGCGTACCCGATGACGCAGAACTACTTGTGTAGCCTTGGGTTTCGGATTCGGGTCGTCAAGAACCGACGGAACTTGTTGCCGGGTTTGCAGCTTCGCAGAATATCTCGAGAACTTTTGAAATGGTCGCCGCCAGTCTGAGAAATGGATTCGAAATCGTTCGATGAAGAGCGAACCACACCATGGTACAATAAAAGAATGGGTAGTCAAGATCAGAGTGAACTGGGCATTTTTGTCGCTGCCCATGGGTGCCTTGATAGGGGGTTGCGTCTTCTGCTTACTGTCAATATGGGAGACGAGGAGGCTGAGCCTCCCAGCATGGAGGGGAAGCTCGCTGGCGACGCTAGTCCACGGCCTCGATGTGGAGTCTAGAGTGTTCTTGAGAGAGGCAAGCGATAGTTCTCGTATCGCCGCCCAGGCGCGGACTTTGGAGGTCAAGTTTGTCGACTCTGAGAGCGGACCAGAGCTCGTTCGCGGTAACAAACCTGGCACTCCTGCTTGTGAGACGCTGTAGCAGAGTCATGTATGTACCGTGTGAGTTGAGAGACCATCATTTGATATACTAATGAGGAATATGGCGTCATTTGGTATTGGAAACTACATGTAGTTTTGGTGGATAAGTCATGATGAAGCGTAGAGGTGCACTCGGAGATGAAGGATAGGTGGTATCATCGCCGGCTTGTCATGTGCCGGGATATGAGAAGAGTGCGAGGCACATCAACCATTTCCAGGTTGGAGGTGAGAAGTAAGTTGATTTCAGGGGACAGATTCTCTCAGATGAGGTGCAGCTTGATGATTCACGTTATGTCGAGTAGTATTTTAACGTCGAACCAGGTTCAAAAACCGCGAAGGTTGCTCGAATTCCCCTGAATCGAGAGCGTAATCAGGTTCTTTATATGTAGGGTACTCTTATTGAATGTACCGTTGTTATCATTTCGTATTTCATGAATCGACTCATACTTCAATAGGTATGAGAGCGGCGGTTAGCTACACAGTTTAGGAAGCCGTCATTTTTGGCCTGCTGACACGCTGGCATCGGTGGCGGGGGGACAGATAACAACAACTCCGAATCTTGACTAGGGTCTCGTCTCGCACCAATAGGTTTGATAAGGCATTCAGCAGACACACATCACCTTCAGTCAATCCCAATGAATCACATCTTGGACGCAAAATGGTTACCAAAGCTAGCTCGAGCATAACCCTGACCCTAACGCCCGCTGTTGACAGCGATAATATATCTGGTCTCGACGTCACATTGGTTCTTCAATCCCCAGACAAAGCAGCTGGCGAGCCAGTTTTCCTCTACAATAGACGAGACAATGGCACAGGAGCGCCATCGCATGAATACCATCTGTCGAGTATCAAGGCCTACGACAGCCAAGGCCACTTCCCCATCAACATAGTCGACAACCCCAGCGACGCAAACCTGCAGGAATGGCACGGTTTGCGCAACACGGAGGGTGACTTATCGCTCCATCTCCACGTACAGCCTGTACAGGTCACTGCGAAGGATCACAGGAGATCCATTGTTCCTCTTGGTCTCGATTTCGGTAGAGCAGAGCTATTGGAAGACCAAGGGGGGCTGATGGGTGCTGGAAAGTGGTTTATCCCACGACCAGCCGCTGACCTAGAGATCCTATACCGGATCACAGTGCAGTGGGATACTTCCTCCTCGCCTCCGGGAACACGGGCGGTTTGGAGTCACGGGGAAGGACCCGAGCCCGTTACCAAAGAAGGCACTGTCGACATGCTGCTGGATTCTGTCTACATGGTCGGGCCGGTTCAGAGCTTTCCCGCACGTGTTGACGCCATGACCGGAGATGCTTCTCCCAACGCCGGTTCGACCTTCTGGTTTGGCAAACTTCCGACGAATCTCGAGAAGTTATCCGAATACAGTAGCAAGATCTTCCCTAATATTTCGGCATTCTTTCGAGATCCTCGAGGAAGCTATCGAGCCTTCATTCGCAAAGTTCCCAACGGCTTTGGTGGAACAGGGTTCCAGGCCAGCAGCTTGATCGAGTACGATTCTCAAGCGGAGGGCGTGTCTGACTTTGATCTCGTGCGCCTCTTCAACCATTTGATGGTACGATCATGGGCCCGACTAGGCCCGCAAGACAACGGATCCGAGGCTGAGTGGTTCTCGAAAGGTTTGGCCCTGAACTTCCCTCTGGCCCCGATACAAGATCATCTAACCAACTCTTGCGTAGGCCTGTCCCAGATGTACACCATCTTCTTCCCCTACAGGTTTGGTCAAAGGGGTCCAGATTACTTCCGTGCGACACTCAACGGGTTTCTGTCCGCGTACTACACCAGTCCTCGACTCACAGCGAGATTAGGTCAAGGCCAGGTTTCCGCGCAGGTAGACTCCTACACCGCATCAATCCCCTACAACCGCGGCTGGATCTACATGCTCAAGATGGATTGCTACACGCGCCGCGCCTCTGTGCAAACGGAAGCAGGCGTGTTGAGGCCTCTCGATGGAGTTGTTGGAGACCTTACCGAGAAGCGCCGAAGTGGCCTCAAAATGCAAACAGTAGATTGGTTGAATGGGGTCGCGCATTGGTTGGATATGATTGATGTTGCTGCAGCACCTTATTTTCAGGACACCATTATGAACGGGAACCCCATGTGGCTTGACGACATGACGGAAGCTTTCGGTGCCAAGGAAGGCACTAGTCGCGTTGTCGAGGTTGACCAGGAGATGTTGTGCTTTGGATTCGATGTGATGAAGAGTCTGGAAAGGGGAGTTGTTTCTGCGATTGAGCCTGGGTCAAGAGCAAAGCTCAGTGGGCTCCGGGATGGTGACCGAATTCTGCGTTTGGACGGATTTGAATTCTCCATGCTCGGCCCAGATCGCGAAGTCAAAGTTCTGGTGGAAAGGGATGGCGAGACGCGCAGCTTTGAGTACTCCCCTCGACGGTTTGACAAGGTGCCTTGTTGGCAGGTTTTGAAGATTGAGCCTGCAGGAACGTGAAGGAGATTTGGATCAGTCAGCCAGCCCCTGAAGGAGGTGATGCTAGTTGTATTTTACTAAGAGACTTCACCAGCTGCCGCGACGTAATGCTGATCAACTTCGCTTCGGCTATTGATACATGTACCGGACTTGGTGGGCTCAGCTCTCCCATAAACATAAGCAGCTTCAAGTTCAATATCTTCGCCAGTGAGTGCGTCAACTGCGCCGAAATCATGAAGAACTCCGGAAGCATTGTCCGAACACTGCTCCCTTCCACCCTTGAGATATGCCGACGCCTTGAGTAGAAATCTGTACGCATCATTCGCCGTGTCAACGCCCGCCTCCAGAGCAACTTCGATGGTATGAGTTCCGCGAGGTGCAGGCGGGATGCATTCCAGCCTGAGAACGAGCACTTTGTCGTTCTTTCTCGCGTCTTCAAGCTCGCCTTGGAAGACTGGTATGACGACCCTCGACTGTCCGTCGACAGTCGTGGTGATATTCATGGTCCGAGTGAATGGGAGTACTGTGTACCGATTCAACACCCGCAGCGCCTCGCCTCCGATGGTTTCGATCAGGATTGATCGTGGGTTCAACTCAAGCGTACCGACTAGGTCACCATACACTCCTCGTCCGCACAGATTCTCGGCAAATACAGCGGTACCAAACGTAACAATTTCGTCGTAGTCCCCCAGGCCTGGTATCGACCGAAGACTTCCTGGATAGTCAGAGATCGCAGAGGTTCCGGTGCCGAACATGATCTCTACCATGGATCGTAACTGTGGCGCTCCTGTGTAGCCGCCCACAATAACGACTTTTGAGATATCGTTGCTAGAAAGATTCGCTCTTTTGATGACTTGGTCCAGAAGGGGTAGTGTCTTCTCCAATATCTCCATCTCGGTTGCGTCGAACTCAGAGCTCCCTCTTAGCCGCTTTTTCTGCATCAGTTCGCTTACCTCTCTGCCAAGCTGGTTATCACTGATACTGGCCAGACATCCAAATACTCCTGCATCGAACTCGAACAAAGATACCTCGAAAGTTTCTCTCCCTAGGTCATAGACAATGAAGTGGAACTCATCGTCCAGCTTATCTATGCCGAACCCGATAGCAGCGGCGATAGGTGCGTTCATGATGCGAAGCACTTCTAATCCAATTGAGTAAGCAGCCTCCGTGATGGTAATGCGCTCTTCCGTAGTGAAATACTGTGGCACAGTCACGACCGCCTGTTCAATGGGCCCAAGTGTCCAGGTTTCGGCCGTCTTCTTGAGTTTCTGGAGAGCTTCGATCACGGTGTCTTTGAATACGTGAGCTTCGTGAGAGTTCGCGCTTAAGTCTACTCGAGAAATCTGGCGTTTCATGGCTCGATGTAAAAAGTACTCGGGCTCCGTGGCATCGCAAACCATATGACTGATAGAAGTTAGCGCTCACCATCATTATAGAGAGAGTACGGCAGGCCTTGGTCTAACCTGTAATCGAATAGAGCACTTGAAAGACTTGGATCATGTTGTGTGTGATGTGCTGATTCATCTGACCCCATGATGGTAAAGCCTGAAATACATCTGTCGTCAGCTCTTTTCCTAGAACCTCTTTGGGAAGCTTACTCTGTCCATCATACGGTATCCTCCTGGCACCAAGTTGAATTATGCCCACGCTTGAGTATGAAGGTCCGAGGCTCTTCATAACACAACTTTCATCAATTACGGCGTCCATGAGTGCGTTTGTTTTCTGGTAGGACACTCACAATGGACATGTAATCAGAGTCATATTCAGCGCCCCAGCCAGTGACCTCGAATGCAGATGCACCAGAGTATACTAGCGATAGAGACAAGATGAAACCACCGAGAAGACCGAAACTCATGGCTTTATGCCGTTTTGAATAAGACGGCATCTTGAACAGCTCCAATTTGTACATCGTGTCAGGCTGCCGAAAGTGCAGAGGACTTGAAGTATCGCAAACACTTCTAGCAATAGACGCGATGACGATCTAGCCTTGCTACTATTAATGCCATAAGTATAGTCTAGCTTCTACTAAGCTTTTGACAGACTAACTGTCCTCTTTATACGAGAAGCAATGGCCGTCGCGGCCTGTTGTTGGTGACAGCAGCTAGGTGCTTAGTGAGCTGACCTGGATATCCCACGCTAGCTCGTATTGCGTAGCAGGCAACGCTGCATTGAATAATCTAGAAGATTGAACAAAAAAAGAGTTCACCAACGGTGTGGCTACATCTCTTGGTGCTCATGCTGGGATTCGGACTCGAAGCCTGTCGTCGAGTAGGCTGTGGGCGTAATTGACTGTTGACCTTTAACCACTCCCCCACCTATCCCAGTTTGACCTGACTTGTCGGCCTAGACGGGCGCCTGCTGGTTGTGGTGACGGGAATGGGATTGAGAGGGTATGTGAAGGCTCCTGCCGGTGTGTCTTCTGGTTATTCAAGAGGTGAGTCTGTGATGACAACGCTGGCCTCAACTACGACTCCACTCCCGAGGTAGGTGCAGGCAGTCAAGATCTACTCAGGAACGGGTTGTCCGGTCTCTAAAGACTTTCAGATATCAACATCCCCTTGAGGGACCTGATTATGTAGACAAAGAGGTACTAATACTGAAGTTGTAAATGCCGCGCTCGCAGCAAAGACCCCTTGACGATGCTCTTCTGATGGTGTCGATGATATTACTTCTACCTCGCAAGGAGCACCTTGCTATAAACATCGTGGTTCGTCGCGATTGGTGTGAGTGCATGTGGTTGGACAAGGGACGATGCTGAGAACCTGAGACGAAAGCCAGCGGTCGCCCTGCCCCCGAAACGCTTGCCTAAAGCTACGGTCCACCCGGCCCCAGCCGTCATCAGCCGCCCCACCACGGGATCCTTATCGCTCCCGCAGCTCCGATAAGGCTCTCAACGACGACGGGAGCCAGGCTTCTTCCGTCATCTTCACTCCTTCAAGTCGCACTCTTCCCAAGCTTTCACCCAAGCCTGTCACCATTCCTAGAGCTGATCCAGCAAGCATGACGACCGCACGATCGGAATGACTGATCCCACGTACACAGTCTTTGTCAGACTGCCCATTCTGCGGGGCGAGTTCACGGATCCCCCTCCGGTGAGTCCATGAGCCCATCCGCCCATAGCCGTCCGGGTGCCTTTAGCCGCGGGACCGACACTGATGCGACTCCACGATGCAGGTTAACTGGGATTCCGCCAAGGACGATGTGCTATGGAACATCATCTCAGGCGCAACTAAGCAGGAGATTGACTGTAAGTTCTGGCTAGTATTTCACCTTCTAAATATCGCTAACTTGGTCTTGTTCAGGGAATGAACTGTAAGTCCTTTCCCAGGAACCGGAACCAATCTATCGAGCTCATCCACTCTTCAGAGCCGCACATTTCGATGTGACCGTCGATTTCCTTCTTCAACAAGTAGCCTACTTGACCGAGCGGCATACTGCGCAGCTTCGAGCCCAGGTCCGGAAAGCCACAGCCGCCGCAAAGGGCTCCTCTGCTCCATCCCCCGTTCCTGGCGCCGAGCCACACACGCACCAACGAACCGTCTCTGCGCTATCCATCCGACGCGATTCGCCGCTTCCTCGAACCGATACCAGCACGCCAGCGACGCCCATAACAAGCTCTCTCCGGCCGAATATCACACGCAATGCCTCCTCAGGTACGATCACACGCAACCTGGGCGGCGGCTCTACGACCCGCCAGAGCAAGCCCGCCACCTCACGGCCATCCAACGACAATCAGCGACGTCGTCTATCATCGCTTCCTATTCAGAGCACCCCCAGGAGCCCCGAACCGACGTCGCCTGACGCAGATGAGCTGAGCTCGCCCACTTCCTCCGACGATGAGTCCAGCCCAGCGCAATCGCGCATCATCCGTCGCCCACCTCGCTTCCAGCAGCGCGACGGACCGACCGATCTCGAAGACGAAGATGAAGACACCGAGCCCGCTTTCCTCCAATATAAGCCACAATCATCCAACACATCAGCACAAGACATGGGTTCGACATTACGGGGCGATCCCCGACAAGCCCGACGGACACCGAAAGGTAAAGAGAAGATTCACCACTCCGAGACGTCAGATTCGTCGACAAGCTCACCTGCCATGGTGTCAAGGGGCCCCTCGACAGGGGAGAGACGCCCGACTGGTCCTCTCTCCCCGCGCCGCCCGGCTGAACTGTCTGGTAAGAGTCCAAGTCGGAAGGGGTACTCGCGAGACGGAAGCGACGGTACGCCAAGCATGGGCAGCAGCTTCAGTGATTTGGACGGTAAGCTCCGCGATCACTCGTTACTGATGAGCAACGCTAATAGACAGCAGACGCCTCTGTGACACAGTCCGCTCTCGAGGAAGCCCTCGCGAGTAAGATGCAAGACGGCGGCATCGGGAGCAGATTCAGCATCAGTCAAGCGTTTAGAAGCCGCTACATGCCCAAACCTGGTCAACAGTAACAGCATGTGCATCAGAACTTGTTTTACGGTAGAACATGAATCGGTTGGGTTGAGAAGCATCTCTGGCGTTTTAGGTAAGATCACGAAGCGGGTCAGAATGTCCATTTTGCTTAGTCTATGATGTTTGTTGGAATAAGATTTGGCGTTTAATACAAATATGTTTTTGGAAGTGTCAATTCGGTTACTTAGGCGTCTTCATGGTTGACTATTGCAAAGACTGACCATGTCTGAATCACAGCACAACGCCTTTGGTGTTCAGAAGAGACCGCGAGCACGCCCATCTATCCTCGACTGCGTGAAAACAAAATAGGCGCTAGTGCCCTCAAAGAAATGCTGATTCCAATTATCATACAGTTACTTCTAAAGCACTCAAGAACGAGACCCCATCTTAGCCCAATTTTCGCGACAGACCAAAGACGAACTACACGTTGCTAGATGCATTCAAAAACTAAAGCAGTGGCGCGGTATCCAACGACTGTCTCCCGAATGTTATGATCGCACCCTATCCTGGGTGCGCATCTCATGGCTCTCTCCTCTCTCAGCTTCACAGCAGTCAGCCTACAATGATCCGGACACCAAAAACAGAGACAACTTACCATCCGACTCATCCGTCTTCGCCCCTTCATAGGGGTCCCACGTCTTTTTCCTCGCCGGGAGCGGCTTCGTCACCACTTTCCCTCCTCCAAACAACCCGTCTTCGGTTTTGTGGTGCCTCGTCTCGTGCAGTCGATGTTCGTCGTCGTCGTCGTCGACCCTCTCGCCGTGCTCCGCCCGACGCCTCTTGGCCTTGTGTGCGCGGTAGAAGAACAGCGCCCCGACGACGCCAATGAAGACGGTCACAGTGCCGATGATGGCTCCGATCTCGCCGGGTTGGAGGGCTCGTGGTGGCGGCGCTGGTTGGGGGCCGGTGCGGCTGTCTCCCTCATAGAAAGACATGGCTTGCGGCTAGAGAGTGAGGGAGGTGCTGTGTTCTTGTTCTGCCCCGTTGAGCGGCAGTGACGCTCGGATGGTGGTCTAGGGAGCGTGGGTTGCGGGAGAGGCGTTCGATGGCGGTCCGGGGGATGGAAGGGGGGGCACCGGCAACCATGGATTGAGACGGGAGCTATCTCAAGGGCGGGCGTCCTGGTGCTCTTCGCGTACACGGGTATCCGTAGGTGAAGCAGGACCATAAGCCCGGGAATATTGTAGGAATGAAGGATTGTCCCGGGAGAAAACAAGGCGCTTCTTCTGCTTCTTCTTCGTCCCACAGCAGCGGAATTGTAGATTGAAGAGAGAAGTGGCGGACTACAGTTCCTTGTGGAAATTGATCATGTTAAGTTGGACTATCCGTTCATGTCTCTCAGCAACCCCGGCTTTCTCTAGTCTACGTACGCGAGCACCCGAACGTACTTCTCACCCCCTTCTCCCGAGAAAGGGGGGTGAGGGAGTTTGGTCTCATCCATCTACGGTTACCCCTTCATCTTTCCTTCTGTCGCCAACGACGAACCGGCTTGAGGAATTCCTCACCAAATGGGAACCTATCCACCTGCGGCTAGCCGAGACGGCACTCCCGCTTGGTGGTCCGTCGTTTGTGCGGCTCTAGATTGCGGTGTTTGTCTGCTAACTAACAGAACGTATCTTTTTGTGCCTGGCTAGGACTCTAGTGAGTCTAGTCTACCCGCTGGACTCTCTTGACTGGAGCCTTGGTAGAGAAAACGTGACAAACGAAAATTGTAGATCGCGTTGGAAGAAGAAATATGTTGGTTTGCTTGCTTCCCAAAGGGGCATGTAAGAAATGTTGGAGCATGGGTGTCTACCTCCCTTTCCGCAACCCAACAATAACCTTAGATCTCGTCCGCTGTCCGTTACGCGGTTTCCACCTTTTCTCCACCATCATATAAAATGCCAGGCTGTTTATGTTTGCCAGCTAAGATATTGCCTTGACTTCTCTTGTCTTGCTCCGGCGGGACGATGAAACTGGCGGTTTTGGAAGAGGGTCCTCCACGTACCTAGCAAAAGGACCTCGACAGACATTTCCCGTGGACTCTGAAGGTCCTGAGCACAAGCCCAAAGGAGACGGGCCTCTTTCCAAAGAATCAGTAAATGCCAGACGAAAGACACACGTAGTTCCCCCTTGGTGCCAGGCCTCGCAATACCGAATCAGCTTCCCTTCATTCTGTGATACCCCAGCTTGGAACAAGAGATCTTGGTGAGAGCTGTCGAGTCGGCTACACGCATCGACGTTCCCGGTCCCACGAGACAGGTGGATGTCAAGAGCCGGCCTTTTCGCCTCCTCTCCTAGAACGGGAGCCTGTCACCGCCCAAATTTAAAAGCCTCTCCCGCTTGTCATCTCTAGCCCGTCACGCAACGAGTCACAATCTGGTCTACTGAGCCCTTGCACCAATACGTCGGTCCCCCTACATGTCTGACCCGAACGAAAAGTTTCGTCCTTTTTAATGACTCGTTGAACGAAGGAGTTTCGGTCGAGATCGTCATGGTCCCAGAAAAAAGTTCGAGGGAGAAACACCGGTTCAGAGGACGAGATGGAGATTGGCCATCATCCTTTTCTTATTCTCGACCAGGGGGGGGGGGGGGGGGGGGGGGGGTAAGGCGGTGGGCTTGAGACATGGCTTCGGTTGCTGCAAGCCCTTGCATCCGCAAACTCGCCGACCGCGCAGCTGCCAAAGCGTGACCAACATTAGCATGGAACTTTTTTTCCTGGCCCGATCGTGCTGGGGATAGACGAAGAAGTGAGACTCTTTTTCATTAACTTCTCGCTTCCAGAAGACATGTAATATGCACGAAGGTGCCACCAGAATCACCTCCCACCGGCACCATGCGACGCACCTCTGATCACCACTCATCACTCTTCTTGAGATGAGGGGGAAAAGAGAGAGAGAGAAACGAAATGGCGTGTAAGAGATCCAGCATGTCACCGGTGCGTCCCATCTGCGGGTGTTCGTGCAAGTTGGCGGTATCGTGGTATCTGGGGTCGAACCACCTCAGTGCGCGGCGCATCACTTTCAGTCGTTGGCTTGGGTATGCAGGCGGGATACCTGCATGCCCGTTTACGCGACCCGCCTGTCGCTTTCGAGGCCCTTGGTGCTGCGAGATCTTTGGCAGATTGGACAGGATCTCAGACAGACCGAAGCTCGTCTGGCCGCGTCGACACTCTTGGCAGTCGTTTGGGTGGTTCCTCAATGTGACACTTTGAGGAGCCGAAAAGGGGGGGGGGGTTACAATTGATGAAGCAATTGTTTAGTTCTTCTTTGGACGACTCACAGTCGAAACGAAACGGATCACCTCTGAAACAGCAAGATCATTAATATGAAAAGCAATGATGGAAGTTGATCAAAGACGTTGGATCAGGTTGGAGGACTGGGCAGATAGAAGTTCGAGGGTAACTGATAGGAAATCGGGAATAAAAGATTTGACGGCGCTCACTCACGACGACAAGATTGAATGCATCATGGTGATTAAGTCTCATACACAATTCAGCCAAAATCCCGGCCGCTTGGTAATAGATGTGAAGACAAAGTACTTCTTTCATTCTCCAAGGCCTGACTCAATGTTGGGGTGTAAGTAAACCATCTCCAGCAATGGCTCTCTTCGGCCGAAGTCCTCATATTGTCAGGCAACAGATACAGATGTAATGCTCAAGGAAACCAATCCGTCGGTGCTTTGTGTTTTGCCTCTAAAGTTTCTTTGCTCTGGCATCCAATCCACCAATCTTCACCAGCCTTCCGTATCTTGAACGGCTTCTAAGCCGGCGTAAAGCTCAACAAGACGTCGTTGGGCAGCTTCGTCGTGATGCCCACCGTCTGCAACATAGGCCTCTCATCCCTCGGTTGAATGTCTTTGAAAGTCTGCAAGATCCTCACCACAAAGTAACTCATCTGCGTCAGCGCAAATTGCTGCCCAATGCAAATCCGCGGACCGCCGGAGAAAGGGAGATAATCCCATCTGTGTGAGGTTATCCCGTCAGCAAGAACTCTCATCTTGAGCCAGTATTTTACCAAGAGAGACAGAGATTCGGGGGAGGGAAAAAAAGATCGACAAGGGGAAGAAGGGATTAAAACATACGACGGCCGTATCTCCTCCCAGCGCTCGGGACGGAACTCGTCAGCATCCCCGCCGTACAGATCCTTCCTCCGGTGAAGACAAAACAGAGACCACCGCACGGATGTGCCCTTCGGAATGAAGACGGGCGATTTACCATCGGGCCCTCCGCCAACGGGTAGCGTCGTATCGCGCGCCGCGCCGCGCGACATGCTCGCGACAGTCGGGTACAGTCTCAGGACTAGTAAGACGCACCGTCAGCACTCTATCTCCAAAGTCCCCTCCTCTCGGACAATTCGATAACTCACTTTCTTTGAGCACCATGTTCAGGTACTTCATATCCTTCATCTCCTCCCACGTAGGCCTCCGTCCCTCCAAAGCCTCCACCTCGCCCCTCAACCTCTTCACTACATCCCCCCTCCTAGCCAATATCCAAAACAGCGCAGACAGCGTCGAGGCCGTGGTATCCCGTCCCGCGAGGATCATGGACAGCAGCTGCGCGCGGATGTAGTCCGGCGTCATGCCGGGCTTCCCAATCATCTCGTTGAGGAACACGTAGCCCCTTTCAGGGTCTTCCTTCTTCTCCGGGTCAGCTTCGCGAATGTTGCGAATGTAGTTGTCGCAGAAGTCGTGGATCATCTTCAGACCTTCGTACCACTTCTTGTCGTTGTCGAGGAAGGTGAGCAGGCCGAGGCGGGAGCGGATGGCGGAGCGGGTGGTGATGTATTCGAATGTCGACGTGAAGTCGCGGGCTTCTGGTGAAGGTGTTGTGAGCATGTTGGTAGAGTGTCCAAACCTTTCGAGGTATAGTTAGTATATCTGTCTTTCTCTCGCCAACTTTCCCTTTTCTGAGCACTCACATAAAGTCAGTCGCCGAGTCCATCGTCATCATATACAACAACGCCTGCAAATCAACTGTACCCCCATCCTTGGGAATATTCCCAATAAGATCCCCAACATGCCTCTCAAAACACTTCAAATCCGCAATCTGATTCCTCACAAAACTAGGCCTCATCATCGCCCTAGCACCATGCCACACCTCCCCATTCGCCGAGAAAATCGCCTCCTCGCCCAAAATCGGCAGCACCGCCTCCCGTCTGGGCCCGATGATGGGAAACGCCTCAAACGACGTGGCCAAAATCGCCTTTAAATTCTCAGGCTCGCTCGTCATGAGAACCCATCCGCCGGGTGTCTTCACCCACCAGGTATTTCCCAGCGCGCCAAAGAGGTCCTGCCACCACTCGAGGAGCTTGTGCTCTTTTTGACGGGCGAGCGAGGCGCGGATCCAGTCGCTGCCTAGGATCGGGTCCTTGTGTGGGTACATGGGCGCCGGGCGGCAGTGGAGGGCTTTCATCTTGAAGAGGTACCATGCTTTCTTGTATAAGATGAGGGCCGGTAGGGTGAGGAGCGTTGCGAGGAGGGGGCTGGTGAGGGCGTGGTTTGCTGTGAGATGGGAGCCGTGGGTCCAGGTGAAGTACTTTTCTGTCAGCGTCCAGAGGATGTAAGCCCCGAGAGTAGCTGATGAAGTTGCGTAGAGGTATTCTCGCGCCATGTTGTTCAAAATGCTGTTCGAGAAGTTTAACCGTCTGTTGAAGATTGAAGTGAGGTCAAGGTCGGGGCCCTCGTCTTCAAATCGAAGCTCTACCCCTCAACGCTTATGAACAAGACTGAATCGCAGGTAAAGCTCTCGCACGTTTCCAATGTCCGTGCCGGTGTGTCCGACGAAAGCTGGTACCACATCAGACGGAAAAGGTCTCCGACTGCGTAGCCCAAGGGTTTCCTCTCGCCAAAGAATAGGGCTCCAGTTTGTTTGTGTTTCGCTTTCGGTACGGAGCAGTCCACTAGATAAAATAATCAGTAATCTTTAAAAGACCAAAACTTAGAATTGCCTAGGCACCGTAGAACTTAGACTGGCCAGAGGTGCATATCTCATACAAAATGTCTCCATCAAAGACATGGTTGACGCGCCGAGTCGATCCCATCCCAATCCCATGTGCGTGCATCTACATACGTCCCGCGAGGAGGGGCAAGTCCGTAGAATGATGTAACATCGCCATCTCGTAGTACGTATGAATATCCCCAGGTTTCCCCTCATCCCCCCATGTCCAGAAATCAGACCTAAATTAGCTCTCGACATAATATCTCAGTGCCCACCCCCTTCCAAGAACGGCAGTTTGGCTCAACTAGCACCACCGGGAACCTTTCACGCGGCAGCGCTACGCTACGACCACCAAGCTAGCTCTTGACCCCTCCAATCCCTTTGCCTTCGTGGTCCGTACAGTCTTGAGATAGCCTATTGATGTGACAGCCAAGATTCCTCCGCAAAAACTACTATTGCACCGAAGATGGCGATGAAACTGGTGAACAAAATGGCCATGCAGGGCCGATCAACCGGATCACTCCATACTCTTTGGTAGCGCTGAGAAAGACTTTAAAGACCACCTCTAAAGAACGAGAACTGCCTCGGCATAGCCTATCAATTCTCCAAAGAAATACCGTAATTGTGCCGCCAGTGTGATCCTGCACAGTTACACAACCACGTCCTTGAGACACGCAACACCACCGCACCCCACATCCCTCCTGGTCCCCCTCGTGTTCGGGCATGTGAACGGAAATACCAAGCCATTCATTGGCCGAACTACATATCCTAGGAGCGGGGGAGATATTTAACTGCGTGCGAGTGTGTGTACGGATATTTGGTGTTTGCACATCCATGGGAAAGTTTTACCACTGACAAGGGGTGCAGTCTTGTCAGTCGGCGAGTTCAAAGTTGAGCTATCAGACTTCAAAGTGACAAGCTCGCCTGGAGGTCAAATCCGAGAGACGCAAGAAACCCCCATCCAATTACGTAGTATCTTGAAGTCTTGCTACCTCACTCAAGGAGCATTCCGCCGTTCTAAGTTCTGGCGTTTCCTTGGTTCAATTAACTGCCGGAAGGCTTGGAAACTCTATCCTTCGTTCCCATTCATTCTTATCTGGAGCTTCTACGGATGTCGCTTTGATGCCAAGCTTATGTGGAGAGCTACGCCACAGAATTCGCAGTGAGACTCGCCCGCCAAGTCGGCGGACGGAGGTGAAAGCAGCGCCGTGCCGGCTCCGTCAAGCGGAACGTAACGCCTTTGCAGTCTTCCACTACACCACCTAGGTATCCTCAGGGTTACTTTATGCGAGTCTCTCGTTATCAGAATGGCCAATAGTGGCTTCAATTACAATTGGCATCATCTATGTAGGTACAATTCGTCATAATGTCGTGGGCTCTTCCCCAGCTTTCGATTTTCTGGACCCGATTGTGTCGTAATAGCCGGCCATGGCTATTCGGTTTTATTCTCCAATGAATGCCAGATGATGCCAACCCAATGCATATGTCAAATCCAAGTATGTTCCATCACTCCTTTCGTCCTCGCCATTAACGCCTTTAATGTTGAATGCAGTTTGCTCCAATTCCCGACCGTGAAACCAGCCAAATTCTACTCAATTCGAGCCGATCGCTGTGACGCAATGCTGTTGCGCAACGCAGGGTTCCGGCTCTTCCTGCTCAATCTCTTCTCTCGAACCATGGGAATTCCTGGAGGCGGATCCGTGACCGCCGTCGTCCCGCTTATCTGAGAGAGCACGCTTCCTCGCTGTGGGAGGCCTTGGTGGCTGTTCATTGTGTATCCTTTCGTCGGTAAAGGAGATAATATCCCATTATCATGCGAACTGTCACTGGAAGCGTCATTGTCGATACCCTTGCCCTTCTCGTCCATCTCTTCGTTCTTCCGCCTGACATTCAGCGCGGCAAGGCCACCGCCACTGAGGAGCGCGGAACGGAAATCGAAGAAGCGCTCCTTCATGGGCTTCTTGGACGTTTCGTCTAGCATCATCCATATGACAGCCACAATCAGGAGACCCAGTACAACCATCGTCAAGATTGCTGCGCCGGCCGTATCGGCACCGCCCAATGGTGGTAAAGTTGAGACTGCAGGGACCGTCCGGCCGATGTCGTTACCTCCGGCTCCAGGATCGCCCTGAGAAGTGCCGCCAACGTCTGCAGTATGAGGTGCATTGGAAGTTTCGATGAGGTTGCCAAGCGTGATTTCGAGCGCGGCCATCTGTTGTCCGACACCCTGCATTCCATCCCAAGTCCCGTTTTCGGTCCACTTCAACCCGCACATGCGTCCGTTCGTACCGCCTTTGCACTGCGAAGCAGCTGCGATAGATGAAGCGCGAATCTTGGACATGATGCCATCTGTCAAGTGCGGGGCCCATTTGGTGATGGCCGCAAGCCAGCGGCTGAGGTATGCCTTGAAGGACTGCTGATCAAGGTTGCAGAGTTCAACCGTCTCGCAGGCCACCTCTTGCATGATATTATTTTCCTCGCCAACAAAGAAGACATCTGCACCCTTGACCAGCCCGTCAAGTCGATTCTTCCACACCTCGTTGCCGGTGTGGTTGTACATGGCGGCAGCGCCAAGAATCATACCGCCGGCATTGTAGGTCCATTGATATGGTACAATGTTGGTGCAGTTGTACTGAATGTGGCCGCCGTCGTAGACGTAGTAATCGTCGGAAATGAACTTGACATTAACCATCCACTCCCATGTTCTCTCTGCCCAGTCGGAGTAGGACGAGTTGCCAGTGTACACAGCCAGGCGCCCGGCAAGAGCAAAGAAGCAGGCTTGGGAAATGGTGTTCTTGTAGTCGTAACCGTTGTTCCACTGGAAGATCTGCCATCGAAGCCCTCCGTTACAATGGTCGGGATCCCAGCGTGCGGCCTGGGTGTTAAACACAGCCTGCGCCAGGGCGAGCCATTGTGGTTGGTCATCCGGTGGGTTGGGGAACCCATACTCGGCAGCTGACATCACTGCGAGTCCCCAAAATCCTTGATCGTCATTTCCTTCGGTTCGCGTCTGATTCTCTGGCATGTAATCGTTGAATTTGCCGACTTGGTGGAGGAGACCCTGAGTGACAACATCATTCCAAGTGCTGTCACCTGTGTAGTACCAGTAATCGATCATGGTGCCCATCATCGCGCCGGCCTCCCACCCTGACACAGTTTTAGTGGGGAGCAGGCCAAGGACTAGAATATGCACTTACAGTAGTATGGATCGGGAAGAAGACCTGGGGTCTTGCCAGGTTTGTCTCCGTCGTAGAACGACATCAGATCTTCAGTCATTGACCTCGCAATGGTTTTGATACCGGCTATGCATAACACTTGTGAGTTGAGATCGCCATTAGATTGTCACTTGCGCTCACCTTGGTCACTTGTGTCCAAGTTGTATGCTGTGGTGAACTGGATGGTCGCCAGAAGAAATGCCGGCAAAAGCCGGCTTACAGACCATTTTGGCCGGCCCCGCATTGCGATCATGATGCGGGAGGTCGGAGTGTGAGGGTTCCTTGGCTTCGATGGACGGACCGTATAAAAGGTTGGACTGTTGATTCAGGAATCCGGGGGAAGCGTCGATTAAGTGTCAAAATTAAGAACGAGTGGATGCCGCAAGGTAAGAATAAGACAGCGGCCAAAACTTGCACAATGTCAAGACTTTCTGGCATAAACCGGGCAGACGGTGCGCATGGGAGTCGAGCCACGTTCGTGAGGTAATGGAGTAGCTCCGATGATGCGAGCTAAGAACCGGCAAGGTTGGTTGGCGTTTTTTCCCCTCCCCAACGAGAGGTGAATTCGTATGACGGCTGGGTTGTCCACACCACACACACACACACACACACACACACACACACCAACAACTGCTCTAAGCCTGGGAAAGTGCGTCTACTTGTATGTTGGCATGTACGTGCATGCAGGTTGAACACACCCCTCAAAGAAGCAGTAGCACCTTGACAGTTTCCGAGGTGGTCAGGCAAGCCCAGTTTGCCAGGTTCAGAATCCAGGCTCGCGTCGTCCAGACCGAAGTAACCGGGGGAGGATCGAGGAGGAGCGATGACGGTGGAGTTGCGCACGCGTGCTGCTGCCCGTGCTGTTTGACTGCTGCTTCCGTGTCTATCAAAAGTCTGCGTCTGCCGTAGTCGTTCATGAGAAAAGAAAAAAAAAACCGAAGGTGGGAGGGGAGAAGCAGCTTCTATCTAGCCCCAAGCAAATACGAGTTTGGTCAGGAGCAGTTGAAGACACCAACAAAGACGGAACCGTCTCAGTCGAGAAACCGAGGGAAGTAGAGGAGCGGCGGAGGCCCACTAATAGCTCCCAAAAAGCAATACGAACTTTGCAAAGAGGATCCAGCGAGACGAGATTCGCCTTCGTTTCTGGCCTAAGTTGACCTGGGGAACAACAAATAGGACAGACACCGAGGCATGGGAGCCGAGTGCATTTTGGGACTGGTAAGACTGGGTAATCAAGCAATCGCGAAACCAGCTGAACGAGACCCAGTCTTACAGGTAACAATGTCTCACCGCCGTGGGTGCTTGTTGTGGTTTCGTGGTTTGATGCCGTTCAGTGCCAGTGGCCTATTGGTAGGTATTTTGTTTCTTTCTAGGTGCCAAAGTGCCAGTCTGCCCTTGGGCTTTGGCCATCCCTCCTTGCTTGTGTTTCTAGCGTTAGCATTGGCAAATGGCAACTAAGCTTGTTCAACATGCTTGTGATGCTTGTGCAACCGTCCCATCCACAGCGCGTTCGGCTGTGGCCCGAACCCTGCCATCCTATGAGCTTGGTGCTGCACAATGCTGACCCGTTCGCTGGCATCCCCCAGCTCGCATCGCGGGAGGTAACTTGGTGACGTTTCCGGACCAAGATGGGAGCCGCTGGGGCTATTGGATCCTCATGTGCTGCTGCCGACCCAAGGTTTATTGCGAGAAACACTAAATTATCAGTGTTTTCCAACCTGTGTTTCTTGTCTCTCAGGCCTGAAGCCTGCTTTCAATGCCGTGTGGCCCACTGGTTCATCTTTCAATCATTGACTTTGTGGCTATTCAAATCCGAATTAGACTTTGTATCTGATCCAAGCCGGACGGCACTCGAGTGAATTGACTTTGTGAACACCATAATGTCTTCTCAATGTCGTTTACTATTCCGGTCCCTTGGTCGTGCGCTACGACCTTGCCCAGCTAGACGGCGTGGAGCAAGTAGCCAGCCGCTGCTGCTTCTGCTTCTGGGCGGCGGCATACCGCATGATGCCACTTGTTGCAGTTCCGCTTGAATAACTTGAATGAATAACTTGAATAAAACGGGGCTAGCTGACGTCGTTGATCAGCAGAGCTTCTGGGGTGGCTAGGAAGCGACAGGGCCAATATGCCGCTGGTCCCGGACTTTAGACTAGGTCCAATCAGCAAGCACCAAAACAGTCCAAAGCTGTCCGGGCCGCCGCCGCCCTGCTGCTGGGCTGGAAGTAAGAATTGGTAGCGAGCGGGGGAATCGCCGCAGGCCGCCGCCAAGAATCTCCCAAGTTTACTGCCGAGAATACCTAGGGGTCTTGATTCCTTCAGGTTCGGATGTTGTTTGCTTGGAGCGATGTGATGCTTTCGGGGCAGACAATCGAAGAACATTGGATGACCGTTTCCCGCTGCGTTGTTGAATGGTCTCGTTCTCATGTTCCCTGCCCGTTTTTGAGACTCAAACACATGAAGCTTGGCGGCTGCTCGAACGAGTGAGCCCATTTCCGCGAACGATTTAGCTTCAGCACTTGGTCGCTCCATTCCATCTGTGCATCGGGTCAGCCGCCAGCGCGCTTAGAGACACAAATTCGGAGCCGATCTTATGAAAAGGTCCACTCACAGACCTGGCCGTGATTAAGCCATCGGCATGGCGAACGTAGCCAGGCTCGCATTCTGAGCCTCTCCGAACATCGCCGTCGGAACTCAGGAATGCGTTTTCATTCGACCTAGGCAACGGTAAAGTAGCATGCCAGCGGAACATCGTGGTACGTGGACCGCTTTGTCACCGGCTGGTTCGCTGGCATTGAGTCTCATCATTCCGCATTGCTAATTACGAAGAGCGCAATTTGCCCTCGGAAAGTCCATTCCTTGACAGCGAGCCTGAGATTGTGATGTGTTCGACCGACTTTGATCAGGTTGACTTGCCAGTTGTCCCCATTGAACGCTCATGGCCATGTGCCAGCCCGACCGGTAGGCCGATGAAACGAGGTTGCGACCGTCCAGGGTTAGTCGAGATATCGCAAGCGGTAAGATCAGCTTCGAAGCGTGCTTCATGGGGGATGTTCCTGCAACGGCGACACAGGACGTGCGGAAGCGGCACGGGCTTAGATAAAAATGAGGGTATCATATCGTCGCCTTCTTTGCGCTCGTGGCGATGTAACAGGTGCTGTAGTGTTGATGTCTCCGGCTTCATCTAGGCCTCAGGTCCCCGTGATGAATGTTGGAGTAGCGGCATGTGTTTCTGACGTCCATCCAGTGAACTTCTTTGACGGGGATTGTATTATCATTTCGCTCAGTGGCCAAGAACGAATCGAATCGCCAAGATGGGCATCTTTGCGTAGGAAAGGCATTCGAGGAACTCTGGCCTGTGATATTAGGCTCTGTAGGATGCTGCGCCACGATGCCGCGCCACAACGTAAACCCAGGTGTTCCTTACGTAAGGTCATCGCTCAGCGTCAAGCACCATTCAGCGGGTAATCTTCGGTTCCGAGAGGCCTATCGTGTTCGGGGACAATGCGCGAATCACGTGATCAGCTTTCACGTGCCGCCAAGGAGCCAACCTTGAAGTTGAGGATGTGATCGGATGAGATGGTGGCATGGTGCAAGTCATGGCTCCGGGGCAATTCAGTTCCGTCGGGGTCCAGGCTGTGAGTCGCGACGACCCTGCAGCACTGCCTCGATGATTACATCAGAAGCCGCGAGTCCGTGGCACTGGCTCCGAATGCTTGGGAGGCGCCAGAAAACACCTTGCTGCGCAGAAAGCTGACGCCAATGCCCAGCCTTCTCAGCAGTGCAGCAGCATAGCAATTTGGGAAGGTCGGAGCAAAGGTCTCCATGGGCATAGTCCCTGGAACGAGTCTGCGTGACTACGACAGTGGTCCTCTCCTCTCTCAGGGAAAGCCGACGAGGAAATGGCAGTGCTGGCCCGGAGACTCTTCCAGATTCTCTCGTATTCAGGGAACAACCTTTGCTGGACCTTTGTCATGTTCATGGGCACCCGCAGGCAGGGAGAGTCAAAAAGAACAGCAGACTTTTGAGTTGGGAAAAGAGAAGAGAAAGCCACTGCGTTGGTGACTGACTGCGCATTTCCACTTTTTGCCAGGTTCCCCAGGCACCGGACGAAAGATACGTACCGCGCACTCCGTCTCTGACCTGCTCGAAACGGCTGTTTTGATTGGCCCTCATCCACGGTTCCACCATCCCTCTTCCTGCCCCCCCCCCGATGCCCCGTCTCCGTCCTGGCGGCCGTGCCAACGTCCTCCTCCCATCTCACCCACTGGAATCACCCGTTTTTTGTTGCTATCGGCCGGGTTTATTGCCTTCTCGCGCGCCTCTTGCGCCTCTTCCAACCCTTTGAAGGTCCTGCTACTAGTTTGTTCCAGTGGCTGGGTCGTTCCCAGCTCGACTAAAATTAGTGGTCTAGCATCCCAAGGTGGCCGTGGTTGTAACTTGTCCCCTTCCGACCGTCTTGAGTCCCGTCTTCCTCCCCCCCAACCTGGAAAACCCCCGTGCCCCCGTGCCACCCCCCGGCAAGAAACCGCAGCGCATCCCCCCCCAAATCCTCAGACGGGCACCTTGTTTCGGCTGGGCTCTCGCCTCTTTTCCCAAGCGGGAGGCGTCTCATCACCTGAACCTGAACTTAACCACCTCATCAGCCCGCCTACACCCTCCAAGGCTCCAACCACCTTTTCTCCTCTTTCCCAACCACACTTCACACACTCTTCGACCATCAATCAACAAACCGCGACTGATCGCCATTTACATCCTCCAACAAACTCCGAACCTCGTTCAACTCACACTTCAATCTTGCTCGTCCGAAACAAGACTTTTCTTCGCTAGCTGCAGCTTCGAGCTCCGCCGGTAAACCCCAACTTCAACCTTCTCACATCTCCGTCACCACAGCGACAATGCCCGAAGACGCCCCCTACGACCCGTACATCCCCAGCGGCCAGGCTGCCAACACAGCCGGTACGCAACAGCAAGGAGGAGCTGGCGGCAATGCGAGGACCCAGGCTCTGCAAGCTGTAAGTCGCGCTACTTTTTCTTGATGTTTCCATCGCGAGGTGGTCTTTTTTTTGGGTTCGACTCTCTGCCCCGGATTGCCCGACGCCTGATGACGACGACCGACCGAGCTACCCGTTCGACCTAAGCTGTCGCCAACTACGCCTGATTGGGCCATCGCATCAATTCTTCAGCTCGGCGGCGGGAATTTGATCAGAAGCAATATTATTGTACGCCGTTGAGCAGGAGATAGACAGTCGTCATACCTGGCAACGTCAATTGCGTCCCCGTGACGAACGCCAGAAAGCCGACCGTGTCTCCTGGCCAACGCAATCGATGCCAGCAACTTGGAAATCTTCAGCGAATTCAACACGCCGCAATTCGACGACTCTCTGCGACCGCTCAGTAACTCAGTAATAAGAACACCAATCGCTCTCGATTTTCGTCGCTCGTTGTCGGCGTTGCAATCAGGGGCAAATTTGTTTCGCTTATTGCGTACTCGGAACCGTGTCACCAGAGTCATGTGCTAATGATCTATTTATAGCAAATCGACGACACTGTTGGTGTGATGCGTGAGAACATCAACAAGGTCTCCCAAAGAGGCGAGCGTCTGGATGCTTTGCAAGATAAGACCGACAACCTGGCCGTTTCAGCCCAGGGCTTCCGCCGAGGCGCCAACCGCGTCCGCAAGCAGATGTGGTGGAAGGACGTCAAGATGCGCATGTGCTTGATTGCCGGCATCATCATCCTCATTCTCATCATTGTCATTCCAGCCGGTATGTCTCCCCATTTCCTCGAGCGCTATTCCTTTGGGTCGCGTCTTTCTGTCTGTCTGTTCTGTGGCTCTAATCATCGTCATGACTGTAGTCGTCGCAACGCGCTAACGTAACCCCCACCTCAGTTGTTGCTACTCGCAAGTAACAGATACCACACTTTTTGCATTATACTAGCCCCTTGGGCTCATGGTTCGCCCTCATGATACGGAAATGAATCGCAGATATCTCGCAGGCTTCGAGCAACCGTGAGAGACGAGGGGATGAGGCGGCACACAGAGCCACCTCTATGGGTTAATGACTTGGGAAGCGCGCAGGTTGTTCGAAACGGACTCTGATCTACTTCAACGGTCTGCATGCAAAGGCCTGCAGCTGGCCGGCTTCGGAATTCGTTCCGAGGAAGTTAGCTAGCCGCATCGGCCCGGCTGCGGATCAACCGCATGTATGTATGAGGGATGGCAGGCGTTTGCGTAATTTGAATTCTCACTGGCCCTGGTTTTGATATCCAGTCTGGTCGCTTGTTGTATATGAATGAAGTGACGAGTCTTTTTCCACAGAAATACTGCGAGCTATCTTATATCGGCGTCCGAACTTTCCGTGATCCTTTGGATTGTGACTATGAGGTTCTAGTTCATCGTTGATGCTTGATCTGTGAATCCATATTCGTGCATCTCATTACGTCTCGACTAGAGAGAATGGTGTCATTGAGCCAAATCGGTCAGAATTTGGTCAATGATCTCGGGGCTTATCAAATGGGGCCACAAGGAGTTTTGAAACGGCGACTCTCGCCAGTCTCGGCTGATCTGCCCGCTCTTAAAGAATGAAGAATGGGCTCGGCCGGGTCTACTACGACTGCGATCGGGGCCACGATCTCGAGCGGTGTGCGTATGGGTGTGTATATATGTGTGGTAGCAGGTTAATAAAGATCAGAGCCGGTCAGCCAGTCAGTCAAGTCTTGCATACTGCCCTGGGCCATGCCAAATAAGGTAGCAGTAAACCCACGGCAAGGGCAGGTTCCAGGTCCTGAATGGTTCATCTCAAGCTCGGCGATCTCTGCGCCGGTCCCCGGGATTGCGTCGGAATTTGGGCCCAGCGGTGGTACGAAAGTACGGATCCGAGAAGGCGTTTAGAGTTGACATGTCCACTCTTTTTTCCTTCGTTTCCACATGGTTCAGGAACGATTAAAGAGGAGGGAGGGTACAGAAAGCTGAACCGTTGTCTTTGTTATTTTTTTTTTTTTTGGAGGATCAGACTTGTTGGAACTTGGAAAAGAGATGATGGTTTGCTTTAGATGCGTGTTGGTTGGTTGTCAGTCTGTTCCTTCATGTGTGGTCTAGACATTTGCCGGGCTACATATGCACGGTCACGATGTTAAAAAAAAAAAAAGGTAGGTAGTCAACAGTCAACGTCAACAGTCCTTCCCCTCCCCTTCCCCCGAACATCCTCAACGGGAGCACTCGACAGATCATAGATGAAAGATGTCTGGTTCTGCCTCGGCTCGTGTCAGGCATGCAAGCTGCAGTTACCTCGCTCTTCCCCCATGGCTCCACCTAGCCCAGAGAATTGAAAATTTCAAGTAACATTTTCCAGGTTGCAGAAATGCCTCTTTTAGTCCCGTCTGCAGTGCAGCAAGAGAGAGAAAGAAAAAAGTGCATGGCTGTTGCAGATCCCGGCGGCCCAGCACGCATTTGGTGATCTGTACGTACTGGGGTGATTCCTTATCAGATCCGACCAATAACCGTGGTGTCCACCGTGATGGGGCCCTTCTTCCCGTTTTGAGGTTTGCGGGTGGATGAGGGAAAGTGGTGACTGAGGGTGCAGCGGGAGTGTTTCTTGGGTCGGGATTTGACTTACTCGAGGTTCTCGTGGCCTTGAGAAAGAGGGAACCCTCAGTGGAAGGGTGTTTGTAGAGTAGGAATTACGACAAGAAAAGACTACGGCATCGTGGAAGTTGAGAGAATAGCTGAGGTAGATGGCGCATAGGTAGTCTGTTCTTTCCCCGTGGCCGCGATCGCATGTCACCGACAACCTGCCAGCTGCCAAATGGTGTCTCCAATGCGGATTGCAAAGTGTGGGCGGCCGGCGGCGAACCGATGCAGACTGCCAATGACAGAGCAGAGCGGTACCGGTCGATTTTTTCCCTTGGAAGGTGCCCGCCCACCAATTGCTTCCCGCTCAGGTCCTTCCTGCGGCGGCCCTGCACTGCACTGGGTGACGGGACTGGCACAGTTGCTGGGTGCTCGGTGCCCCTGCCCCTCCTCCACACCTCCACTGCATCATACCGGCTCTGTCGCCCACGCACCGCACCACCGCCCACCACACCACCAAAAACGTCCAGTCACAGTCTCGCAGGCCTCAAAAAGTAAAAAGCCTCGTCTCTCCGATTTCTCTACACCTACGCTTCTCCCTTCTCTCTCTTTCTTCCTTTACTCTCTTGCTCTCTCCTACCTTCTTCCCTTCCCCGTCAATCACCCGTTATACCCCCCCCCCCCCCCCCGGGCTGTTCAATTGAACTGGAATTGGACACTCTCCCCGGCAGCTAGAAGAGTCAGAGAGAGTCAGTCAGTCAGACCGAGTTCGAAGCTAATCTACCTGCGTCTGTTGTGAGGTGTTTGTGTGTGTGAGTCTTTCTCTATCCTTTCGAGGTCTTCAATGCTTCGTGAAGGAGCTTCTTTGCCCTGAATTGTACCCAAACGTCTTCCCTTTCCCCTCTATACCTATCGTCGAGTCTGTCCTCGTTCGCATTGCTCTACCGCCGTTCCTCGGCATGCCGACCGCAAACAGCACGCGGACGAGGGAATACGATACAGATAGAGGAGAGCATGAGGAGAAAGAGTAGACAATGGGGAGGAAGAGCACGACTTATATACCTGTGCTTCTCAATTGCTTTCTCCGCCTACGTCGCAAACCTAGCTAACCTGTTTTCCCACCAAAAGTCCAAATAGCCGCGATGCTCTCCGCAACCTCTGCCGTTTTTCGGGCCGGCGCCCGCCGCGCCGTGCCTCGTGTCGCTCGTCGCCAGAACCTCGCCGTTACCCGACTCAACAACCCCTTTCAGCGCCTCAATGCCATCCGCGCCCTCTCCTCCACCAGCTCCCAGTCCGAGCAGGCCAACCGCGACCGTACCCGCGCCATCATCATCCGCACACTGAGTCAGATCGGCAGCCGCCGCGAGGGCCAGCAATACCTCTCATACTTCACTTCCGTCTCCTCCCAGAAGTTCGCCGTTATCAAGGTCGGTGGTGCCATTCTCACAGACTACATTGATGACCTCTGCGAGAACATTGCCTTCCTCTACGAGGTTGGCCTGTACCCCGTCATTGTCCATGGCGCGGGCCCTCAGCTGAACCGTCTACTCGAGGAGGCCGGTGTTGAGCCCCAATTCGAGGAGGGTATCCGCGTCACTGACGGCAAGACCTTGACCGTCGCCCGCAAGCTCTTCCTCCAGGAGAACATGAAGCTCGTCGAGAAGCTCGAGAGCCTTGGCGTCCGCACCCGCCCTCTGACCACCGTCCTCACCGCCGACTACCTCGACAAGGAGAAGTGGAACCTTGTCGGCAAGATCAGCAGCGTCGACAAGGCGCCCGTAGAGCTCGCCATCTCCCAGGGCTACGTCCCTATCCTCACTTCCATGGCCGAGACCACCGAGGGCCAGATCCTCAACGTCAACGCCGATGTCGCCGCGGCTGAGTTGGCCCGCGCGTTGGAGCCCTTGAAGATCGTCTACCTCTCCGAGAAGGGTGGCCTATTCAACGGCGAGACTGGCGACAAGATCTCCCACATCAACCTTGACGAGGAGTACGATCACCTCATGTCTCAGTCCTGGTGCCGCTACGGTACTCGCCTCAAGATCAAGGAGATCAAGGAGCTTCTGGAGACCCTGCCCCGCAGCTCCAGCGTTGCCATCATCCACCCTAGCGATCTTCAGAAGGAGTTGTTCACCGACTCCGGTGCCGGTACCCTGATCCGCCGCGGAGACAAGATCGCCTTTTCCGACAGCATCGAATCGTTCCCCGACCTCGCCAAGCTGAAGCAGACCCTCATTCGTGACCGCGAGGGCATGGACGCCGAGGCCACCGTCGACCGCTATATCGACTTCCTTAAGGGCACTCCCTTCAAGGCTTACTACGACGAGCCCTTGAACTGCCTCGCCATCGTTCTTCCCCCCAACGAGAACCGATCCCACCCCACCCTGGCCACCCTCACCGTCACCAAGGAGGGATGGTTGAGTAACGTTACCGAGAACGTGTTCCACGCCATCAAGAAGGACCACCCCAAGCTCGTTTGGACCGTCAGCGAGGAGGACGAGAACCTCACCTGGTTCTTCGACAAGGCCGACGGAAGCTTCTCCAGCAAGGGCAACCAGCTCTTCTGGTACGGCATCGACAACCTCCAGGAGCTCGGCGTCTTGACCGATGAGTTCAACGCCCATGGTAGAGCCATGCTCGGCGACTCCAACCTCGAGGCCCGCCTCCGCCGCGCCGCCCAGACTTCGAGCCGCAACCTCAACCAGTCTTCCACCCCTGCCCAGGCCCGTGGCTTCTCTACGATGGCTCGCCGCCCGACATGGGCTCCGGCCGCTGCCGCCCTCTCCGGCAAGCGCACCTTTGCCACGTACACGACCACCAACCCCAACCCTCCCCTGGGCAAGAAGAACGCCTCCAACGACGTCCCCTCCCGCGTTGCCCTGATCGGTGCCCGCGGGTACACCGGCCAGGCTCTCATTGAGATGCTCAACGCCCATCCCAACATGGACCTCAGACACGTCTCGTCCCGTGAGCTCGCCGGCCAGAAGCTCGAGGGCTACACCAAGCGCGAGATCACCTACGAGAACCTGAGCCCCGACCAGGTCACCGAGCTCGAGAAGAAGGGCGCCATCGACTGCTGGGTCATGGCCCTCCCCAACGGTGTCTGCAAGCCCTACATCGAGGCCATCGCCGATGCCCGCAAGGCCGGCGCTGACCACCGCAGCGTCATCGTCGACCTCTCCGCCGACTACCGCTTCGACAACACCTGGACCTACGGTCTGCCCGAGTTGACCGGCCGCTCCGAGATCTACAAGGCCGACAAGATCTCCAACCCTGGCTGCTACGCCACCGCCGCCCAGCTCGGTATCGCGCCCTTGGTTGAGCACCTTGGCGGCTCCCCGTCCGTCTTCGGTATCTCCGGCTACTCAGGCGCCGGCACCAAGCCCTCCCCCAAGAACGACGTCAACCTGCTCAAGGACAACCTCATGCCTTACAGCTTGACGGATCACATCCACGAGCGTGAGATCAGCGCCAAGCTCGGCACCGATGTCGCCTTCTCCCCGCACGTCGCCTCCTGGTTCCGCGGTATCCAGGCCACCATCCACATTCCCCTCAACAAGACCATCACCTCGCGCGACATCCGCCAGATCTATCAGGACCGCTACGCCGGCGAGAAGCTCGTCAAGGTCATTGGCGACTCACCGCAGGTCAAGAACATTATGAACAAGCACGGTGTTGAGATTGGTGGCTTTGCTGTCCACAGCAGCGGCAAGCGCGTTGTTGTTTGCGCTACCATTGATAACCTGCTCAAGGGCGCGGCGACTCAATGTCTTCGTAAGTCAACCCTGGCGTCTTGAGATATTTGATGAAAGCACGTTTACTAATTTCTGACTACAGAGAACATGAACCTCGCCCTCGGCTACGCCGAGTACGAGGGTATTCCCACCATGTAAAGGGCACTGGCGTCCAATGATCAAGGAGCGGATTAGATTCACAAAAGGCTCGGCGCGGACACTCAAACTTATCTGGAGTCATAACCGGTTCAAAAAGCATCTTCCCATTTTACTTTCCCTTTTTTCCAAGTCTTGTTTCTCCTTGGCTTCTCTTTTCTGCGTGGTCTTGTTTCACTCTACCTCCAGTTCCCCCCTTTGGATACGATCGGGGGCTCTCAGACTTTTCTTTATTGTCATCCTGCTTCTTCGGGGGACCCCGGGGGCGGGTCGTTCGTTCCGTGGGGACCGTCTCGCATGACGTGAGTTGCGTATGTATGTATATACCTGGTTACGAGTTAAAAGAGGTAATTATACAGATTTAAAGCATTGCTTGAAGAAATATCGTGATGATAATGCATGTATGATCCTGTCGATGTGATTAGGTAGATGTCGTCTTCTGCCCACGACGTGTATTCTAATTGAGTACTATGTATTTCGTATCATTGATGTCTGCCCTCGGTATGGAGCTAGATGATAGGCCGCTCAGTTTAGGTAACGGTGTGGCATGTAGGATGGTTAACTTGAATGGATGGGCCGAAGCCCCCCGTGCGACTTCCACTTGCTCCCTACCAGTAAGTGACGCCCTCATTGCTTCTTCAGCATTCACTGCCTAGAAGCACTCGTGTTGTCACCGATAGGTGGGTGCAGAGGTGTGCAAAGGAGAGCTTACATTGCTCAGTCTATCGTAGGCAGAAGCCTCTATCTCGGGGAATCCTAGCAGCACTATCAAGAAAGCTTTTTATCGTCACGTCGTCACTCTCGCGCAGAATCTCCTTGTGAAGCCTTTGAAATGCCTTGTCTTCTTCACCGTAGAAGAGAGGCATATTGATGCCGAAGATGCCCATGAGACATTACGTGGCATCCTCGGCACGGGTGGTCTCGCGATGAGTTCTTGGAGGGTCCAACCCCGCGTAAACCAGCGACACTTGTCAAAGATTCTGCTGCCATCGATATCACTGTCGAAGTCGGCGTAGATATCAAGGTCAGATAACCAGGCATAACAGATAGCCGCGCGCCGGTACCGTTTGAACATTGAGTTGATGGCCTCGGTGAGCTCCGCACTGCTCGACTTATCGGTGCAGCATGTGTCAATCCAGGCGTCCGGGATCCATTCCTGGTTAGCTAGTTCGCAAGTGCTTAGAATTTTGACGAAGCCGGCCTTGCTAGTGGTATCGCTCCAAGTCGAGTACGTTGGATTCCCCATGTCCTGGGAGGATACTTCATCATCTCCCCATGTGTGATAGAGGATCGCGTAGGAAGGTATGTGACTGCCGGTAAAATCTTCGAGCTGGCGCGACCACATATCGATGAGCCACATTTGAGGGCGCGCGTGAGGGCTAATGATATTGATGGGGTGAAAGATGTGGTGAAGTTGAAATCGCACCGAACGGCATCAACTTGACATCAGTGGAGGTGATGTAAAGTACCTCACTACCAACTGTGCCTTCCGTCTCACGCTGCCACAACTGCGATTGGGCATTCACGTCCAACACAGCCCTGGGGAGCAGGAAAGCGCTTATCAGAATTCGACCCTCTTTCGTGCATGACATCTCACTCACAATGACACCCTGAACTTTTGCCAAGGACGATTAAAGCGTCAATCATCGCAGTATGCCACTCCAATTAAATGTAATTATGTGAGAAACAAGATGATTCTTCTTCTCGAGTATAATGTCTGCTCACCAGAGCTTCAAAGAATGAAAGTTGTTGTGAGACACTACGTTGTCTCTACTTACAGGTACGCAACAGCCAGACAGCCCAAGAACCCCATCATAGCAAACTTGAGTGAGACATCAAAGCTCCTCGGACTGGCCCCGGCCGGAGTGAAATTGGCAGTCGGCTTGACTCCGTCGACAAAGGGGGCATTGGCAGCTTGGACTGCTCCGGGAAAGGCAGCCGTTGAGGTTCCCGGGCTCAACTTGGGCGACGCTGGGTTGAGGACACTGTCATGTGTTAGTAAACCTGAAATATTGTGAGCTGGAAATAGAACAAGAAGAGGCTTACCTATCAATTACATGCATAACACCGTCGCTGGTGATGATATCCTTGATGGTAACCTTGGCAGAGTTGGCAAAGACTGTGGTATCCTCCTTCCGCAGCGAAACCTTTTCGCCCATCAAGCTCTTATATCCCATCTTGGTCGCCACGCCCGTGGTGAACCGGACCTGGTTCATGAGAACATGGTACTGTAGAATTCTAGAAAGGTCCGCAGGCTCCATCGACGCAACCGTAGCCCCTACAGCCTGGAACGCAGCGTTCGTCGGCGCAAAGACAGTCGCAGCCTGCAAAGAGTTGACACCATCGACCAGCCCAGCCTTGATCAGCGCGCCCGCCATGCTCGTGAGACCCGTATTCATAGCCGTGTCGGCAGGAGATCCGGGTAACGTCAAGACGGTGTCGATGATGTGCAGCACGCCGTTCTGGAAAGCGACGTCGGCCTTTGTGATGACGCTCATCTGCTTGTATCCGCTGAAAACCCTGCCCTGGTCACCCTTCCTGATGAGTTCGACTTTCTGGTTGCCCGTGACGTTGGCAGTGGGCATCTCGAGGAGAGTCTGGGCGAATTTGGGCTGTTCATAGAACATCGTGGCCGTGGTCTTGCCGCTGACGGCGTGGTAGCTAAGGAGGTCGGCGAGGAAGGTTGCGTTGGCCGCCTTTTGGGCAAACGTGGGGTCCGCCTGCATCATCTTCGCGAAGGCATCGTTGGATGGAGCGAGGATGGTGACGTCCTTGGCTTTGACGAGGGTCTGGTTGAGGGCTGGTACCATCGCCAGGAGTGCTGCTTGGTGTTAGTGGTTCCACTCTATTACCCATACACAGCCTATCCTATGGAAGATCATACAGGTCAGAGTACTCAAGGTATCGTTGTTGGTCTTGAGCACATCAGTGAGAGGTGGAGCCGCTGCCGCCAGTGCAGCAAAGGCGAGCGTGAGGAAGCTCGTCGGCTGCATTGTGCGGGAGCGGGCGAAGAGAAACGGGAAGCCAGCCCGGTGGTGGTGTTGAAGAAAAGAAAGGAAGGTTGAATACTTGGATTTTAGGTTCGAACCAGAACGACGATCTACGGGAACGAGCCGTCTAGTAATACTTATACTGACAAGTCTCAACCCAACCTTCCGGGTCCGAGAGGCGGGGGAGGCTTGTCTTGACACTTTTTGCCAAGGTCGGACGGTTCACCACCACATAGGATAATACTTTCGGCTTGTCATCTACAGCATTGCAATACGACTACCAAAATAAGCACCGGAGGTGGGTCTCTTATGGACCCGGCTATGTTTTGTGTCCTGATGCAACTTCATCATTCTTTGCTACCCTCGTAACGACCCGTTATCTGTGCAGGACGCGTGGATCCTTTGGTCGTGGGAGGACCCGCGGGAAGCAGGCTTGACACTTGTCTCCCGGCGCGCGGCCGTCCCGAAGCATAGCGGACCCATCAGCCTTACTACATCCCTTTTCACGATACCAGGGAAACGTGGAAGAGGAGATACAGAGGCTCTTGCGCCGGGAGAGAGGGGGGCCAAAACGTAGTGGGCGAATCAGAAGATGTTTGAACACATCCTGACCATCCATTTTCCCCTTCTACGGTGGCTGCTGTGTAAAGGTTGACGGGAAGTGGTGGTGGATTCTGTTGCTCTCATTCGTTCTAGGATAGCGGTGCGGCGGTAAGGAAAGGTGCTGTGCGGGAGATCGACGAGTAGAAGCGGCGGGATGACGGTGAAACATGCCTCAGAGCAACAGGCGGAAACGCATCCATGCGCAGTGGGGGGGCCCTTCTCAGACAGAGGCAGGGAAAGTTATTTTCAGGAAGGGCGAGGCGTGCCACGGTAGAGCCGCATCTTCGAGAAGGCTACCATAGAAACTGACAGAGATTAGGTTGAGCTGCACTGACTTATTAGAGATCATCATAAAGGTAGTGCCAAGTCACACCGGTGAGATTGACAGAGACCACGGAGTCTGTTCGTGTAAACTTGGAGAGGAACTTCATGATCTAAACCTGTAAAGACTGGAACCACTTGCCATGAAACCTAGCGGGAGAGACCGGAAAGATTCGAGATGCTTGAGAGGCTTGAGACAAGCACTGACAGGTTCCAAAATGGAAAACGATGCTGGGGGTTGAAGTTATTCGCGGATCGAAGCCCCGGGTGGAGATGGCCGGAGTGGGCCCGGTCGGGCGGTCCCTGGTGCAAAAAGATAGTGGACCGTGCTGCCTGCCTTACCTAAGGCCCAAGATCCAGGGATGACTCAGCTAAATTTGGTGCAATTCCCAGAAACTCCACTCCCTGACAGACATGCATCGCACCGCGCCGCACCGCCTGCAACTAGCTATTTTGTCTTGAATTCCACACTCCCGCGGACAACCAAGCCTGCATCCCCGGTCGCCTTGCCCGTCTTGCTGTAGCACAATGCACCGCAGCAATCTCATCTATTGCTCGCCGTGGTAGAGGTATGCTGGACTTCGGTTGACCGAGCGCATGGCTATCACGGCAGCGTCGGTAACTCTTTCGACAAAGCTTAAACACGTTCCGTGGCCAGCAGCAAGGATCGACCTTCCGCACGCAGGACGCTGGCTGTCGCCTCAAGTTGGAGGCTTGTTTGGTTTTGGCCCTTTCCTGCGCTGAACGTCGGTCTTTAGCTACAGCCGATGTCGAGGCCATGACCGCCACTAGTAGCTTGATGAATGGCGTGTTCGTACGGAAAGTAACAAGGTACTGATTGACACGGCGAGTTCTCAGCTTGATGAAATGAACTACTATATTTGGCGGTTCCTATACGCAGACGGCAGAAGGGGCCTCTTACCAAGGGCTACCTGCATAGTTGATTCCGGACGACATCCAAAGTTCCAACATCTAGTCGGTGATAGGCACGGAGGATATCGGAGGGAGATTGCGGGTTTCCTTGGCTTTTCACACATATTGCCTTGCTCTGGCGGTCTATTTACAGATCTTTGAATGCTCACTCCCCAGGAAGCAAAGGTGGTGTTGCAATAGGCGCCGACCTTTCATAACTTTCTCCCGCAACTCTTCTCGATTCATCGTGAGGCCTCACTGTCTTCAATCGCAACTCGAAATCTGTTGAGCGATTGGACTACGTTGCCAATGCACGTCGCATCCCCACGGGGTTTCTGGCTTCGCCCGCGTTTCCACCAAGCCCAGCCGTCGTATCGCAACCCACTCGAAACCCACCAAGACCTTGGCTGCTTTCTGGTGACCAAGTCACTATATATACTCATTTCCGACAAAGCTGCAGATTCGGTAGTGAAGATTCCGGGCCATCGGGGCGCGATATCACCAAGATCGACCGAGCAGGTTTCCTTCAGAGTTTCCATGAACGGCAAGACCTTTAAACGGGATGCCCGTCGCGTCGGATCTAGAGACCATCACGTGACGGTTTCTCAACTCTTGAGAATAGGCCGCTCTGAGATTCAAGTGAGTCTAGGATCACATCACTATGCCTTGCCCAACAAACAATGAACAACGCATCGCCCCCTCTCTGCTATGAAACGTCTTTTCTCTAGCCACAGTATCCGCTGCTTGTATCCTTGCCATCCAAGGTAAGCTCGTTTAATCAGCCATGATCCATCGCCTTCAATGCTAGGAACAAAAGTCCAATTGCTGGGCCAGTGCCACAATCCATGGCACTGCGCCACACCCTCAATATCTGAAAACACGTCATCCGCCCCCTTCCTCGCCCACGCCGCAGCCCGTGTTGCGCGTTCCCTTCCAGGCCGTTGAAAGACTGGAAAGTGTGTTCGCCTTCTTCATGGGGAGGCGCAATATTAAAGTTCAGAGACAGATCAGTGATGCGCGCCTATGTTGTCAAACGTGATCCAAAGAACCTTCTTCCTTTTTTACTTCATGCCTGTAAACCTCTAAGAATTCTCGAAAACTTGGAAGATCTTCTCTGAAACACGTTGCATCTGCATCGCCAAGAGAACATCGTCTTCACCAAGATGGACACCACGCAGGAACGGGAGCGTCACACGACGAGCTCCATTGCGGAGCAAGAGCTCTTCTTTGGCTCATCGCCATCAGGCCAAGGCCAGCCTCAGTCTGGGCGGCAGCAGCAGCAGCAATATCAGCCCCGATGGCACGATGACGCCCAAGACGACTCACCCGTCGAACCAAGGAGCGGAGTTCCGGCTGTGAATGTCATTCCGGCTACGCCCTCTACCCTTCGTTCAAACAGTGTACGCTCAAATCTCTCTTGGCGGGATAGGGATGCCGAGAGGCAGGCGGCGGCGGCCGGCGCGCTGCCCGAAGTTGAGGAGGAAGATAACATTTACGATCCGCCGAGCACTCATAGACCGGCAACACCGCCCACCCAGTCCAAGGTTTCTGCTCACCACACGGCGTCAACCTTTGACTCGCCGACTCAGACGAAAGTGGATGAGGATTATAATGTATCGCCCATGACCGAGCCTGCTATTTTACACAACGACACGGGATTCTCTCATGCAGACTCAGTTGACACTGCGGACGCTGAACGGTACTACGATGCGTCATACTCTCCTCAAAATGAGCACCCTTCTTCATTTGATAAAGGAAAAGCCGTTGAGACGCATCCGGAGCCCGCGGTACTTTATCACAACACTGAGCACTCAAACACCAATGAGCACCGTTCATCGATCGACAAGGGCAAAGCCGCAGAGGCGTACCCGGAGTATGAAGAACGGCCGCCCGCACCAAATCCCAGGCCAGTATCAGAAGTTCCCGACTTTTACGCTCAAGAACATGGTGGCTACGGTAGAGATCATGCGGTCCAGGAGCAAGAAGACCGCGACTATGCAATGGCCTTAGCACTTCAGGAAGAGGAAGAAGGCCAGTCACCGCCCCTTCCACAACGACACACCCAACCAGCATGGAACATTAACGGACCCCTCTCCTCCAATCCCTTCTCATCACCCGAAGATCAGGACCGCGCCCTCGCTGAGCGTCTCCAAGAAGAAGAAGAAAACGGGCCCCCGCCCCCCTTACCAGCCCGCCCTCACCCCAAAGCCGTGGCAGAACTCCTCTCTCAGAGTCAGGAACCTCCTCCATTCTCAAGGACGCCCTCCATAGAAGGCATCATGCCGCCTCCAAAGCGTCAGGGCTCCGACTTTGGCAACGACGACCCTTCAAACCCGATTCACTACAGCCGAGACCCCCACAAGCTCATCACCTACCTCGTTCCCTTCCCCAAGCCCTGGCTGGGCTCCAAGGCGCCGTCTGACGCCATCCCCACCCGCTTCCTCATCTACACACCCCCGCCTCCGCCTCTCCAGGCGCCGCCTGAGGGCGTGAAGGAGGGCGTTACCCACAAGGTGCAGCGGAAGTGGCAGACTGAGGTCAGACAGGCCAAGATGAGCGACGCAAAGACGACCAGCTGGGCGGGATTCAAAGCCAAGTGTACGCGCGGGGTGGATAAGGCTATGCAATATACCACCACAAGTAACTTGGATTACTTAGCTCGCGTTACGCCTCCGGCGAAGCCACCCTCAGCGATATCGCGCAAGCTTTCATTGAAGGGGAGGATGAAGAAGGACAAGAAGGACAAGAGCGCTTCAGGGGATGAGAAGGAGACCAAGAAGAGCCTCGATGAGAAGAAGCGTGAGAGTTCCGACGTCAAGGGGGACGATGCAGAAAAGCTCCTTCACGATGACGAAAAGAAGTCCTCCGAGGACAAGGATCTCGATGAGAGGGTGAGGGATGAGAAGTTGGCCGAGGAGAAGGGCGACAGGGAGGAAGAAGATTACTTCAAGTCGCAGCAAGTCGACAAGGATGAGCAGGACGAGCTCATAGAGGATGACCCGGCTCACACGTCTCATGAGACCAAGAAGACGGTCGGCGTAGAGGAGATTGTATTTGTGTACTCACCCTCGATGAACATGACCCCCGAGGCCATGAGGGAGGAATTCGTCAACTCGATGATGCGAACGAAGTCCAAGGCACAGCGCGACGCCGTCATCGCGACTGGTCTGCTTCCTGTTTCGCTGGCTATTGACTTGGTTATGATTGCCGTCTCTGGGCTCTTTGAGGTCAACGGTAAGTCTTCTTCACTCAACATCCAGCCTTTTGTGATCTACTTACTGACTCTCATATAGCTGTATGGGCATACTTCACGATCAAGGGCTCCAAGACGGCGCGCTCTGTCACCAAGCGTATTACTTCCTCCTCCAAGAAACCCGAGTCCATCGACCCCGAAAAATCAGAGGCCGAGTTGGCCAAGGAGGACAAGCTCCATCTCAGTTTCAAGCCGGCTAATCGCATCGACGTCTTGACGCGATACCTGGAGGCTGAGTGTCACCGCGTGGATTCGAGATTGTTCCCCCGATACACGTCTGCACCCACAGAAGTGTAAGTTCTTGCCCCCAACTTACCCACCAAACCTCAGTCCATCGGTGAAAGTAAAGCTAACATATGGATTCAGGGAATGCCTAGAGGCGATCGGCTGGTCTCCCGCTCTTACACGCGGTCAGAAGAACTGGGAAGACGAAGCGTGGGAGGTGAACGATGTCAAGGAGGATCTGAAGGTCGTGATGCACAAGGCCGCGAAGGAGTGGCGGAAGTGGTGTAATCGGTACGAGAAGAACCCGGAGAAGAGCTTGACCAAGTGAGAGCATGCGTTTGATTTAGAAGCGCTGCATGATTTGGAGCAAATACACGACATTCATTGTCTCTTCTGAGCTGGAGGTTTCATGATTCCTCTAGTTCGAGATTATCCACATCTTGACTGCCCCCACCACGAGACAGGCCTCGCCCTGCCATGACTTCGAGAGATTGACCCACAGTGAAATTTTCATGTGAACCCCATCGTGCACTCAGAACTCCGCTTCCTAGCCTGCGAGGTAAGAGTCCCATCTCGAGGCAAATTAGCAACAAATAATCCGATATGGTGTAGTGGCCAACATGATGCCCTCTCATCTCCGTGAGAGGTTAGGCATAGCCCCGAGTTCGATTCTCGGTTTCGGAAATTGAATCTCATCTTTTGCTTTTTGACCTATTTTACATAGATAGAATACTACCTAGAAGATCTTACTTGACCTTGCTTCCTCCCTTTGTGTCAATCCATGCATGGTTCCGTACCAAAGCGAGAATTCTCCAGTCTCATGACGCTGACCATCTTCAACCCTTGTTCAAAAGCGGGACTGCGTTCCGTTCTGCAATTCATCCATATACCTATGCCAAAGCAGCCTCAATACCTAGCTAGCTAATGCCAAATCTCAACTCAAATCAGTGCTCGACCTCAGTCTCCAAGGCGCTCCTCAAAGCTGCCTCGTTGCGGGGGGTGAAGGTGACCTTGTAGGAGCCTGGCGTAATAATCAGGTTGGTCAAATCAGCAGCGCCGGTGATGGGATCAGTGTCGATCTTGTCCGTCGATGACAGCTCGAAGCTGGCCAACATGCGGAGGAAAGTGATGTACAGCTCCCGGTTGGCCAGCATGGTTCCGGCACACATGCGGTAGCCCATGCCGTAGGTGAACATGGGTGCTTCGGGGTTCTCCAGCCAGCGCTCGGGGCGGAAGACCTCGGGATCGTGCCAGAGATCGCCATCTGAGGAAGAGTCAGCAAATAGTTTCATGAATTATTCACTTCCAAGTGGAGAGTGTAGACTGACCCATGTTGCAAGCCCAAGAGTTCAGGAAGACTACGGTGCCCTTTGGTACCAGCTTACCCTCGTACATGAACTCCTTGTTCGTGGCACGAGGCAATGAGAGGCGAAGGACAGTAAAGAATCTGAGTTTAAAAGTCAGTCAGAGTTGCAGGTCGTCGAGCATGTCATGTCCAAGTCGTACCTTAAGCATTCGCGCACCAACGCGCGAAGGTAGGGAATAGTCTGGTCATCGTGCGCATCACACAACGGGTTTCCCTCGTCGTAAGTCTCCCTAATCGCCTCAAACGCCTTCTGCTGAATCTCGGGGTGCGTCGCCAAGAACCCAATGCCCCACGTCGATACCGCAGTAAACGTCTCGAAGCCGGCAGAAAGCATCGTGAGACTGATCGATGTCAACTCGACCTTATTCAGCTTAGCCTCCTCGTCGAGCATAACGTTGGCCTGAATACAAGGCTCGTGCGTTCCGGTGCGAATCTTCTCCTCGAGGTCACCGTTGAGCTTGGACAGGTACTTGTCGCGGCGGATTCTCATCTCTACGGCGTGGCGCTTCCCTGCCGAGAAGGGGTTGTAGCGGAGGAGGGGGATGTAGTCCTGCATGTTGTCCGTGACGCTCCTCGTGCGGCTGATCTCGCCCTCGACAGTCGTGATTTCCTTGAAGAGTCCGTCGTCGTGGCTGGGGAATCGCATGCCCCAGTTCAGTGTGACTGCCAGCGACAAGCTGAGTCTCTGGACCAGGGGCAAGGGGTCAACGGTGACTTTGCCTGCTTTGCCGTAGTTGAGAGCATCTTTGAGGAAGTCTCTGGTCTCAAGATCCAGGTGGGGGATGTAAGTCTCAATGGACGGGCGGTTGAGAGCGGATGCTGCGCCCTTTCTTCTCCTCTTAAGAGACTCATTGTAGGGAGATGTGCCAATGGTGGTACCGGCAGTATTAGCAACAATCTATAGCATGGATATTAGAGATCCCATCTTGAATGCGCTTTAATAGTGATGCAAACCTTGTGGAAAGTATAGAGCTCTGGCCGGGAAGCAGTCGCTTGAGAGTTGTTTCCAAACATGACCTTGGCCGCGGCGGCAGTGTTCACAACCAAGACCGGGAGGTTGCCGAGCTGGACCTGATAAACGGCACCAAACTCCTTTGCCCAATCCTTGTACACCTGCGAGGCATTACCGCCGAGCTGGTGCAGATTTCCTATGACGGGGAGTCCCTTTGGGCCATGCCAAGCGGATAGACGGGCTTTCGATCTGACAACCTCATTTGCTATGAAGTACACTAACACGGCGACACCGAGAAATTTGGCGAGAAACTCGGTTGGTCGGTGAGTTGCCTCGTGGACGAGGCCTTGTACGAGTTCTGCGACGAGCATGATGGGCAGACTGCTGTTGGTGAGAGGGATCGTTGACTTTGTTGGTATTAATGGCAACGACAGACTAGATGAGCAAAATCATTTATAATGTAAGATAACTCATTGGGCGGAAATCTCACAGTAGATTTCACAGTTCCCCGCGATTTGTCTTGTCCTTGGCCTGGGCCAAATCGCGGGGTCCCGAGGACATGGTTTGGCGTCGGAATGGCAGTTCCAAATTCCGCCCCCGCGTCCCGGCGTTGCGCGGAGGCCGCACAGGTCACACTATGACGTGGGATTGGACGGAGTAAGGTAGTTCGGGGTGGAAACAGGCAGGCATTAGTCGGAATCATGTTTTATAGTCAATTGGCTTTCATGCGTTCCGCAGAATGAGCAAGCTGTAAGGCGAGGAACTTGGTGAGAACTGGTCGTGAGTGAGCCGGGATCCTGAATGTTCATCGCCGGCTTCAGACTCTCAGCCCGAATCGCATGTTACACAAGTTCGTCAATTATTAGAAATGCATGTCATTTGCTTGAGTTGTTGCAGCAGCCTTGTTGTCAATTAGTTATTGCCAACATCATGCGAATCACTACTAGTATGGTGGTTAAGTATGGCAAGCTTCAAAGGAGTCGACGAATACACTAGCGTTCACTGGATTCTGATTTATAAGGATGTCGAGAGGTTGCATGGTTCGTAATACATCAGGTCATTTTATAGCATATCGACAAATAAGTGTGACACACCCATGGAGGTGTTCATATCATCCACGAGAAACGAATCCTCTGGCCCTCGCTCTGGATCAAGGCCGTCACCGTCAGTACCCAGAACAGGTAAAAGAATCCCAAAATCTCCCCCGCCATCTATCGAGTTGAAAAAGTCGTTCAGCTCCTGCGCCATCTGAGCCTCGGTGAAAGGCTCACCCGAGCCTGCTGGCCATGTGTCGAGCTCCGGTGCGCGCAAACCATCATCGACAGCTGTCGGCACGCTTCCAGGTGGGATGTCCATACCTCCAGATGAGGTGGGTGGTGTGACTAGCGCGTGACCATGCTGCGTACTAGGCTCCCTGGTCTCCCTCGACTGGGGAGCGTTTAGTCCCAGCTTTCGCCAAGCGAGCCGTAGGTCGCTTATTCTCCTCCACAGCCGGCTAGAGACATACGATCGAGCACTTAGACCTCTGATCAAGTCCAGTGCGGTATGGAATTCATCGCGGACTGAAGCGCCGTGTTCCATTGGCGACAGGGCTACCACTAGGAAGATGACTCCCAGAGCTGAGACAAGGAAATGGTTGAAACACATTTGTTGATTTTGGTAGATGTCTGTTGACTTGTTGAGAGAGTCAAGCATCTGGATGGTGTCCTTGGCCAGGTTGACAAGTGACTGGACCTTGGACTTGTTGGACTTGAGACTGGATGTTGAGTGGAGGAATGGTTGAAGCAGAAGGATCTTCATCTGGTTGGCTCGCAGGTGAAGCAGAACCTGCAGCCGTTGAAGACCTCTAGACGTTGTAGAGTTCGTATTGGGGCTCGCCGTCTGCTCGTTTGAGGAAAGCCTCAAATCTTCCGGGAGGTCTTCATACCACTGATCTATGCGGTACAACAGGTAGGAGATTTCGTCGTCTCGAATGGCGCCCGTGGCTCTCGCCGAGTTGTACGATGTCGCCCAAACTTTGTCGCCAATTCGGCTGTACTCAACCATGGCTCTGAGATACGGAACATCTTGATCCTGCAGTTGAGAAGGTCAATACTTGTCTCTCTCACATTCGCACTTAATCGTTGCGTGACTCACTGGCTCTGGTAATTGCTGGTCAACATCGAAGTTGTGCATCACGAAAGGCAGTCCTGCGCCAAAGCCCCAACGCCGGTCTAATGTGTAGACACACCAGAATAGCCGCATAGCCATCTTACGTTTTCCAGCATCCTTGAAAGTTTTGCTGATGGTTGCTGATTGATGAAGTCCCATTTCCAAACACCATCGGGCAACAATGCCGACAAGTCTCCAGGCTTGCAAATCGTCGCCAGTCATGAAGCTGTAAACCGCCTGAAGGCTTTTGTTAGCAAGCTTGTATAAGCTAGTCCAACTGTGGGCGCCACTTACGAGCAAGATGTAGAGCATAGTCGACTTAATGCTCGCCGATTCCCATAGCTTGTCATGTGATGACTTCCTCACATCGAGGAATAGGGATCTGCCAAGCTGACTTGAGCCTCCCGCTTCTACGGTCAGGGCTGTGGATAGCACCATCTTGACCAAGCTCAGATCCTGAGGATCAATAATTGTCGGTCCTGGGATTGCAGCAAAGGCGAATCCAAGCCGAGAACCGCTGTTCATAGCATGGTAAAGGCTTCGAACTCGTTCGGTAAGCCACCCGATGTCGAGAAAGGGGTACTGAATTCCAATCTCTTCTTCATACACATTGCACAGCCGAACAGCTTCTTCTTCGTTGATCAGCCACAAAGGATCTATTGACCCGACGTCTAACCCAAAGGCTGTTTGGATAGATGGTGAAGGTGGGCGAGTTGGATTGACAGATCCAGGCATACCGCCGGATTCGTGATCGGCGGTGCCGATACCGCGTGCTCGTAGATGTGTTCTTGCAAGACTGATGTTAAAAGTGTAACTAGCTGATGGTTGAGGCTCGTCTTGGCTAGCGGAGGATTCAACGTCCACGACAATGGGGCCAGGTTGCAGTGCCGGGTCCACCACTTGGTCATCTGGATTGTCCAATGAGACAGGGAGATCTTGGATCACTGTTGGTGCAACCTCAGAATGTAGAGGGCTTGACTGATTTTCCGACGGTTGCTGGGACTGGTGCCGGCGTAGCTGGTCAAGGCCTCCTTGCAAAGAAGCGACTTGATCCCGTAGGGATTGAATGGCTTGTGCATCGGTATCACTACTAAGTTAGTCAATAACATAAAGTACCGTGTCCATATCGAGCTATAGACTTACGCGCTATTTCCTCGGTCTTTGCGTGGTTTCTTCGAGGCTGGGTATGCACCTGAGGCTGTTAGTCTTCCTCGCTCCGCTCCGGCATTGTGTGGAATCGATCAACCCACAAGTCAATGCTTGACGAGCGCAACGGAAACAAGGGCTCTTGCCATTGCACTTGCTCTTTCTTTTCCGGCACTCAAAGCTGCAAGGTTTTCGAAACGTAATCAGTACTCCGTACAGCCCAGCAACCAACGTCTGCTTACACCGGAATCCCGAATATGGGTCTTCTTACCAGGCCTTGGAAATGTATTTCCCTCGAGTGGTCCGGGCCTTTGGAGCACTCGGAATTCCGCTCTTCTGAGAACCGGGGGATCCGGCTTGCGGGCCGTCGCCGCCGCCGACCGAGCTGGGAGATTCTGGAGAATCCATGTTCCAATTGAAAGTGAAAATAATAGCACGTGATCGCCTTCCGCTCTCTTCTTTTCTTCGTTCTTTTTCCTGGGACCTGCTTCTTTGAGCGAAGCAGTCGAATGATAATCGAACGATAAAAGAGGTCGAGGGAAAAGGGGCGGAATTTGAGAGGTAGGGTTTCCGGGGGGTTTTGAAGGATCTTGGCTGGACATTAACCCCCGCCACCCCGCAAACTAAAGGCGCTAGATCTCTGGGGTAAGGTGGCTTTCAGTGGAGATTGATCACTATCCGTCAAAGCCGGCATCACAGCCGAAATCCTTCCCGGCATGCGTTTACCATTTGGCTAATCAGGATGCTATGATTGATCCCTCAGTCTCCAGGTCTTGTTCCACAGGGAGACACAGACTCAGAAATTGGAGTTTCTTTACTGGATGGTCGTATGGGGACGGAGATAAGTGCAGGAACCCATATGACTCGGTTGCTAGCCGGACTAAGCTTGGAAGGGATGGATAGTCCCGTGCTAAACAGTTGCGGAATGGCGGCGTCCGCAGGTTTCACCTCACTAAAAACTCTTGCGACTTGAAAGCCGCAATATGGCTCTTTTCGTACCTAAGTATTCCTCAGATTTCGTTGAGCGCATCAGATATACGTGTAGCTTAACACTGGAATAATAATACATCCACAAAGACACAAGTCTCGCTCGCAGGTTGGTCGATCCAATCGTGAAGAACTTCCCATGCAAACAAAGGCGTGAACAGCTTGTCATGGGTATGTACACTTTCTGCAACGTCCTGTCAATGCCACGTGTAACTCCTAAAGGGCTTTCCAAACATTACTCTCGTCCAAATCGAGGAGATCTGATACCATGGGCAGGCGCGGATCGAAGGTTCTTCTTAACGATCGAATGTCATCGGTGTCCAAAATGCCTCTGTTAAGGTGGGATGGCGGGGTTCTTGGCGGAATTTCCGATGGTTCCTAACACGCAGAGCTAGGTCGGAATTCGGAAAAAGTTCCGCTGCTGCGCTGACTGGTGTCCTCCGCTAAAGTTGTTTTCTTGTAAGAGCGCCCCTCGTGTAAAACATTGGCAACGGCTGCTTTCCATCATGATGCCATGATATGGATCAATGCCTGGCATTCGAGCGTGTCTCACGAAAATCGGGCCTTGCGCTTACAGTTCTGTCGCTTATAATCCTATCGTAGGACATAGTTAAAATCGATACTGCCCGCAGTAACGGTTATGTCCGTTCCCAGATCGCAAAGGGCCCCCAAATGCAGAATTGGCGCAGGCAGCTGAATCTTCGTTCTTATCAAGTTTTCTTTACTGATGCAATCTGAATTACGGAACGAGAAACTCCTGATCAATATACATTTCTACTGTGTTTATCGAATTCCTCGTGCTGTCTTGAGTCTTATCTTGTCTGGTCGGGTTCTTCGGTAACTTAGTAGTGATAAGTAGTAGCCGACTATGAAAAGCGAAGTTTAAACGCCATCTTGGAACACGAGACAAACTCATGCGAAGAATTTGGAGAATAACTCCAAATTATTAGCATACTGACGCGAAATAAGCAAGCCAAGATTGAATGGTTTACTGGCGAGGCTTCGATAGATCTGTGCAAGAATGGGGTTGTAGTAGTGTATCATCAGTGAGCAACCTCGACTGTGAAAGAGGGTCCGAAGATACAGTGAGGTCTGGCGCCACGGATCTCAATACCGAAGTTACACAGTGGACGTCTAGGCCAACAGCGAAAAAAAGACCGTCCGCATCTCGCACAGATCACAAATTTCCAAAGGACTACAAAAGAAACATCGAAAAGTCCACTGCTGCAAGATTAGTTTCACCTGCGACTATTTTGTTGTGATTTGAAGAGTCCATTCAGTCGAGGATGTACACATTTGTCCCAGGACAACCTGGCGGATCTCCGGTATTACGAATCGCCCAATCCGGAGGGCGGCGCCCATGAAGCTTCAGTGAAGCAGGTGGAGCACCACAACAAGATAAGGTCGTGTTCTTACACTTGGTACATTATCATCACTCACAAGGCCTCAGTATGAACGAGAAATCGCCTACCCTCTGTGTCCCAGCTAGGATCTCCAAATTGAAGTTGTACATCGTGAAAGACATTCACACCCCGCGGTTCGACCCCAAGTTCCCCCGCTCGCGCGATAAGACAGTTTAAGCTGGCTTGAAGATGCCTTCAAAAGTATAAATCCTCCTCAACCGAGACACCATAAACCCTTCTCACTCTCCGTGATCAGTTTGACCTGTCCCTACGACCTGATAACATAGCTGAACCTTTCGAAAAAATTCAGACGACCATGGGCAAAAAGAGAGTTCTCATCAGTTATGATGTCGACGTTGATGCTGTCTCAGGCTGGCTGGGCTCCTACGGCGGCGACAACTCGCCCAATGACATCAGCAGAGGTTCGTTACTGGAGTTGCCCACTCCAAAGCTCGGGCGAGGCTTCTATAAGAGAATCTTCAACCTCATGTGGCAATCGTTGATAATAACTATTGCGACAGGAATATTTGCAGGCACCGTTGGTACTCAGAGGATGCTCAAGCTGTTCGAAAAGTACAACATCAAGACGACGTGGTTCATTCCTGGCCACAGCCTCGAAACGTTTCCAGATGATATGGCTGCTGTCAGAGATGCGGGACATGAGATCGGCCTGCATGGCTACTCACACGAAAACCCGACCGACATGACGATTGAGCAACAACAAGATGTACTAGACAAGACTTACAGGATGTTGAACGACTTCTGCGACGGCAAACCACCGAGAGGATGTGTCGCACCTTGGTATGACTGTATCCGATGTTTTGATAGAATGTGCGGTCCCTAACTAGCAGCTAGGTGGGAGACCAGTGCGGAAGGCGCTCAGCTTCTCCTCGATTACGGCATCGACTACGACCACAGCTTGGCACATCATGACTGCCAGGCCTACTTCCTCAACACAGGTGAATCCTGGACCAAGATCGATTACTCTCAGAAGGCTGAGACCTGGATGCAACCTCTCGTTCGGGGCAAGAACACGGGACTAGTCGAAATCCCATCCAATTGGTATATCGACGACCTGCCCCCGATGATGTTCATCAAGTCGGCACCCAACAGCCACGGCTTCGTCAATGCGCGTGAAGTTGAAGATATCTGGCGTGATCACTTCGAATACTTTTATCGCGAGTACGACGAATTCATCTTCCTCATCTCATGTCACCCAGATGTCTCAGGGAGACCTCATGCTATCTTAATGCACGAAAGGTATGATACAATCATTCGGCCTTGGAACAGAATTTGACGGCTTATCGGTTACTGACGACTTCTGAGGCTGATTGAACACTTGAAGAGCCATGAAGGTGTTGAGTTTGTGACGATGGCTGAGATGGCCGATGAGTTCAGGCTTAAGAACACGCTGGCTTCAGGAGCGTTGATGCCCGCCGCACCTGGCTTGGTCCTGCGGAAATAGTGCTTCGTTAACTTATGTTGAGTCAACTCGGTTCACATTCTGATCTTTCCTTCTTAAAGTTATGTATTATGAAGCGGCTAGGCTGCTGCGAGCTCTGCAAGCTGGGTGCGTAGGGGTAACGTTGTGGGAGTTGAGGCTTCTGTTTGGAGTTCGGATGTCGTAGGTGATCTGTGGCACGATCTTCATGTAGAGCTTCGCTATTCTGACATGGAAAGACCGCGGAAAATTGAAACGTGATATCTTAGGGTTGTTCTTGGTCACTGTGTATCGTTTGGAATGACGATGCTGTCTTTTCCAATGGTTAAACATTGCGGTGAATTCGGTTGATCGGGGCAAAGCAAACCGAGCGCTTGTTCAAATACACGAAAAACCTCCTCATTGCAATTCGTGGACACACCACTCCATTGATCTCTTCAGGCCACATTTCTCAACCCAAAAACGCGGGGTTGACATTTTCACTTTGCTTCGCTGAGCTCTGCCATCAACGGTATCGTTTCGAAGTTGAATATTCCACAAAATGAGCCTTTCGGCATCGTTTGCGGCGGACTCCGCATGGCCGCTATGGGACACCGAACCTGTCGAGGGGGCATTCGAACTCAATCTTCCACAAGGGACCATCGATCAAGGAGTCGTCAGAGCAGTCTCAAGACCATGGGTGTTTGGCTATAAACCGACAACGAAGCCCAACGGGCGCGCGGTGCTCATTCTGGGCGGCGGCGGTTACATTGAGCTCATGGTTGGCCGCGAAGGTGTCGCCGTCGCACGCTGGCTCGCTTCCCTTGGCTTCGAGGCCTTCGTACTTGTGCACCGATTCCCGACAGCCGAAACAGGACCTCAAGCTCCAGTCGACGATGCCAGACAGGCGTTGCGTTTGATCGAAGAAAAGAAGGCGGCGCCGGCGGGTTTGGCAGTATGCGGCCTGTCCTCTGGCGGACACCTTGCGTCCGCGTTGCTAGCCGAGTACCCGGCATCGTGGGCGTCTTCTTCCGGGGCACCGGTACCGAAGCCGGAGTTTGCCATTATCGGATACGGACCTATCTCTACCAATGCTAAGGGGCACACCATCGTTCCCAACAAGGCGCCTCTCGACCCGCCGGCGAAACAGGAGCTTTACGATGTCGTCATCCCCGATCAGCAGATTTTGCGCCCGGCGCCGCCGACTTTCATCGTGTATTCTGCCAGCGATCCCGTGGTGCCTGTAGTAAACGCATACCGGCTTGCGCAGGGGTTGCAAGCAGCGGATGGATCTGTCGAGCTCCACGTTTTTGCTGACGCGCCCCACGGCTTTGCTTTGGACACTGAAGGATTGCCGGTTTCGAAATGGCCGTCTCTGGCTGAGGCGTGGTTACGGCAGAAAGGATATCTGGCATAATTGAGTGAGAGACAGTACAATACCAACTTCTACAGTCTATTCAGACTATTACCTCCTTATTGTACTGTGAAGTTTGCGGGAGATCAAACCGCGGTGAGACGAACATTTGGTAAACTCAATGGGTGTGTACTGTAATCAGTGACCCCCGCCGCTAAACGAAGTTGCATCAGGCACCCAATTACCCCCCAACCACCAGCCATCGAAGGATCACGCAGTCATCTTTAAGCGCCCGTTACGCGCCTACTCGTGCCAGTTTGGAACTGCCACCAGAAAAAATGGGAGCTGAAATCAGAGTGTCGGAAACTAATGTAAGGCTCCCGGAGTTTGCCCCTAGGTTGACACAAATCTAACAAGGTTCTTTCAGTATTGAGGGTTTATATGCCCGTGGTCATATTGAAATACCAGCCATGGTTAGAGTTCTGGCTCGGAGAACCATGGGCTGTACTGTTTATATACCTAGATAAGTATCGACATCGCCCGACTGTAACAGGCGATCGCAGAATTGTTGATGTCACTTGACGCAACCAGTCTTCGGCACTCTTGACGGTGCAACGTCTTTCCAGGATCGTCATCAAGGGATGAATAACACCTTCAGAGAAAAGCCTTCTGCCTTCATTCAATTCGTGGTAGGACCTGTTTCTCTGCTACTTTCAAGATGGCGCCGAGGTCGGAGTATTCGCAGTCTTCGACAAACATCCGAGGTCTTTTTGATGAGGATTTTACGGAGAACAACAAGAATGCTTTTGTCGTTGGAACACAACCACTTCTCCAACGGGACGTTGAGCTTGATAGCTTCCTAGGGAAGACGTCCGTTAGCGGCGAGGACAGAAGTGCAGACGATACTTCCAGTCACGCAGCAGCTTGGTGTCCAGCATGGCTTCGATCAGGGACATTGTTAACTTTCACCGCTTTCTTTCTTCTCTTCGGCGCTTCCCTCCTTGCGATGTTTCAGTTCTCTCAGCAGAATAATGGGTTGGTCACCACACGGCAGAGCTTCGTTTATTTGTGGCGGTTTGGCCCAACTGCAAGTAAGTGAAACCAGCGAAGACTTGAAGTTCAAACATTTAATGTATAATCTTCAAGTCCTTACTCTATTGTCCATCATTTGGTCTAGAGTTGAATTACAGGCTATCCGGTACATGCCTTGGATCGCTTACCGCGATAACCCCTCGATCGGCAAGGATGGATACTCCCTCGACTATACGGCCATGTTATCGCCCTCGATTCTTTATGAATCCTTGCGGAGAAGACACTTTCTTGTCTTCATCATCGCTGTGGTGTCTCTTCTAATGAAGATCCAGATTGTTCTTGCCCCCAGTTTATGCAGCCTGGTCAGCTTCCAGGCTGAACAGCCCGTCGAGGTTCGTGTGCTCAACTCATTCAACGTCAGCACTCCAGCGATGTCAAACAGAGAGACGAGTGCATACTACATTGCAAAAGCACTGCAGAATTTTGAAATGAAGCTACCATTTGGCATTACCGAGAAGGGAGCTTATCAGACATTCTCGTTTCGTCAGGGCTCTGGACGAGGGACAGAAACAGAACCGATCACAGTTACTGTCGATGGGTACTTTGCAGAGATGCAATGCCTGAAGCTTAGGAACTACTCGCATACGGACCTCAAGGAAACAGGTCCTGCCAGAAGCTACTATGCTTTCAACGCCAGTCTTTTGTTCGAGGGTTGTGATCAGCCAGTTTCAGTCACCACCGATCGAATGATGTGGATCAATTCCAGTCCTAATGACATGACGTTGCAGAGTAGTTGGAATGTCAACAACCTAATTGATGAGCCAAAGCCCTGCTCGAATTTGCCGCAACAACACAACCAATCTTTGTACTACGCAACTCGTATCGGGCCGTCAGCAAAAAATACGTCACATCCTGCTGTTCTCAATTTTGCGGCGATTTTGTGTTCCTCAACGGCCTGGGTAACCCCAGTGGAGATAGTCGACGACGGTGTGAGCCCGAATATGACGGTAATACCGGGCGGATCCAGAACAACAGTCAACGCGGATCTTTGGTCCATGCTGGGGAGCTCCATCCCCGAGACATCTGGTCTTTGGGGTGGCTCAGGGACCGGTGTGATTTTTGGACCGATCATTACAAATTTCCAGTTCAACGGCAAAGGAACGAACAATGACACTGATCCATTATTGTTCACCAATGAAGTTCTTTATGACGCGGTCATGAACACAAGCACTATCCTGGCCCCTTTGATTGGCCACTACCGTCTACGAGAAGAAAGTGTTTCCCAAGCAACCGGGAAAGCAATTGTTACCATCGAGAGACTGGTTATCAACCAGTGGGTTTCACTGTTGATGACAGCGCTGTTCTTCCTACTTGCTATCCTGACCTTGGTCGCCCTACTTCGCTACAGGAACAGGATGTCAGTATGGTATAGAGATCCCGCTACAATTCTCGGCAATATGCTCTTCTTCCGCGACAACATGGGTCTATCGAACAATGGCATGGAATCTCAGTTGCGTAACTTCGATAAGGAATGGAGCTCTTGCGATTTTACCCCTTTACTACTGAGGACGTGGACACGAGTGCCGATCTCTATCTTCATTCTTGGGATAATCGGTGGACTATACTACACCTTGGGCATTTCCGAAACACAAGAAGGGCTTGCCTATATAGACGCTGATGGGTACCTACATTTGCTTTGGACATCAGTTCCAGCGCTGGTAATGCTTTGTGTTGCTTTGTACGTCGGCTGCTGCGACTCCGCATATCGAGGGTTAGCGACACTTTCATGCCTGTCTCCGAGACCGTGCAGCGCACGACTACTTGATATGTCGTTTCTCGATATGATGGGACTGAGGGCATTATACTGGTCTATCCGAAAGCGTGTTTGGGCAGTCAGCCTGTCACAATTGCTCATCTTCCTCTGCGGGTTTCTTACAACTCTGGCTTCGGTTATGTTTACCGTAGACCCGATTCCTAGCTCCACGAATATCCAGCTACGACAGACAACATGGTTCGGATTCCGCCAGATGACGTTGAATGATGCTGGGTCCTTCACAGCCACGCGAAATTCGTTGAGCAGCCTACTTCTGCGCAAGGGCGATGGCGCTCTAACCTACCCGCGGAACACCTACGATGATCTCCTGTTCCCGATCCTTGACGGACTGGAAGGAACAGAGGTTTCTCCAAACATTTCTTTCCAGCTCAGTGTTCCGGCTGCCAAACTGGCCCCGATCTGCGCCAAGTTGCCTGCCAGTACCTACAACATCACGTTCCAGAATTACACCGAGGAGGACAAATTCTTCGAAGTCCATATGGTTGAGTCGTTCGATTGCCCCAATGGAAATCGAGGGCAGCTTACGGGCATTATCTCTATGAGTGCTGCTACGAACCGGCTCGGCCATTCATACTTCTCGGACATCCTCGAATCACCGGAAAATACGTATTCTATCAACGGTCTTTGTAAACTTGGGCTGAACATGAGTGCTCTTGACTACATACACTCCCCATTTCGGTTCCAGACTTACGTTTGGGGGGAGTTCAACAAAGACAAAAACGATCTCGATCACCTTTCTATCTGGAGATGTAACTACACCTGGGTTGAATTGAGCACCAAGGTGTCATTATCCATGGAGTCAGACAGTATATACATCCTCGACCCCGAAAGACCGCCGGAACCCGATTTATCAGCGACGAAGCTCTGGGATCCTCCATTTGACGTCCCTCACTTCGACTATCAATTCATCAACTTTCAAGCGGGTGATGCGTTCCCAAGCGTTGGCCTCAACGAACCCCTCGCTGGATCAATGCAAAGGCAATTCACAGTCTTGATGGAGCCATACGGTCAACTACCACTCAGCGCATTGGGTGACCCTAGTCAGGAAAGCAACGTTCTCGATGGCCTCAAACATAACTTGGGGTTCATTGGTGCTCAACTCGCCAACTTAGAGAATCGCTTTAGCGTCACTGACTACGGGGTACCTTAGCGGAAGACCGTGGTCATTTGATATGGAGGTGAAAGGTTTGGCACCTGATGGTTTCCATAGCATGAAATCTATGGCTGCACTGCTTCATGGCTCGAATATCTCAAGCCACATGCACCTACCACAGAGTGTTCATCTGCTATCAAAGGGCGACCTCTATAGTCGCATAGATGATTTGAGCTTCCGAATGAGTTGGTTTCAGAGAACCATAGATCAAGCTAAATACTTCACTATTGGGATCTTAGGTGACGAAGAATTTATGTACATGGGTAAAGAAATGAGCATAAAGAGTGCAATATGAAGGCCTTGTTGTGTCGAGGGGAAAGGCGAGACTGCACCTTGGAAGAGCTTAGTGCGTGAGTAACTGGTATGACGGAGGAAGCTTTATCTTAGTAGAGGTTGACAAATTGCAATACCCAGCACAGGAACCCAGGACATTTCGGTATCGCATCTTCAAAAAGAGAAAGTGCTACGAAGAAATGAACAATCGAGCCGCTGTTGGAACACTTGTTCAGACGATCTGTGGGGAGGGTTTTATGGCATTGTAAGAGCATGTCTCAACCGCCCAGTCTTCCGGCCAACAGTTGCTCGTGATATGATATGTTTTGAACTTTCCGACCTCCATGAGCAGATTGGACTATTGTTTCTTGTGGTTGCCAGTGGTTGCCTCTCATCACCGTGCCGTGCCTGTCACCGGCGAGCAATGCGAACGGATCGACCCCTACGGCAGCACGGCATCGGCCCGCACATACTGCTGCCGTCTTCGGTATCGGGTTTTCGTATTTTCAGCATTTCTTTCGTCCCATCTTCATCACTGCCGCGAATGGATTACTCATTTTGGTCAGTGTTCAACAGGGAACTGCTGCTGTCGGCCTGCCATCTAGCTTGTGTCAGCCTCGGTCAGACGTCAATTGAAAGCTTACTGGTTTCCCATTTCTACAGGTTTTGAAACACCACACGAAACCATGCGAGCCCCGACACTCTAATACGAATACTGTTCAGCCCCAATTACCTCCTCATGTAAGGGTTTCTTTGTGTGCCAGATCCTTGATCTGTGCTGTAGCGGCGATTTGTATTTGTTGGTGTGGACTCATGTCAGAAACTGCAATCCCAAAGTATCGCCGCTGGATATTTGTCCATTTACATCGTCGTGGAAGTAACGACATCACGACTTCTTTCACACCTCTTATCCTTCACATCAGTAGTAATCTGGTCAGGTCTCAAAGTCAGACATTTGCGCGTGCTGGCCACAATTTCCGAACTCCTTACTACTCGCGCCATTTATCATCGGAACGCCTATTCACTACCGTCAAGATGGCGATTCCGGAACAGGGCATGGTTATGATCGTGGTGGGGGCGATATTGATGTTCCTCAACACCTTCTTCGTCGGTCTGCGAATGTACACTCGGATCTTTATCACGAAGCATGTCCGACCCAATGACTATCTACTACTCACGGCTCTGGTTCGTATCCCAACTCGCAGTGTATGGATTCGTCTTGTCTAACGCGATGTTTACAGGCCGCATTTGCAGCTCTTTATGCTCTCTTGATTCTAGGCGTCCAGGGTGGAATTGGTGGCAGCATCCTTCAGGCGACGCTACCCGGGATCGCTAGCGCCCTCAAAGTACTCTTTTTCCTGGAAATTATTTACGTTGTTCTTACTTCCGCAATGAAAGGAAGCATTGCTTTGACCTTCATTCGGCTGTCGCGTTCGAGGATCCTGACTAAACTCTTTTGGGTATCAATTGGCTTAGACGTGGCCATCAGCCTTGCCTTCATCATCTACTTGTTGGTCCAGTGCCAGCCGATTGATTTCGCATGGAGAATGCTGGATGCGGATGCAAGGGGACACTGCCTGCCACTCACTGGTCAGCTCTATATGGGATATGCGCTGTCCATTGTAACGGCAACTCTGGATGGTCTTTTGATGATTTCACCGTGGCTCATGATGAGAGGCCGCAACCTGAACTCAAGGTTGAAGATGTACATCTACGGCATCTTCGGATTGGGAATTCTGTGAGTTTTATCTCGAGGGGCTCATGAAGCCGTTGCTGACAAGATTGCTAGCGCAACGATTGCGAATATCATTCGCCTTGTGGCACTGGTCAAACTCAAGGGCTCAAAGGACCAACTTGGTATGTGGTGATGTCTCCAGTCTGGCTGATGTAAACTAACTGTGGTCACAGTCGACGCAGCCCCCGTATTCAACTGGTCTGCTATCGAGGTCAGCATCGGTATTATCATTGCTGGATTGATCGAACTTGGCCCACTTGCCGCCAAGTACAACATCAAGGGCTTCGAGTCCTACGTCGGCGACGACACCGAAATGCTTACAAAGCCAATCACTCACGAATCAAGGGTGGAAGATTATGAAATGGAAACACGAAAGATGTAATGATGAGACGAGTACAGTACAGGGTGCGCAGAGAGCAAGTGACGGGGTGATGATGGAAAGTCTCAAGGCAGTATTCTCTGGCAGAATACCTTTTGGCCGCCATGCTCAAATATAGGATGCAGACCTAATGAGGGCAGTACTTGGCTTCTGACTAACGATTACATGTTACCATGGTCTTGATAATAATACAATTCCAAACTTCCCGCCTTAATATGTGGACGATACACACGTTTCTCAATGGCATTAGTTCAGCGAGATTCAGGATTCAAAGTGCTTCGGTCTGTTTCCGCTACCGCTCTTCTAAAAACCTTCACCCAGGAACTTTACTTGATACAAACACTTGGCTGACTCCTAACTCAAGGTAGTTAGGCTGGAAGAAAGTCGCCCACACACCAATCATTAGGGTGCACAGTAATCCGTCACACGGTATGAAGAGCACTAGGCACGCCTTTTTCTCTTTTCATGTCCAACTAAAACCGGAGGTTCTAGGCAGGCACACTCAATACTGGGAGATAATTGGCAAAATCAACGAGCGACGGATGCGGCGCGGAGCAAGGCTGTGTTGTCAGACGATTGGGGGGCGGGGCGATTTGTGAAGACTCACACCGGAGACACTCCCAAAGAGGAATTTTCTTCTGTGTTAGCATCAAGCCGACAAAGTCGTAGGATCGCCAATAAGGAGTCTCTCCACCACACCCAAATGTCCCATCTCGTCACTCTCGTCTCTCGTTGGCTTCTCAAAAGTTAACAAGTATTAGCCCAGTAGGGCTGACATTGCCCAAAATGGCGTCAAGATACATGGCTGTGGAAAGGCCGTATGACCTCGAAAAGAGGCAGCATCAAGGCGGAAGGATTGGCCCCCAGAGCCAGCCCGACCGAAGATGGAAGATGGCGGACAACAACGTTCTCCTTGAGGCCATATAAATCAAAGAGCAGTCTCGCCTCCTGTTCGACTTGCAGTGATACTAGGCCTCGGAAACCAACCTGTTCTTTCACACAAAGAGGTCACTTTTGCTCAGTCTTGCTGTCAGGCTGCCCCTCTATTGAAACATAATTTGTCATAATCTCTTGGGAATCTTGAGTCTTCTCTCTGCAATGCGTGACTACGAAAAGCTCACGAGAGACGAAGATCTCGAATCGGCAAAAGACGAACGTCTTCTATATGAAGATGAAATCCTGCCCGTTCACTTCATAGACCAAGCGGCAATTGTTCGCAAGATCGTCTTCAACTACACCTTTCGCTACGATAAAGTACTCGACGCAAAAAAGCTTCACGAAAGTCTTGTCCAACTCGTGCATACGCCTGGGTGGCGTAAAGTTGGAGGTCGTCTACGTGCCAATGTAAGTCATGATGTTCAACTTGAACACCAAAAAGTTGTTTTCTTGCCAGTGTTGACTATTGCGTAGAGCGAGGGAAAGCTCGAGATCCATGTACCACGCACTTTCAACGAGACACGTCCGGCTGTGAGATTCTCTCACGTCGATCACCTCAACACTAACATCGATTCTCACCCTCTTGCATCGAGACTTCCCAAATCAACCGGCTCTACGCCATCTATACAGGAGGGTAGCCATGCCTTCAAGTCTTTCGCTGCGCCTGTTGATCTGCCCAAGAGCACCGACCATTATTTGAAGAGCGACGAGCCCTTGTTGTGTCTTCAGGTTACATCTTTTGCAGACTCTACACTAGTAGGGCTCACCTATCCGCACTCACTCGCCGATGCCATGGGCATATCAGAGTTGCTCAAAGCATGGTCAAACATCATAGTGGGCAAGAGTCATTTGGTGAAGCCTCTCCAGGGCACTTATCGAGACGTGCTTGACTGGGCAGGGACAAAGCTCGACAAGGAAGCCTCGCAGAGAAAGTTCGCTCTAGAAAGTCAGCAAACCCGTGGCTTGGCTTTGATTTCATTCATTGCCCGATATGTATGGGATATTGCGACTCGTCGGACAGTGCAGTCCCGACACATCTATCTGCCCGCCAACTATCTGAGGCATCTGCGTCAAGGAGTCGAGCAGGAGCTCAAGGAAACACATGGAGGGGTGGCTCCTTTCGTCAGCGACGGGGATCTCATCACAGCTTGGGGTTCTCGCCTTGTAATGTCGTCAAGACCATGGAAGAGGTGCAGTGCAGTAATATGCAACGTATTCGATATTCGACGGCGTTTGGAGAACACGTTTGCTCCCGAAGGCCCTTACCTACAAAACTTGATCCTGCCAGCAACAACTGTCCTGTCCAGACAGGAGGCTGCCAGCGCCACGACGGCACAAATTGCTCAACATCTGCGCCAAGCAATCACAGAGCAGACTGGCGACGTGCAGACTCGAAGTCTCCTGCGTCTCGCACGTAAGTGGTTCGCAGCTCTAGGCACGATGCCCTTATTTGCGCGGTGGGACTCCCGAGTGATTGCCTGCTCCAACTGGACCAAGGCAAGATTCTTGGACGCCGCCGATATCAGCTCTGCTGCCTCGGGCGACGTTGGCGAAGACAATCCCTGCACTGGAGTGGTGGGGGACTCTGCGGCGGATGCGGCGCAAGATCATGTCAGACCAGTCATGTTCTGGGGCGCCACCATGAACGCAGATGACAAGACGCGCGACGCTTTTATGATCTACGGCAAGGACGAATCAGGAAATTACTGGGTTCAGGGGTTTTTGAGAAAAGAAAGCTGGGCACTGATTGAGGAGGAATTTCAACGCTTCGGAAAGGAGTCGAAGGAATCTATCTGACTTGGGTCATATCTTATCGGCGTGAGACTGAGCCACTGTAAGATACGAGCTGGCAGGAAAGTGTACTAAATAATTCCATGTACCCACCCTGCTCGAATCTTGGTGCTCAAGTTTCGCTCTTCCCGTCATTATTAGGGCTGCATATGCAGGATATGACTGACATTTGGAGGCAACAACAACGACATGTCAAGTCCTCTGAATCAACACGGGAAGAGAGAACTACGTGCCAGAATAACATCGCAATTGGCCCGGCTGAAGATAAGAAGTGCTGCCAACAATTGCATAACTGCACATGGGCGGCATAGCTACGCACGTAAACACGGCCGTAAGGCGCATTCGACCCTTTAGGCATCGATGGGCTCATCGCCCCCACGCGCTGTTCCCATGACCATAGAATCAAATGAAATTCGAATGTTCACTTTCGGGAAGCAAGTTGCCCGCCGACATTGGCATTTCCAAAATATGAGCAAGCCACCAGACGCCTCCAAAGTCCAACGGGACCACATGCAACTATCTTTGCCTAGCACTCTAGCAGCCTGTCTTTAGCAGCTTGGGTGTCCTGTACAAAACTAACTCTGGCATGGATTCTTGGTCTGCATCCTCCTCCTGACGAATCACCTCCAATCACACTCAAGAATTTAGGCCTTGCAAAGACTTCAATCTCCGTACTGTATGCATCAAGGAGCAATAGTCCAAACATTTCCATGAGCAGCATTCCTCCGTGTCATTGCTTTTAGTAAGTGAGACTCTTCTTTGCTTCCGTTACAACTTACGGTTTCTAACGGCGAATGAAGCAGCCCCGAATACGGTCAGGATACTCGGCCTGGCCCATCGAGGCGTTAGACATCACCTCGTCAGCATTACTCTTCTGCTTTGACGTCAACTAACATATTTAATGATACTCGCCCAGGAATCAATGAGATATACGGTAGAGTCAGACTGCAGCTTCCCCTACGTTGTTCCAAGGGACGTGACGCAGATCTTTGCCTTTCCTGGTAAACGGAACTTGGGTCATGCAGAATTCTGACTCTGCGCCGGCGAGGCCTGGATCCGATACGCCGGTACTCAATAAAACATTTTTCAAAATGCCCTGCGGTAACTGGACATCCGTGCACATCCATTCCGGGCAGACGTTGAAGAGTTGAGACGGTGAGATCGACAACTCTGGGAATGGGTGTCTCAACGCATTCGGCAGAGCTAATCCCCAGATCGCCAAGATCTGCTAAATCTTCAAGGATCCTGTGAACCCCAGCCTACTGTAAAAAGAAAGCTACAGGCCGAATGCGTTACCTAAATCTTAGTGCCGAGAACTTTGACAACTACCTATGGAAGTGATAGTAGGAGCAAAATTCAACGTTCGCCGCATGGAGCGTTCGGGGGTTCTTAGGCTTTTGTCACTTCTCATAGAACTCTAGTTGTGTCTCAATTATTCTATACTCCCAGCTGAAAACCAGCGCTAGGACGAGTCTCCGACATCACGTTGCGATCGATGTTCCTGTTGTATACTTCGTAATGACTGGATGAGGATGATGGCGGGTTGCAATGGACAAGATCCTTCCGACTGCCGGCCCCTTGCTGTTCGATGCAGAGATGCACTCGAAATGGAGCCCTTGCGGCTGTGTAGATCTTTCTCTAAAATTCAAGGTGGACACATCTGCTCGGAATGAGAAGGAGAATGTCAATGTTTGCTTCGTCCCCTGCGCTCTGACATGCTCTTCAGAGCCTCAATAGAGGAGATTTCTATTTGCTTGGGTATACATGAGTGCAGGAGTAGTCGAATAGGTGACTGGGATACTCTTACTATTCCTTGCGCGGTCTTCGGCATGATGGTGGGAGTAAAACGCCAGTACGTGGAATGAAGGCAAGGGACAAGACTGTTGCTGTGTGGAGTAAGCTTCATCACACGGTATGATGCTGGAATTGAAAAATCATAATGATTAGAGAGACTGCTATGGACCGACGTAGATCATCGACAACTCCGTCATCTTGACACTTTACCGCCGAAACGTTAAGGAACACAGTCCATGCAGGGATGAGTCGATGACCCTCATTCCATACGATCTGAGAGACAAGCGGAGCATCTACTGGTGATTTTTGAGTCCTTTCAATGCGAATGTATGGGGATAGTATCTCTTGAACCAGCCCTCTGAAGGTAGGATTGAAGTGTATAAAAAGCGTTGCTTGTCCCTCCTCACAAGACTTCTTTTCCCTTCATCATCACACTCAGCTAGCACATCTCATCTCATCATCTTCTATTTACTCTCAAGTAATCCTCATCCTTTCTAATCAGCATCTTCTACCACTTCCAAAACGACCTTCAAGTCAACCTCAATCTTCTCAAAATGCAGTTCTCCGCCGCCGCCATCACTGCCATTGCCATGGCCCTCACCGTCACCGCCGCACCCGGCACCACTGCTCCGGTCAAGAGGACCCTCGACACGCTCACCTACGGTGAAGCCCAGAACGTCTGCGGTGAGAACCTCAGCGTCAGCTGCTGCAACCAGGCCAGCGCCGACACCAATGTCAACGACAACTCCGGATCTGGAATCCTCTCCGGTATCCTGGGCGGCGTCCTCGGAAACGGCGGCTTGAAGCTTCTCGACGGATGCTCCTCCATTGGAGGCGGAAGTGAGGATTCTCTGGTATACCGTCATTTCTGTCGAATACTAACAGCCACTAGTTGCCAATGACCTCTTGAACAGCAAGTGCAAGCAGAATGTTGCCTGCTGCAAGTCCGATGGCAACACCGTAAGTTTTGACTGAGTAATACATGATATGCCACAGAATTTGGCTAACTCTTTTCACTTTAGGCTTCTGGTCTCGTTGCTGTTCAGCTTCCTTGCATCCCCATCTCTGGCCTTTTGTAAGAGAATTCGAAGGTCTCTCTCTTCAGTTTCATGGTTGGATAACTTTCTGGGACTAAGGGGTTAGCTCGCTGAGACACATGTTGAAGGAATAGGGTGGTTGTAAGAGTTCAAGACAAAAGAATGGGTTCGATTCGCGATCAGGGGTTTTATCTGCTACTTTAGCTTTCAAAGGCTTTCAAATATACTTGTTTGCTTCCCAACACTTGCTTAAAATGATTCTGGAGCTCGGCGAGAATAACAACTTCTGGGCAAGTTCAAGTGCAGGATAGATAGTCATTCTCGATACTGAGGTTAAGAAGCCCATATTGATGGTTTGAAATTTCTGCATATATCTTTTTGACAGCAGAGATATCACTGAGATCCGGTGGGCTGAATCCTCCACGGCCTGAACGTGCTTATAGGTAAGACATCAGTAGTTCTGAGAATCATACATCAGTACTAACATGGTGTATCGGATTTTACGAAGTTTTGGCCATATCAGAAACGATGACTCTAGACTACGCATCCATACACCAGAGAATGGTATGTTCAAGACCACGATCTATGGGGGTAGATTGTTGGAGAACGATTCGAGTTCTTCGTGTATTAAATGGTGGTTGCATGACTAAGCGGGTTCGTCGGAATGTCGAAGAGACCTTCACCCAACCGACGAATGAATACAACCATATTGCTAACTCAAGCAACCTTTGAACTGGGTCCAAAGTCCCATTAAAGCCTTGCCAAAATTAAGCCCGGTAGACTTTGTGGGGTGCGTCGGGTGCGGAGGTCGGGACAGGCAACAATGCCGTCGCTAAGGATAGTCGAGTTGATCTCCCAGGCGAGGAGCACGCCTATCTCCTAAGTCCCCGGACACGATCACCGCTACCTTTGTCTCGTGTTATAAGATGTACTGAGGACCACCTTTGATACTGATTTCAGAAGAGCTGTCAACTCTTACTATCTCAGATCCGAAACCAGACCATTCAAATCCAACATTTGCACCATGAAGCCTTTAAACTCCCGAATCTCCCAAGATGGTTATCACTGGATCTCAAAAGCAATCGACACTTTGGATCCCGAAGTAGACTACGAGAATATATGGCGTCTGACATCAAGCTATCAGCTTTCAGACTTCGCCAATAACTTGGTCTACACCCTCACTTTCCCCAACTTTGTCATCCCTATGCATGGAGCAGAAGTGGTATGGCGCTCTGACGGCGGCAAAGTCGTCCATAAAGCCGTCGACCGAGTCGAAAAGACGGAGCACTACAACATGGCATGGTGGTACTACGGTCCTAGTGACCAACGTTGCCGCAACGCTGTTGAGAGAATCAATCAGCTACACGCTGGCCTCGCAGGGCAGTATCCTGGAAGGTTTTCTCACAACGAGGACTACGTCTACACACTCACCTTCAGCGCCGTGTTGATGCATCGTCTGAGGATACGGCTCGGCTTCTCTGGCTTCACAGAAAAGCAAAAGATTGCTGCTCACCACTTCTGGCGGGATATGGGTCCTCTATTCCAGGTCGAAGGCAAAGGCACTGTGAAGGACTACCCAGCAGACTTTGATGGGTGTATCGCTTTCTGCGAGGCGTACGAGCATTCTCCCCGAGAGTATAACGAGAAAGCTCGATATATCGGTCTCTCTATCTTCAACCTCTTTGCCTATCGATACTTTCCCCCTGGCCTGCGATGGTTCGGCATGGCGTTTCCCCGGACGCTGTCTCTGCCAACGACGCTGAGCGCATTCCGTATCGAGCCGGCCAACCCCGTGCTAGCAGCCATCATCATCTTCATCGTCAGAATGGTGTTCCTCGTCACGGATGTTTTGTTACCCGATCCCAAAATTCCATTCTTCGAAAGGTTGGAGACGCTTCCGGAGATGGAGGCACGAAAGCGAAAAGAGGAGACTAGGGCCTTGGACAAGTCCTTTGAGCAGTTCATCATGTCTCAATTGAGCGGCCCTAGCTGTCCGTTTAGCGCAAAATTGCAATAGATATCCCAAATTAAGAGCTTCGTACCAAAGATCAGTTTGGCAAAAATAATCAATGACTCTGACGATACTTCTCTATCATCTACCAGAGAACAATGACCATCTAAGCCTCGCTCTAAGGCTTTATTGTCTCCTTCTTGAGCCAATCTCGCCATTCTTGGTCAGCAAGAATATGTCTAACTCTAGCTTCAAGCCATTCTGTATTTCCCCAGAAGCCCCAAGATGCCTGGAAGCGGCACCAATCTACCAAGGCAGTCTCCCAGTGACGCATAAACTGATCCCAATCATAATCATCGGGTCCCTTCCCTGGTGGTTTCTGGCTCAGGAGGGTGGTCCAATACTGCTTCAGAATAGCTCTCTCGCCCTTGCCCATGGCCAACTGATCCGGTATTTCTTCGTAGTGGGTGAGCAACTCAACGGGTACCGAACAGGTGAACAGCTTGGCAAGATCGCAGCTGCCAACCCCCAGTCCGGCGTACTGGAAGTCGAAGAAAGCCACCTTATCACCAGCTTTAGTTGTGAAGAGGTTCTCAGACTTGACGTCGCCGTGGATGTATGTCTCAAAGGGCCTGCCGGAGGGTGTGAGGAAGCTGGCAACTAGCTCGGCAATTGAGGAAGATGAACCCTCGACGGGGTCACAGAATGCCGAAGACCATTCGGAATAGTCATCTCGGCATAGCGACCCGTATTCCTTCCGTCTGGTAGCGAGATATGTGTAACCTCCGTTCAACCATATCTTGGGCTCGGCGACACCATGACCAGCCTCCCTTCGTTTCGCTTCTTCAAGCGGGGGTAGCACAAATTGCCCAAGGTCATCTGGCAACGATGTCCAAGAGATGCTGTGATACTTCGCCAGCCAGTCCAGCGCAGCATTGACCTGCTTGCGGTTGAGAACCAGTCTCTTTTCACCGGCCACAGGAAACTCTGGTCGCAGATCCGTGATGATGGTGGCAGTGAGACCCTCAAGTTCTTTCTTGCGGGGTTTGCTCTCCATGTCTAAAGTGGAAGCGAGTCCCTTTGCGACAGCGACATCATCTGATAGCTTTGGTGCTATCTCTTGATAGAAATATTGCTCGACCTCGTAGCTCAACATCTTGCGCAGGTGGCCCTCATCTGTTCCCTTTGCGCGTGGCGGTGAGATGAGCTTGATGATGAGGCGATATGTTCCATCCTCTTCTGAGCGTATCGGGAGCGGCTTTTGGTCCGAATTGGCGGCACCATTAGTGTCGGCAAGCTTTGCAGTCAGGGCACAGATGTGGCCGTAGCCTGCCCAAAGCGATTGAAGCTCAGTGAGGGAGACGAGTTCGAGACCCAGCCATGAGAGCATGATTTCGGCGACACGACGAGGCTGCTGGAGGGACGCCATGGTGATGGAAAGCGTGGCAGCCGCAAGGACAAGTTGAGTGTTATCGATGATGATCCCCGACAACGGTGCCTGAACGATGAGATGAGTAAATTTAGATGAGAGTTGATGATATTGAGTGAGCGCCACGTCCATTTCGAGAATGTTTCCCAGGTGGGTCCCGACGACTTCGCTCAGTCTCAAGCTGCCGTGAGGTGTGAAAGAAGTCTGCAATAGCTACGCGAGCATCTGGAATTAGGAAAAATAGAAAGGTTTCGGAAACATAAATCCACAAGCAGAATTTTCAACTCGTCAAAAGTGAATTATCGATCACCTATTAATATCTCATGCAAGTCCTGGCTCGGCCTTCATCAGCCGTACGTTGACCATACTACCGCAGCTGGCGCCATTTGGCAACACCTGGGTGAAAATCCGAGCACAAACATGTCACTCATCGTCATCGTAAACTTGCTCACTCCCACGATCTCACCATAAGACCTACCGTTCACCGGTCAAGGCATCATACTGGGAAGAACAGTCGGAAAGCGCACAACACGTGCTAGTCTGACATAATCTCTGCAATCTGCCTTAGGGCCATCAAGGTGTCTTGCAGCCCCACCGCAAGGGGTTCCTACTAAAGGCGGACTTCAAGACGCGGCGAAGACCTCTCGTATCAAAGCAAATCTTCGATAGAACATCATCTAAACAAAATCAGCTGTCTTTCATACCAAAAAAAAATGGGCCGAACACAACCATCAGTTGGGCAGCCACCGGCGGCATTTCGGAAAGCCGCCCGAGCCAAGAAAGCCAAGGTCACCTTGAACCAGCTGATTCCGTCGCTCCTCTCTACGCACCCACGGGCTCGTCGCGGAATCGACTCGGCTGAGCTTATCACTGAGCCAAAGCCAGCGGCAAAAGAGACCCGACCCCTCAAGACAGAAGGCGCCGATGTTCCGGAGACCAATGGGGCACTTCATATCAGACTTCAAGTAGCCGAAACTCTCACAGCCGCTCACGCATTAGTGACCAAGGACGCTGGGACAGATCGCCCGACAGACGTAAGCAACAAGGAAACACGGGTCGCAATTCTCAACATGGCCTCACCTCTCACGCCTGGTGGTGGCTTCGTCAACGGAGCCGGTAGTCAGGAAGAGTCGTTATGCATGCGGACTACGCTGCTGCCATCTCTTAAAGATGAGTACTACCGTCTGCCGGAGCTCGGTGCTGTTTATACCCCAGATGTGTTGGTTTTCCGAGATGGAGATGCGGACGACGTGTTGGAGAAAAAAGATCGTTGGTTCGTGGATTGCGTCAGCGCTGCCATGTTGCGAAATCCGGAAATTGAGCGAGACGAGGATACTGGCTTCAGCCACTACGTGCAAGAAAGAGATAGGCAACTCATCCTGGAAAAAATGAAGATTGTGCTGCGGATATGCCAGCTAAAAGGTATCAAGAAGATCGTGCTCGGTGCTTGGGGATGTGGCGCCTACGGAAATCCAGTCGCCGAAGTGGCCAAGGCGTGGAAGAAGGCACTGCTACCGAAAAACGACGGAAAAGGGAAAAGGAAGGGGCACAAAGAGACGTGGAGCGGGATCGAAGAAGTCGTCTTCGCCATCAAGGATACTGGCATGGCCGATGCCTTCGAAGAGGCTTTCGGAAAGGGCATTGAGAGAGACGTAGAAGCTGAGGTGGATGAATCCGATGAGGAGATTGATATCGCTCAAAAGAATAAGGAGGAGCTTCAAGCAAGGATTGCCGAGTTAAAGCAGCGCATCGATGCCACACCGAATCCGCAAGTCAAGACGGGTCTCAACTCAATTCTTGCTGGATTAATAAGCCAACTGCCTGCTGATTCGGAAAATAGCACCGACGACGACGAAGATGGAGAAGGGGGGGCAGAGGATGACAGCGGCGACAGCGACACAGATTCTGAGCAAGCATAGATCTAGGCATAATGACTGGATGATCTAGTAACTGGAATCATTATTTTCCTTTCAGAGCATGTTGAGTGTCAAAATGCCCTCTATAGGACTGGTTTCCAGAGAGCAAAGATTGGACATTGACACTACGCAAACGTCAGATCAGGGCCGAGGTGTCATCCGCCATGGGCCCGGAAAGCTTCTGCGACTAGCCTTAATTCTAATCGGTTTTCACAACCTCGGGTAGAAGGCCCCCTTCCCCTGCTGAATAGTTTTGTCGATATAACCGATGAACCGATAATCGAGTCCCGGCCGAGGCCAATATGGCGAAGTGCAAGGCGGCTGTGATCGGATGTCTGATTGCGTTACCTGGTTTGGTTAATGTGGCACTTTTTCTCCCAGCTCCCGCCAGCCCGACTACTTTGACGATGTATTTCCCTTGAGAGCACCACCAGCGTCATGAGAGTGACGATCCTAGAAATAGTTCAAGACCCAAGTCGGGATTGCGTTCTCACTTGCATAGGGTTGTTCCCGGTAGTCATGAATGGAACCGAACAACCTATGGAGCCCTTTTTTTGTCCTTGATTGTCCGGGAGTCAACTTATTTCACGACTTCGTAAACCGAAAGGAACTAAATGGAAACTTGGTAATCTGCAAATCTTCGCCATGCAGCTTCTTATTGACAACTATAGTCTCTAGAGCCTAGCTCAGGTCACGATTTCTAGCAGAGATCCTTCATCTTCTACAAGTTGTGAACGGTGCTGTTCCTAGTCCACCTACGGAACGTCTTTCCGTAGTAGTAAAATATTGCTCCACAAGCACAGAAAAACACGGTCAACGCCATGTTGGTCATGAAGGCCGGTATAAAACTGTTCACGTCAGTATATGTCATCGGCCCAGCGCGAGTGACTTGACTAACCCTGCCTCGATCGTCCAAGGGGTGATGAATTTGCCCATGCCGTATCCCCAAACGTTCTTGTTAACCGTGATGGCAACCATAAGAGGACCAGTCACTGGCTTGTAGCAGTCGATGGCGTAGGTGCTAGCAATACTGGGTAAAGCAGCTACCTGAATGCCCGCGCTTGCGTAGCCGAGGACTACAATGATAGGCCAGGACCAGTGATTCTGATACCCAACCGCCGTGATAATGTTGCCAAACACCATGATTATGACGAAGGGAATCATGGCGGGGAGACGCATCTCAGGCTCGCGGATGCCGTTGTTTCGAGCCGTCGCACGTGCGGATACCCAATCACTGAAGGGGCCAGCGGTGACTAGTCCGATCAGCGCACCGACAAGAACAGCTAGGTTGGTAAAGCCTGCAAGAGTCAATTTCTGACAATGATGCTAGAATGCCGATACGAGTTTAGAGGCTTACCAATGGACTGCGAACTCATGTTATAAGGGGGTGCAGCGAAGACTTGAGACTGCGTGAGGTTAAGAATGAGGAAGTTGCTGCAGCTCCAGCTCACAACAAACGACGCAAATACCACAATGGGGAATCCAAAGAGCTTCCAGGGAGTCCAGAGGTCGAACCAAATGGTCTTGAGGGGCGAAGAGTTGCGCTGGAACAGGTACCACTGCTGTTTCGAGGGTGTTCCCTTGCCAAGGTACGGGTCCATGTCTGTTGTTCGAGTTTGGTTCAATGTCTCCTCGGCAACCTCAATCGTGACAGCGTCTTGGGCTGGCTGAGAACGAAGCCATCTTGTCTCTGGGAAGCCAAAGAAGGCATAGACAATGGAGGCGGCCGTAAGCGCAACGTTGAGCCACCAAAAGTTCTGCCATCCAACATGATCCGCCATCGGGCCCGCAACAACTGGTGCAATCTGAGAAGATTAGTCAGGAATCCTGGCTGTTGCTGTTTATGATAGACTGACCATCAAAGATCCCATATACACAACCCAGTATAGCGTATTCCAGCGGCCACGATCATGCAGAAAGTAAATATCAGCAATGACTTGCGGTTGCAGAGTCTCCGAAGGGCCAGCGCCGATACCGTTGAGTCTGCAATACTGTCAATACAAATATCGATTTCATTAGTGGGTAAAGAAGCGGCACATACACGCAAGCACCCATGAACGAGCTATATGTTGTAGCTTTCGCTCGAAGGACATGGGATGCAAGGCAGACTAGCTGAGAAACAATAAAGACGGGGCGTCGACCGAATGAGGAAGAAATTGGAGCCCTACCAAATGTTAGCAATGGCCTCGAAAGTTTCTCTTGCCATCTCACCAGATAAAGTTGCTGAAGCCAAGTAACAAAATTGTGACTCCCGTGAACTGAATGACGTCCTCAAGATTGCTGTTGTAGTCTCGGATGAGGTATGGAAACATAGACGCAAGTGACAATGGGGCAAAGCCTTGCGAGAAGGTCATCAAAGAGACCGCGCCCAATGTAGACCACTTCCAAGACGCTTTCCAATTCAGAGGATCGTGCGGATCCTGGGATGGTTGAGGGACGAGAACCACTGTAGAATGTTCGCTCTTGATGAGATGATGCTTCAAAACATCCGCCATGACCTCGGTGCCAGGCACCACCTCGATATGGAGCTCATGTTCAATCTCCTCGCGGGTCTAGAATAATGATATCAGCGGCAGTTCGTTTACGAGACGCGGTGGACTTGCTGTCTTCTCCGGATCTTTCGACATGGTTTCGTATTTCTGGCTAGCAATTTTGCGTCTCGGATAGTGATGCAATCAAAAGTCACAGTGGTGAAGGAGATCAGTTGCTGTAACATCGGAGCGAGGAGGTGGGCAATAAATGTAGACATCAGCGTGGCCACATCGACCGATACAGTCGAATTACCGACGCGATCTGCGACATCAACCTGTCGGCGGTATAACTACGCGTCTAGTGTTACCATGATCCTGGGTCGACCAACCTCAAACATTCGGCATGTCGTCGCGGCAGCTGCCCATGCTCAGATACCAAAAGCCGAACCACTAGGTTGAACTCTATGAGCTCTCCCCACGCGACGGCAGGGGGTAAGAATGCGGGGAAAGCTGGAGAGAGGCCTAGATGGGGTATGGTGAACTTCAGCTCATCTGACAGGCTCTCACGAAATCTATCACTGGAGCTAAGGTCAAGCAGCCAACCCAGTGTTACATGGGGTTGGCCAATCATCTCGTCACCGTCTTTGAGGAGGGTGTGCCGACAGCTTAGCAGCAGTCCTATACATCCAAATCGGCACCATGTTGCCGGCATGAAGACAGGGAATATCACACCCGATTGCCAGCATTTCTTTGGAAGGAGACTCATCATTCCGTGGGAAAAAGCCCGCGCACTTCTTGGCGATTGCTGCGGTACCAGTTGATATGCTCATCCGCGCAGCACGTCTGTGGGCCAAGATCAAGCTTTGATAAGACCGCGGCTCCCTTAAACCTCACGAGGACAGCTTCTTGATCACCGTTTCACTCTGAATCTACGTTGCAAGGAAATAAGCGCGCGGAGAGTCCCATTGCAGAACACCTTGAACTTTGCCGAGAAACCTCCGCTTGAGGAAAGGTGAAGACCGTTCTCAATTAGTCTAGTTACTCCACGTGCCCAGGCAAACATGGCCAAGCAAAGATTTCTAGTCTGTCGTTTTCGGGTGCCGACGCTAAGGTGCCGACAGAAATTCGATGCGCCGACACACCATGATCTATTGAGAAGCCCTTCACATCATCCGAGCGCAGCTTGATGGATATTTCGAAGTGCCGAAAGGAGTGCCTTGATAATCAAGTGCGACCAAGAGCCTAGACCAGACCAGTAATGTGTTGTGAATTTCTCTGGGTAATGGCAGAGCATGCTCAGATTGAAAGTCAGAGAAAGAAAGGGGGAGAATAATGACTCAGTATATGCCATTAGCTCCATTAATAAACTAGCGCGTTGCGGTCATGGATACGTGCGAAGCTCTTGCTTTGAGGCCTTCGGAGTGTTAAAGCTCGCTGCATGTAATGGGTTACTCAATCCAGGCATGGTCCGCCTGACATATCTCGGTACATGGCTCAGGAGACTGCTCGCTTCCTTGTCTCCCAGATGGCACCGAAGTCAAGTTATGTTAGGTGGGTGCCGTGTGAAATCGAGGCCGGACCTCATATCCTCGAATCCGATCGAAAATACCACCCTTAAAGACGCCAGTCCGTGATTACCGTAGATGCGTGATCCAATCGGAACATAGTTATGCCCATAGCTCCATATGCATGCAACGACATTTTACATCCTAGACAGCTTGACAAATCTAAACCGAGGAGACTACCTGACCATGGCTGGCTCTCCCGTCTTCTTGGGATGCACTACTGAGACGTTCTTTCAGTACATGTAGTTTCAGCACTCTTCTGACCAATGTATCATGACCCATCACCTCCCGGGATCCTCTAATTAGGTAGCTTATTTCTTCTTTGTCGGATTGGCATGTGTGCCAAGTTTACGTGCATTCAATTCCGGGATATATACTTGAACGCGCGAGGGACCAGGGGTTGTGGCCGATGCCCCTAGGCCTTGGATCGGTGCTCCTAGTTGTCGGCACCGTTTAGTCATTGACGGTCAGCTGATACTTTAGCCCCTCTCTGGCTGGGTCTTTTCCAGTCCGTCACTGCGAAGGTTCGTACGTTCACATGCATTGACAAAGTATGGTTGATGTGGTGCTGGATCGTTGCCGGCACTTGCATCTTTCACAGGAGGTCCCTAACTCACTGGAAGCAAGCATCGTGCAGTCATAGGCATAGATAGCGGGTATTAATCTCTTCCTCCTCCATGATGGTATGTGTTTAGTTGAATAATTATCGTGGAAAATTCGCATAAGAGTTCTCAATGAACGAGATTCGCTCAGAGCATGAACGTATGTGGGCTGTAGTGACAACTAACACACCAGCCATCTGGACTGTGCGAGGTGCCCTATTCTCAATGCATGCGGGGCCTAATTACAGACCATACTCCTGCACTTTGGTTGGTCTCTAGTAGCAGGGTGCTGCCTTAGAAGTTTAGTCGGATTCACAAAGTTCAGAGTACTCAGAAACCACCTGCTAGCTGCGCATGGGCTCTTTACGATGAAGGAATTATACCCCATCATTTCGTCTTCATCTATGTCTGGGCTATAGATGCCCTTGTTCTGCGACAATTGGCATCGCAAGATTCTGGGAGGGCCCCAAAGTTCTGTAAGTTGAGTAATGAGAGTGGGCTACAACTATGCTACATTCACTCATCGACTACCGTCGTTATCTGGCTTTCAAATGAAATAAACAGTAGAAGTACTCTTTCCTAAGTGACGAACAAGACATACATATGTACTAGATTAGATAGAGTTGGTGGATCATGTTCTCTCGGTGACTTACGAACGAGTCCCAGCACTTCGTTGATTTTATTATCTGCAAAGACTACTAGGGTGTCAAAACCTGTTCGTATTCTGTGCCTTCGTCCTCCAACGTCAATTATTACATATCATTCACATGTGCGAAACTCAAGCTGCTTAAAGTATGAGGAAAGGTTAGCCAAGCTAATTCATTTCACCTAGTGATATTATCACCTTCGTAGGTCTGAATGAAGGTCTGTTTCGGCATCTCTGAAGAATGTTATGCTTTCGAAGTGCCCCGTTTTTCTACACTTTTCCTCTGGGTGACGAGATTGTTTCCGCGATCTACTCTGATCCTCCCGGCAAGGTCTTTGCCTGAAACGTGCTCCAATCGAATTACTTCTAATTCCAGACGCAACTCTCATCACTGGTCAGCTATAGATACCGAAGAACGAATTGAGTTCAAGAAAACTCGTAAATATTAACTTGGAGTTCGAGAATCCCGATTTATAGCAAGGGGAAGGTCAAGAATTGCGAAGGCCAACGGTGGCCAAGACAAATCGCAACCGGCCCGTTGAGATTTTTTCAACAGTCCGCGTTGCGGATAATGTCGCTACCGGGTAACGAGTCAATGTCCACGTCCGATATCAGCAAACTTACTACATAGCCCATACGCATCCATTTTACCTTAAGCTCGCACTGATCATCATTTCAACTCGAGTAGTTTGCTAACAGAGTTTCTTTTACTGCATCAGCCTGTAGGAGCAGTATCAACAGCGAAATAACTGCAGTCCTGCCCAACATAGAATCAACGGAGCAACACGATAATTCAGAACCTGCGTTGTGCCGTTCTTACTCAGCATGAGCCGCCTCCGGGCTCCAGCGTCCGATCGTGGCGACTAGGACATCGGACAGTTAACGGGTATTGGCGGAGCTGGAACCCCGACTCGGGTGACTAGAGCACCTTGAACCCCATGAGCTAGGCCACACTGAATGACGCAGCTGCGTGCAATTAGTAATGAAGAATCTAGATTCAGGAATTTAGGGAAATGAAACGGCAAATCAACCCCGCTTACATAACTTTTGCAGCAATAGCTACACTTTGACTATCCAATTGACGACTAAAAGGTCAGCAAAGTGTATTCAACGGCCTGATACCAGGCTTAAATTTCGTTACAGGTCCGATTTGAGATACGATGGAATTCCTAACTGGTGGAGAGTCGACATCTGTATGCACTTCTCCGCTCGGTGATGAGGCTCGGTCTCGAGGATATCCGAGGGATCAGACGATTCACAGGTAGCAGCATGGTAATCCTATCAACAGGAATTATCTATAAAGCCAAAGATTCACCTCTCATCTCGAAACACGTTGCTCGAGACAGCACAATCACCAACCAGCATTTCCTCAACGGCTCTGTACACTACCCAATATCGACTCAACAGTCTTAGACCAATTGACTAATTCGAAGCTTCGAACTCACCATGACTGAGACTGTTCTTGTCTTCGGCGCCACGGGCAACATCGGCGTGGCCGTCATCATTGGTGCTCTGCGAGCCAAGCGACATGTTATTGCCGTTGTGCGCAGTCAAGCCAGTGCTGAAAAGATGTTCAAGTACGTCGGCAGTCGTGACAACATCACTGTGGTGGAAGCCGATCCTACTTCTGAAGACTCTCTCCGAGGAGTTGTCGACCAAGTTCGGGCTGGTAAACTCCCTGCTTTCCAGCATGTGTGGGCCTCGCGTACGTACCTTATATTTCAGTATTTTACGAGACGATCTTACTTTGGGTTCACGTAGATTAAACTGACTTGTATGCCAGCTGGAGGAATATACTGGGAGACTCCTATCCTGGACATTGACTCTGCGGCTCTTCGTGAGGTTCTGAAAGTGAACTTCGAGTCATACTTCTGTAAGAGAGCTCCAACGATAAGAGTAGAACACTTCCTGGTTACTAATGATGCACCCAGATGCCTATCGTGCGACAGTGCCCTACTTGCTTGAGCAAGGGTTTGCCGACAGCACTTGGACCTTGTGTACAGGTGCGCAAGGCGACTATGGTTTCCGCGCCGCTCCCGCAGTGACGCAAGGTGCTCTCTTCAGCTTTGCCATTGCTGCGTCTCGGGAGAATGAAAAGACAAACATCCGCTTCAACGAGGTCTACCTCGCCTACCGAGTTCAATTCGAAGTCGACGATGAAATCAGGAAGGCGTGGGCAGGATATCACATAAACACCTGCGATGAATTTGCCCCCTTGTACCAGCAACTCCTGGATAGAGAGGACATCAGGGGCAGCAGAGTCAAGGCCATCACTCCGAAAGATGTTCTCGAACTCTCTGTTGAAAGGAGATACAAGGCCTGATCGTGTACAATAAGAGATCACAGTGATGATAAGTTGAGCGAGAGACACTGAAGGATTTGGATTAATTCACATTAGCACGTATAGAAGTCAACTTTGACTATTGGTTGAAAAATGATTTCAATAGGCCTCTCATGGAAGGTAGAGGATTTACTGTTTCGGGTAAAAAGACTGGCAAGCTGTTGGTAGGTGCTACAACTCGCATCAATTGTGGAAGTTACTTAGCTGCATGCTCACAAGTACATTCTGTGTAAATTCGAACTGTTAAGGGCACTACTTTGCACGATGCAGCTGAACGATGCCCTAAGTATCTCTTCCAGCGCACGACGCCTATATATAAGGCAAAGAACATTTGCCGAGGGGCTGGCCCGAGTCCGGGCCGGATCCGACACTTCGGTTTCTCAACTGGCAAACAAGCTCACGATAACAAGAGTCTAAAGAGATTACAATATGCGACTTATCGGCGCCCCACTAGATGATAGATCTTAGATCGAAGTGCACCCAGGCCTTTGAACAGGCCGTCACTCCATGACATTGCCTATTGAGCAGCCAATGAATGACATAACCGAAGTGATCAAATTCGACTCCAGCCGCAGGACCAGAACTCTCTAGCCTCTCGTATTTTTGAAACAGGGACAACAGCGGCTTGGTGTGGCGTTGCGTCGCAAAACCCCCACCACGCTATGATATCGAGTCAGTCTCGATAGCCGGTGTACTCCGTACGAATCGTCTGATCTTGGGATGGCAGTAGAGGCCAAGACAACGCAGCTCAAAGCCTATTTTACATCTAAAATGAAAACAAGAAGAAATCTTAGGGAGCTAGACAGAATATCCACAAACTTCAACTGGGCTTGCCCTGCGGAGGAGGCATGACGAGGAATGAAGCCAAGACAATGTCCGTGGATGCGATGAAGAACTTCAGACGAATCATGCTCTACCTGTTACGCCCCCAGACGAACCGGAAAGGATTGTCGGCTACATTTCCGGCCGCGGTAGCCGTCCCACCGTTCGTTACTGCAGTCTTGGGACGGGATGGCAAGGGAACCCGCGCATCAATCCCCATAATTAGCAGCAACCCACGCCTCATGACACGCGCGCTCCTCGATTAAGTTGATTAAACTTTTTGACAACGCAGGTTGTCCTTGCCTGAACAGAACAGATTCTAACAATAAGTGAAAATAATGTTGATCTTCAATTTCCTTTCATTTACCAGAAGCTGAACCGCCTGGATAGATTGAGCTGATCATATCTGGCCCTGCGGCTCCTCCGGATCATCTGATGAAAGATGTCGATTACGAAGCGGAGAGACCAGATACAAATATCAACGGGTGACTGACTGAAAGAAAGCTAAGAAGTTTGATCAGTCTTTTTGGAGCCAACACTCGTTCCAAACCCACATTCGTTTATCACTATGTTACAGTCACTCACTCCTTTGACTCTGTTAGGCTCGCTTCTCCTGGCCTCGGGTCATGGCGCTTTGAGTCATGGCCTTTCCGATCATGCCAAGAGATCGATCGAGCAAACAATGCACATGTCCAGTAAGCGGGCTTTAGATGGTTTCTATGTCATCGACCAACAGGCTGGAAGTGAATGGGGCTGCAGCGAGGAAAAGATCGCCGCGTTGGAGGGAGCCGTCAGAGATACGCAAGCATTGGCGTTCATGGCTTCTACCGTACTTGCTGAAAAAGATTCTGAGTTCTCTGACGCTTACATCTTTTGGTTTGGTGGTAAGTCAAGACTTCTGCATCTGACAGTGCCTGTAGGACTATGGTGGTCTAATATTTGAATGCAGAGGACAACACCAAGGCCGCCACAAAGAACTCCATAAAGACACTTAACTACGACCCTGTCCAAGATTTTCTCAAAGCCCCAGGCGCACGCAACCGCGTCGATGATATGAGAATAGACAACCTCAGCCCTACCGGGCTTACGTACATGTGCGCTGCTGCAGATGACAGCATGTGCGCCGGCGGGATGGCTGCAGCGGCTCACCAACATGGAGCCGGAGGATTATCAGGCCACTCCATTGTCTTATGTGACAGGTTCTTCGGGGCCAACTCACAGCAAGACATGTTGCGGACTTGGAAGGACACGCGAAGACTTAGCGCCTCCTCCGGCTTTTGGTTGCTACACGAAGTACAGCACTTGGGGGCGATCGTAAGTGATGGCCGACGATGCGTCGATGTTCCTGATCCCAATGAAACAGATGGCAGCGGCTGCTATGACGCAAACTGGTAAGCATCGATTGCTCAATTGTCTCTTCACGTTCGTATTGTCAAGAGCTTGCTAATAAAACACCAGCTGTTCGAGGCTCAAAGGCGCCGATAAAATTAGAAACGCTCAAAACATGGCGTTCTTTGCATTGGAGGTCATGGCAGATCCCCAGAGTGGTGCAGCACCCGGACAGTCATGCACCATCATGAAGAGAGACACAGGCAGCGTCTTGCTCGGAGGGCCTGAGGACCTTATGGCCAGAGCAGATTACAGCCCAGATGCAAAATACGAGGCGATGCTTCGTAGGCAGGCTAAGGCATCGTCAACTTGGATCACTACACACCGAAATGGCACAAGCTCTCGTGTCTCGACCGCTCACTCGAGCAAATTACTCTCGCCATCTTCGAAGAAGCCTAACGGGTCGGCGTCGGCTTCTCGTTCAAAGCCTCCTGTGCCTCCTGTATCTTCGAGACCTCGATCCAATGACGCAGTACGACCATCATCGTCCGGACCTCGATCAAGCAACCCAGTGCGGCCATCATCTTCAGCACCTAAGTCCAGCAACCCAGCGCGACCACCATCTTCAGGGCCTCGATCCAGCAACCAAAGACCTGTCTTTACCACCAGGCCACCTGTCCCAGTGAGCTCCTTCTCAGGCGCTTCATTCTCGTACTCGTACTCTACAGCCCCGCCAACGACTGAGGAAGGTGGAGTTCCTATTGTCCCCATTGTTCCAATCCCCATACCTATTGCACCAGTTGCGCCAGTCCCCCCGATCGTACCCCCAGGCGGTGGTGGTGGCGGCGGAAATGGCGGTGATAATGGCAACAACGGTGAGAACTCGAAGCCTGCGGAATCAAATCCTCCGATGACCTCAGAGCCTCCATCCTCTCCTACGTCGTTTCCACCTACATCGTCCTCGAGGCCACCACCTACCTCGTCGGAACCAGCCACCCGATGTTCTTCTAGACCACCATTGTCAGTACCCACTGGAGGCGATGCATCACCAGACAGAGATGGGTTCCCTCAGGCAGTATACGATGGTCTTGCCGCGGAAGCGCGTAGCACGAGCAGAGCGAGCAGCTCGAGCTCTACATCCTCGCCACTCATGGTTATCACTGACGTGCCCGAACCTGAGACAACCGTTGAGGTGACGCCTACTGCCACACCTACTGCCGCTCCCGTCAACCCCGTTGCTTGCTACAACTTTGACATTAATGCCTATGGATACTGTTGTCCTGGCCCGGGTAACCCATGTGAGAAGGATCTTGGAAAGTGCTACTTCAACGGAGAGGGCGTCTCTGGGGGTGCGAGTGGAATAGTGCCGGACGGAGCGCGCTGCCCGCCTCCTCCTGGTGCTGAATATTGCAGAGGCCCTTGCGAGGAGTAATACTATCAAAACAGGCGCTAATAACCATGGCCGTTTCCGCGCGGCCTTTCTGGGAGTCTTCCTTGGTTTTACCATGAACCGCAAATTAATATTTTCTCTAGTTCTGTGCACGGGTTGTAGCTTCAAATATGTCATTTTGGTGATGTCACAAGACTCTGCTTTGACATTCAGTTGTCTCTTAATCTTGCTAGACTATGCTGTATTACTGAGGTCATACGCACCTTTGCGAAACTAAGTAACTTAGTTTCAGGTTCTGCTGTATGTTTTTAGGAACACCACATCGGGTTTTTGTTTGCTTTCCGACATCTACTGTTTTTTACAGGTAGTTTTGAATACTGGGCTATTGCGATCTCAATTTGGACGATTTGAGAAAATCGCAAAAGCAATGTGAGCCTGGAAACACCGATGATATCAGGTGAGTAACGTTGAATGGGGGTATTGGCTGTTTCCACGGCGATACCTGCATATCCTTTGATATGGCACCTCCATTGTCGTTGTTGAAGACTAAAGGCAGGAAGTGGAAAACAGTAGTTTGCTTCTCTACGTAGGTTCTAGCATTTCTGACACCCGTCCTACTTCTTGCGGCCTGAACTTATTACAAGGCTTTAATAGAGTGCCCCTTTGCTGTTAGAAAAGATCTCATCACGGTTTAACATCCACTAGATAGCTTGAGACATTCTTGAAGCGGTAATGAAGACTAGGTATAAGCCATGCTCGGATCGGATACCTGCTTAGCTAGAATATATCGGGCCGTTAAGTGTGCCACACGATTGAGACAAGACTAAGCCCGTAGACAGCTTGTTTTACAGCAGAGCGTCGATTCACAGATGGAGCTAAAACCCCGATTCTACGCGCACTTAGTTTCCCACGAGCCATGGCTTATTAGTTTGCTTTGCTTTATGAGCCTTCATATGAGTAGTTTCAGTCATATAAAAGATTCCTTAGTCCAGTAAATGCTCCTATGGTGGCCCAGCTGAACTGCTTCGCCTCGGTGCGTTGGCTAATAATTGAGCATGCAAGGGGCACACACACACGGTACGCCACTGAATTTCAACCGGCGACCGGGACGGAAGGATTTTCCCTAATCTTTTCATGTCATCAAAGTGACCTTTTCAGTAAGGCTACGGCGGGTTGGGCTTCCATACCATGGCTTTGCTTGAAAGACTGGCCACTGCTGAGGTGCCACGTCCGTTCTTTTTGTCCTAATATCTCAATCCTTCCGTCGTCTTGAAGCTAGACTTTTCATAACGCTGTTCCAGTCATATTGAGTAAGGTGCCTCTCAGCGTCATCTAGGTGTTCTAGATGACGACAATCATACATGCTGTGCCGCCCGCCCGCCTGGTTTGGGCAGCATCAACCAATACACTCTTCTCAAGACGTCTCGGGGTCGCCGGCTTGGTATTCTATACACGGATGTGTCTCTGTAACTTTTTGGACAAAGCCTAGCTATTTTCTGGCGTTAGATCGACGATAATGCATGAGAGAAACGTGAAAAGGCATTGCTCGGTAAGCAATTTCTCTCTCTCTTAGCTGCATTGCAGATCACCTCGCTCAGCGGGCTGTTGAAGCGGCACACAAACAAAGTCCCGTACATATGTGTCACGAAATCCATCACCTCTTCAACTGGTTAGGCACCCAGGGAGAAATAAAACGAAGTGATCGCGACAAGCGCTCATGCCGCCAGAAGAACACAATATTGACAAGGCGGTGAAAATCTGCGACGCTGCTGCTTGTGTGTCGGCCGGCTGCGATATCACTTGTAGACACGGAGGCTCCAGCTTTGGGGTCTCTTGGGGGCCATGCGAAAAGCCCCCATGGTGTTGGTTTTCCTGCAAGCCAAAGTGGCCCGCCGAGATGCACCTCGGTTTTCGATCATTGATATCGGGGTAATCATACCATCAGGTACTTAGACTGATAGAGAAGCAACATAAGCTATCTAACCTACCCTGATGGGGTTCAGATACATATTTCTACAGGGTAAGGGATAATGCGATGTGTTGTCGTTGCAGAAAATTCCTGCGGACTTTGCTATGGCAGTACTGTGTCAGTCAAAATATCATCTCGATGATGAGCCGTATTGAGAATCACGTACCTACCTACCTGTACCCTGATGCCACGTTATGAGACCTGCTGCCAACTCCGCAGCGGAAACTGATCCGCTGTGCACTGGGCTGGACCTCTTTGCGCGAAGAAAATTTCCCTGTTTCCGCGCAGTCAGCGAGCGGGTAGATGCAGAAAAGGGCACTTTCTCCTACTTGGAAGTGCCAATCCCGACGCGATAGAGGGGTTTGAAGTGCTGTTTATTGAGGCATTTACCCCAAATTCTAGCTCAGTCGAAGATTTTCAAAAAGGGTCAGCTCCTTCGCATTTTCGCCTCGAAGAAGTAAAGGCATGTCCTCCAAAGGTCTGATAACAATTCAATAGAAGAACAGCCCTGCATGGCAAGGGGCCTAGGCCGGAGTGTAACTGATGCTTCTCACACGATCTATCCCCTGACCTGTCTTTCTACAAGTCCCAGCTCAAAGTAAGGGGTTTGAAGATGCTCTCGCCCGCATACTGTACACAACTCTCTCCGAGCTAGAATTCTAGTGCCGTAAGCCGCCATGGGCCGCCAGGGCTTGAGATGTCCCCATGACAATCCTGATCATTTGAAAAAAGGCGGCCAACTGCTCGCCCGGTCTTGTCTAGGCAGAAAACTGAATTAAACCTTCGAAGACGCGTCATGCAGGCTGACATAGGTTTACATCAAAGGTCGCTGGGTGCTGATTAGTGAATGATAGGTCCAGGGGCCAGAAAGCTAACGACATGAAGATTTGGGCCCGACGAGCATCTTGGACGTAGAGTGAGGCCCAACGTATCGAGCCCACTCATTGGCCCTGTTGTCTCGAGGTCAGTGATATGCGTAAGGTATCAAAGCCAGTCTGATCCATGAGCCAGCCAACTTACTTTAAGATATTGACAAAGCCCGGCAGTTGGGCAATAATGCTTTCCCATCCCTCTCTAGGATCTTTCCAAGTAGTACTCGTTGATTGTCTCCTGAAGTCTTCAAGGATTATTTCATCCAGTATGGACTCACCTTCCAAGAGACAAAACTCCAGGCGACATTCCGAAGCCAGGGTTCAACCTCAGCACCGCTCAACGGCAACCTCCCCATACGCTCAAGTCCCAGTGCAGACCGGATCATCCATCTACCCCTCGAATCCATCGGCTCTGCCCCCCTACCATGAGAATTCCGGGCAAGGCTTCCCTGCTTTTGGCACACAAAGCGCTGTTGGATATACGCAGTCGGATCGTTACCCCCCTGCATATCATAACATGAACACAATGGCGTACTTGTACTCACACAGCGCCCCAGCATACAGTATGACTTTCTACCCGCCCATGCCGCCGGTCCCCAACTATGGTGGCCCGTCGTACGGGTCTCAGCCAGCCTCGACTCAGGCGTTCGTGTCATCTTCGCCGCACCACAGTCATCCAAATAGCCCTTTGATGTCTTATTCTGATTTTTCAGGTCACTCGTCTGCCGCAAGCTCTTACGGCTATGCCTATGCCGCCAGTTCTGCAACAACAACACCCAGCGCAGCGAATACGCCTACGCAGCCCTTGTCACCCACACTCGTGGGGGTGGGTGCCTGGGACCATAGGCAACCCATAGAAGATGATCAAGAGCCGCGAGTTGAACGAAACCATCGCGAAGGGCGTAGGCTGCACCATACCGAGTTCCCATCCAAGTCGAAGCGATCCGAATCGACAGAGGTAAATAGATCCAGCAGGTAAAGATCTCCAAAATTGACTCTCTTGAGTAACCTGTTCTAATTGATTCCCCAGTCATTCCAGAGAGGTAGACATCTACACAAAGAGAAACGGCGGCCGTTCTTCCGCATCGTGCAATGATGACCGAAAGAATAGCAATGCTCGGCATCGCAAAGATGACGATAAGGACGATAGTAGGAAAGGCAGCGAAAGGAGACAATACAGTGGCTCAAATAGGCGTGAGACAAGAACTTACTAGTTTGGATTGTATCTCCTTGAATTTAATCTTGCTTGGTGGATTTCCAATCCGGCGGGCGCGGGTTCCTTTTGCGGATTCGCTCCGCCTTTGTCACCATAGTATTCAGATCCACTTTACACGGTTTGGCTAGGATAAAAGTTCTCTTCTTCTTTTGTCATTAGCACTATCCGTAGAGTTTCAAAGCGCAATTCTCCTGGGTTTTGTCTTTCAGAAGCATATGTAACTTGAAAATGTTTTTCCACTTTCATTCCTGGATGAAATGACACATCGGCATTCGGCTCTTACCACAACTGCTAGCGCTATATGGTCAAAAGAAATGAAGCTGTCAGATACTAAGCGACTCTCGGCCAAGCACATATATTTTGTCCAATAGGACACCTTGTCCTAGCGAGGCTTTGAAGACCCATGAAGTTGAAGTGATTGATTGGACTAAGGCTGGTAAGAAAGTGAGGCGGAGCAAGCAGGATACGTCTTCTCCGCCTGGGTATCCGTCGTTCGACTCATCCCAACCAAATGTCTTTGCTTTTCTTTGCATGGCGCTTCTCATGCAATTGGCTCGGAACCTTGCCTAGTTCCCATAGAAGCTTTCCCAGGGCAGGACGCAGAGATGGGGGCCCAATCAATGGCCTGAACTTCGACTTCGCACGCATCGCCACCCTTGCTCTTCGCGCCCAGTCAGTAGGCCTTTTTCCCGAAAGAAACCCTTGCTGCCGAAGCTTTTCCTCTTTCCATACAAATATGAGTGGGCTTGGTCCACCAAATAGCACTTGACAGGTTGGAAATCAAGGAAAGAGAAGCAAGATGAGTGGCGCGGGCCGAACGGTGACGCTGCGTCCCGCCTGGTGCGGGTTGAACGAGACCGGAATCTGGAACTCTCCATACCTGACCCCTGAAGACAATGGTAGAGTTTCCGGGGTTGTTTGTGACCATTGGGCCTATCAATCATGTGATTGAGAGAGCTTTGCGCAAAGCACTGCCAATCACTCCAACGTTGCCAAATGTGCGAGGCTGAGGACAGAGTCCAGAAACTTCCAGCCCATGTACAACCTGGTGTCATGGAAATCCGCTGAGAAGGCACACTTTGATATAATTGCCAACATCTGGTAGTTAATTGAAGACAGGATCCGGTTAAACCTAATATTCGGTATCAATCAGCTCGGGCCTCTGGTGGCACCGGACAAAGCATGAACCCCCATCTTAGCCACAAATCAAAACTTTGGAACAGGACTACTCCGCGAATCCCTATTTTGTACGGAGTACGAATACTAAGGTTTCATAGGGAGATTGGATCCTTAAGACGTGCTCAATTCGGCAAAACTATCCGTACATGTGCTTAACTCTTTCCTTCTTTACGAACATGATTTCAACTGAGCTCTCACGCACCGATGAGTGGAGCACGCGCGTAGGAGAATCAGTCCAGCCTTCGGACCTTCCTCGCTCCCGAAGGATGATCTGTAGGGGTCACTTGGCGGGATTGCTTAACTTTACGACTAGGAAAACTGTGCAGATACTCTGGATCGAGTCCTACCTAGGCCATCGCAATGGTCTCTATGAGTACCTTACTGGGTAAGTAGGGCGTAGACAGGGGCCTGGGGTTGTCCGGAGTCCGGACGGCCAGATGAACTACTATGTTTTAGTGCCTTCAGAGGATCTTCAATCAAGCTTTCTGTCTAGTTGCCTTTTCCAATTAGGCTGAAGTATAAGTTTTCGCTATTGCTTACGGTCTTGCCGACGTCTGGAGGGTTGCCAGAGTCGGCCTGTGCCCGCATCGTGAGATTGCATGTAAGATTTCCGAATTAGGCATCATGGCGCCAAACCTCGAATCGACCGACTGACCGATCGATCTCCTAAGTATACCGTGTCATGAGCCAATGTCGTCATTCGGACTCAATAGGAAATTTCAGAAGGCCTTGTCTCAGATCTATCATCTGCTTGATCACCGTGGGCAGCTGGAGTTTAAGTTATGACCGCCAGTTGGTAGAGCGCACATCAGGCGTATGGCATCCATTATCGAGCGTCAGCGACGTTGATGACCAAGAAGGTGGCCTATGCACGATGGTCTGGGTCCCAAATAGGCAGGTTCCGCCTAATTGAATCTATGTGCTCTCACACTAAAGTGACTGACTGGTGGCAGGGTTGAAAGATGGATTGCTGTCTCTGTGCTATCTAGGTGTCGATCGGCTGTTTACCTCACAACCTACTATGCGATGGGATTAGTCCATTTCCAACTAGAAATTTCGAAAGTCACCGGCTGTTGAAAGAGTTGTATATCTTAGTTCAGAACTTAAGCCTTGCCCGTTTTAACAACAACCGCCCCGGCTTCTAGAGCGAAGTCTAAGTAATTGAACCGGCCCCTTGCACTGAGAAACGGTGGCTGAATTCTAGCGTGAGCTAGATTCGAGCCAAGGTTGCGTGATCTTTGACTTCATGTGCCATCTTGAAAGTCTGGAAACTTGGTCAAGGGCATATCAGGGACTCGCACGGAGAATCCGCACGTGGCATATGACATGGCTTTAGTATATAAGGCATCTTTCTTCACGGCCAATATTGGTATTTCACATTCCACATCAGGCACTTCTCATCCATCAGTCGTTCTTTGATCATTCTTCATTCACTCTCTGCTCGTCGGTTATCCGATCACTACTGATTACCTCTAAACACAGCTTAAAGGGTAGATTGCTCCCTGTTCTTGAACTCTTATTTGCAGGCCCTACTGCTCACTTATACTCACGCTTTTACAGAATCCCTTACGTCCAACGTTCAAGATGCGTTAAACCACTGCCCTCATCGCTACTCTGCAGGTCGCTGGCCTCGATCAGGCCAGTCCTATTCTCTCCAACAGAGATGTCGCTGCGCCTGTTAACAGCTAAGCCCATGACATCCGCACCCTTGGAGACATCACCAACCTCGACGCCGACAAGATCGTCGATCTTGAAGTCCGCGAAATCGAGAAGCGTGCTACCGATATCACTCTCTCTGCGAACACCAGCTACTACAAGCGCGTCGCCTACAAGGGTGCCGTCATGCTGCTTCACCTCTTTTACGACCTGGCTGTCAACCACGTCGTCTTCTACTGGACTATTGACGGCACGACTCCGGCTCCTGGTAGCATCCCGCTCGCCTTCGACGACCCGATTGGCGGTGGTTTCCCTCTCAGAGACTACACCTACGACACTCGCTACAACCTTGGAAGTGTTATGCGCCCTGGCGATGTCATCAAGATTACCCCTTAGATTACCCCTTAGATGCTACTCAGGCTAGAATACGACGGTTACTTGGAGATAACCATGGCCAAGCTCTTTTTTCTCGGTTTCGATGGATGAATCATCAGTTTGGTCATCTCGACTAAATATATCTCAGAAGTCGGCCGTCGCTGAAGCGCATCAGACAGTGGAGATGGTTTCTTGTATTTGGTATAGCAACAAATTTTAAAAAAGTGCATCTCCTGGAAACCAGATACTCCGCAATTTGTGTGAATGCTGTGACTCTTTGCTGGTAGTAATAGTATATAAGGCACTTTTATGAGATTTTGTTAAGCTCTCTCCGTCCTATATATAATATTTCGGAGGTACAGGGCCCTGTTATGCTTCCATGATAGGCGCCACTTCGTGTCTCGCACCACAAGGGCAGATACTTCTACATCACCAGTCATTTTGGTTCGGAAGGTGACATCATCCTTCAGCCTCTCGTGACTTGGTGTCCTGGCCAGACTAGCGCTTGAAAGCTGCGTTGTAACTACGTAGGTACCTGGTGACTTTAGACAGTAGGGTGTTGCCATCCGTTGCGAGAGCCCAGAGATATCGACACCCCTCCTCGCGAGCCTTCTCTCCACCGACGCCCCAAAGTTCTCTGCTCACTGTTCTAGCCAGGGAGGGAGAGTTCACCTCAACTCGACCACGAACAACGCCAATACGAGTGCTCGATTGGTAATGCCAGAGGGCCAGGCCGCCTTGCTTGACGCTGCGCGAGGCGCTGCGCGAGGCGCTGCAGCGCCAGCCCTGAGAAGTGTTCGGACAGGAAGAGGATCATATTTCGGTGAAGATGGGAAGCAAGTTTGGCTGGACAGGTATCACTGATGTGTTGGCAATGCGAAAAAGCGCTCAGCATCCCTTCCAGACCCTCCAGGGGGTCCAGAACGAGGCAGAAGGATGGGGCTTCCGACCTTGTTGGCGGCTCGGATGCACGACCGCACCTCCGAATGTTCGTAGTGTCTGAGTATCTGTGACCCAGAGGGTGAGACTAGGAGGTGACAACAACCAGGAGCGGTGAGAGCTGTCTCAGCATCTATGTATATATGTCATTAGAGGCAGTGCGAGAAAGGGTGCAGGTACTTCCTCATTCTACCTCATCCAATACTGGTGCTCGTTCCATGATACCAAGGTAAGGCAACCTTCGTATTCTATCTACACATCGCCTCACTCTCCTCACTCCGAAACTAGCTCGATCATGCCTGGCTATCAAGTTTGTGGCAGGGGGACGTTGATGTGCCAGAGTGGTAGGCAGGAACTTCCCATCTGAAGACTTCTGGCGTACTCTTAGTCTCATTCGCGTCTACATGTCGCCTTTGAGGACTTCCCCAGGCAGCCAACCTGCTTGTTTCCTAGGTGGATTTCTAACACAACGGAAGAGTGGCCGCTGGTCAGGATCAGGCCTCTAGCCATTCTGACTTCACGCAGGTCAGTCACAAGATGGGGGTGTGCGTCTCACCCCTCAACCATCAGGAATACATGGGAATTTCCAGTCGGTAGAAGTGGGCTTGGAAGCGGGCTTGGTCTCATAGGGAGAGCGAGTGGTTGCAGACAGCGGGCAATACATAACCCGTTCACACCCTTTCATCCAAGGTGGCTTCGCGTTTCTTGGACCCCAAGACTGAAGAGTCTCGCCCACCCACCATCACGAACATCTAGCGGTGAAAGATGGTGAACACTCGTCATTCCACTCCAGCCTCGCAAGGTCATTCACTCAGTACTGGTAGCTGTATCAGGGCCCAAGCTGGATCCGCAGCGTGGGTAACACCCCTTTTGACAAATGTGCTTGTCTAAAACCCTTCCAGATCATCTAGGAATACCACTGTGGATGACAGTTCAAGCCATGGCAAGCATGGGTCTGCAGAGATGTGGCACCCATCGCCTTCACTCACAGAATTTGTGGATGCCGTGCAGAGCTCGCATGAGAGGCTTGCAGATCGAAGCACCTCTGGCAAGCAGGCCAGGATGGAAAGGAAACTTGCTGCAGCAAACGCGTTGAGCGCCATCCCCGGGTTGGATTCTCTTTTACAACCTCTCAAGCCATCGGTCGGCCAAAAGTCTCAGCAGATGACTGGACTCAGTGGAGAAAACAAGGGAGACTCTGGGAAAGGGGGCCACTGATGCTGCGCATCAAATGATTCGAATCAGGCTGAGACCACTCCGACAGGTAAGATTCCACCGGGCGCTAGCAAGGGTAGACACAACACAAGTGACCTTGCGTTTCGTTGTACTGACTTGCAGCCATAGGGCTTTACTTTCAGGAGTCTGTCCAAGATGTTGGCCGCAGTCCCATGGCGCATGATATCTGGTGTGATCCACCTACGTCCATCCGCCTACGAGGCAGATGGAGCCGAGGCATTGGGGGTTGGAAGAGGGATGCGTGGTTGCTGGAATGTAACGTGACTCTGAAGAGGAGGTTCATAATAATGGATTGGTGTTGTAAGGACATCTTCTGTGGAAAGGCGAGACTTCGCGGCTAGATATTCCTCTTTTGATAGATGCATCAGACTTAAACTTAACAGCAGTGTAACAATCAAGATCAATACAATGTGTATCCAACTACCTGCCTAATTCGCTTCCACATCATAAAACTCCGCGTCGTGATTACTGGATCATTTGGGCCACCACCACCAGAAAAACGGACGACGGACCTCTCGCGGCATACTTCAGAGCTGTAGGCTAGATGATGGACTGCAGAGGTTTCTCGCTTGTTGGAAGCTCGGCGCCACCACCACTGCAAACGATAAGGGTTGCATTGACTTAGACAGCCCCCAATTTTCCCGCCTGAGAGAGCTCAGCTATGTTCAAAAAGAAATCGATAAATGTGATTGATCTCCTTTGCCTGCGTCTATTCCACATTTCATCTCGGCACGCAATAATTAGCGGCGGCCGGCCCGTGGCTCCCTTGATACACCGCGGCCCGTTCTCCTGGAAACAACATGGAATTTAGACATCGCATCAGAAAAGGACAGTCGTAAAATATTCCGACCCACGGAAAAAAGGCACCCTCGTTGATCTTGAAACAATCTGGAGGAAGAAACCCGATGGCATGGCACTGGGGCTTCCCGCTCCCAGGATGAATGATCAACTCTAACTTTTGTGTCTCCTTCAACCTCCTTGCTCATGTCACATCGGTCTACCGATTGAGAATGCCAGCCTGCCGACAGAGGGCAGGATCTCCGAAAACTTGCAGATAGCTGAGGCGCCTGCGGAGCTGGAACGCTAAGATGAGCTAGATCGACGGCTCCCACGCGCGTAGCTGTTGTTGAGAGACATGTCTCGATATCGATGCGGGGAATAGCAAATGCAAGATCGTCGTGGTTGTTGCCATTATTCAGCCTGAGGGCTGGAGGGGAAGATTGAGATGTACTCAACAAGACTTTCCTTACAACGACGCAAACATCCCAGGGAGCTTCAGGCAGTTGTAACTCGCCGGTCAGTTAAGACGGCCTTGCTCTGCCGTTTGCTGTGCCACCATGGCCAAGTCTGGTACTCCCCCTGATCGCAATGCCTGCAGGCTACACCATTAACGATCAATGTTTTCAGTTGACTATTCCCGGCGCAAAGGATGGCAGCTGCTGATGGAAAGTTCGTTTCAAGATTTCCGTGTTCCCTGCCCGGGAGACTATCCAGAGTCGGGTTTACCAGCCGCTCATTGCTACATTAGCAGGGAGGAAAACATCCATGTGATGGGCGCCAACACAGATCCTTCGCCAGCCTGCTGCAAGATCGACTGATTTCTTTCCAACATCCGGGTCGCTGGCTGCAGAGCTTACCGAATGCTTGCTGTTCTTCGTTATTAGACCCCAACGGCCCCAGGTTGTCCCAAATTATCTTTCCAGGTTCACCTTCGGCCTTCCCGACTCTCCATCTTCCACAACGGCTCGGCATCGAGGGTATCACCACCAAGGAGGGCTCGGTGGTTCTTTTGCGGTGAACCCCCCGCACTGGCCGTTATTCTTCTCCGAACCTACTATACCCCCGGAAGAGCATCAACACCGGGAACGAACACGGCTCCTTCATCTGCGGCACAGAACTCCGTTTACCTGTGGCTGGGTACCGTCATAATAGAGCAAGCGATTTGGCGGTCCACAAATGTCAGCAACCGGTGAACACTCGTCCCCCCTTGTTGTTGCAAATAGCAAGACGGGCCCTTCTCTAGCAGAGTGATTTGGTCAGGGGGTAGGTTTCTACCATGCAATACCATGTCGAAGGGCCGCAGTAGTCTGCCTCGGCAGTGCTACCAGTGCACCTAAAAATGAAGCTGTTGATCAACTCCCATGCGCCAGTAAGCCTCCGTTGTCTTGCGTTGAATTCTGCCTTTGCCTTTTGCAAGAACTGACCTATCAACCTGGCAGCGGGTACTGCCCCTTCTTAGCACATTTGATTCAAGGAAGCTCGACGCTTTCGCACACCGACAAGAGGCCGGGATCATCCCTAATCTCAAACGACACTTCCCTTCATCCATGGCAAGAGCCTTTAGCCTTGCTCTGCCGATTCGATGTCGAAGCTCGAGTACGATCACCCATGTCTGGAAGGGCTTTACAGATCCTGGTGATGGATAGACAGAATGCTCAAGGTTGTCACGGACACACATCAAGCTTGGTGCCACTCATCGGACTATAAATATGGCGACGCTTCGTCGAGCGATGACGAACCGTCCTTTCGGTCATCGTTGCTTCAGTACGATTCTTCGAATAAGTGCCACGCGGCTTCTTGACTCAAGAACACAATTATTTTCTTCCTCTCGCTTCATCCTGCAGTCATGTCGACTCCTATCCACTACGGCACAGACGGCCGGCAGTACTACAATGCAAACGATGAAAAACTGTATCCTTACACAGAATCATCCTACTCGAACGCAATCCAGACGTCAACTCAGCAATATCACCAAGTCCAATACGTCGAGCAACGCCCAAGCTACCATCAGTATGCAGACAACACAGCGGAAGCTGGAAGGTAGTCAACGTTGTTCTTCCTCAGTTGTTAAGATATTTGCTCACACATGGTCATAGTTTCCACGGAGGAACCGACCCTTATGGCGATGACAATTTCACCAATGCTTCTTCTTCCACTCGCACTGGAGAAAAAGAAACGGCCAAATATGTAAAGAAGCAAGAGAGGGAACAAAGACATCGAGAGCAATTGCGCAGGGGTGGGCATTCTTCCCGGAGGAAACATGAGAAGGAGACAAAGAAAAAGATTGAGGAGACTTTGAAGTCATTCCAGCAGAAGTAGCCTAGTAGGGTGGAGTGGAGGTCAAGATACCAGGTCAAGGGGGGTTGAGCAAACCACCATTGCGTTTTGTCAAGGTACACACGAATGCCGGGCTGCTTTTATTTTGGGTCTTTTCTTGTTTCTGCATGGCAGATTGCACGTATTTTCGACGGTATCTCCTTGTGTCTGTAAAATGCTTTTATGTATACTTAGTACTACTGTGTTTCACGTCATCCACAACGCCCCTTCCTGCCCAGCATAGCATAGCTGTTTTCTACAGTAGTTGTAAGTCAGGTCAACACTGCTGTTCGTACAATTCAAGCTTCTGATCATGGACACATGGGTCTGGGATGGCACCGGTGGGTCTACACCGACACGGCCCTCTGCTTGACTTGACCCTTGAGCACCTTAGTCAAGCACCTTAGCTTACATTAATCCCCGATATGACATCACGTCACACTTGCTTGGATGCCAATCAGGGGACTGGTAATCTTTGGCGCGGGGAAATCCGCTGCCGCTTGTTGCAGCCAGTGTGGTAGTTTTTACATCTATGTCTGCAGTAGTAGTTCTAATGTTCTACAAGTCTAGTCTCTACATCTTTAGTCTATACACTCGTCCTCTCGTTCACCACTTTTTCTCCACTTAAAAGGATACTTATTCGACTCTCGCTCTCTTCTGGCCGTTGCCGTTGGTGTGGCCGTTGGTGCCGTTGGTCTCGCCCTGGGCGGCAAAGTACTCCAAGCTCCCCTTGGGGTCAGCCTTCATGCCCTTGCTGCCGTTCATCCATCCAGCGGGGCAGACCTCGCCGTGCTCATCGGTGAACTGGAAAGCCTCAACGAGGCGGATAGTCTCCTCGACGTTGCGCCCGACGGGCAGGTCGTTGACGGTGATCTGGCGGAGGATACCCTTGGGGTCGATGATGAAGAGGCCGCGAAGCGCGACACCCTCCTCCTCGATCAGGACGCCGTAGTCGCGCGAGATCTTGTGGGACTTGTCGGCGACGAGGGGCAGCTGGAGGTCGGAGCCGAGGCCGCCCTGCTTGCGGGGCTTCTCGGTCCAGGCCAGGTGGGAGAAGTGGGAGTCGGTCGAGACGCCGAGGACGGTGGTGTTGATGGCGCTGAAACGGGGCAGCGCGTCGTTGTATTGGATGATCTCGGTAGGGCAGACGAAGGTGAAGTCAAGGGGGTAGAAGAGGAGGACGACCCTAGCAAAGGTATGTTAGCTTTAGGTTGTCTCATTTTCGGCCGCCGTTTTGGCACGCCTAATTCAGGGTGTGTCCACATACCATTGTCCCAGGTAGTCGGACAGCTGGATGTCCTTGAACTCGCCGCCGGGGAAGACGGTGGTGGCCTTGAAGGCGGGAGCAGGGCGCTGAACGAAGGCGGTAGAAGACATGGTGACGGCAGTAACGTGTATCTTTGCGGATTTGAAGGTGGAACGGGAAGGAGGAGAGCTATGGTGGATGAGATGATGACAGTGTCGGTAGTTTTGCGCCAGGAGGCGGAAATTTTCCTTATCTATCCGTATGTTTCAAGCTTCCGACTCAGATCCCGGAAGTTGTGGATACTTTTCTGTATCAATTGATCCACAGATTGCTCCATGATCTCATTTCGGTTATCGTCATGGCGTGATGTGTTAAAGTGCTCTCGACGCGTCGCGTTTGGAGTGGTGGTGTTTTAGACTTTTGAATTAAGTGGAGTCAGAGATAAGATCTTGATTCTTGTCCATCGTGAGATGCGAGCTCGCGTGGTCGAGTGACAGATGCATTCTCGAAATCGCGCCGTGAGTAGAGCAGCCATTAGTTTTCGTACCTTATTACTGAGAATGAAGCCTTTAAAAGTTTCCAATCGATTCAGTCATCTTTCGTGTATTCCTGCCCAACCCGCTGTCGTTGTCGAAACTGAAGCTTCTCGGCCGACGTTGTCCGCTGTTGCCGACGTCGCGTGGCTGTGCTGTGCTGTGGCTGAAGCACCTGTGGCTTGTCGTGCCTAGATGCTTCACCATGTTCGCCCTACCACATAAAGGGCTCCCAGCTAGATGACATTTCCTAACAGCATCTCGTGAACACGGCGCGTCGCCATCAGATAGTAGGGGGCGCATGTAGATAGCAAAGTTCTCTATCGAATGGCGGCTATCATCCTTTCATACTTGCCCTGAGAATCTGGTCCCACTCAACGTTGCCCCATGCCTAGCTTGATTGTCAATAACGATGAATTGTGAGATTGAAACCAGGCTCTCAGGAGTTAAGCGCCGAAAAGATTGAGGAGTAATCTTGAATGACATAAGCTCGCCAAGCTGCAGGTGTGTGTATGTGTTCTCAGCTTCTGCAAACTGCCGGGGAAGAACAGTGCCAACAAGCCAGCCTCCAATGGTACATGTAGGGAGCGAGGCCGAAAGGAAGCATTGCTTCATAAATTCGGTCAACTCTCAAGTTCCGCACTACTTCAGATTATTTCAGAGGAAATAAAGGTAAGGCTTTCGTTAGGCTCATGAATACCACATACCATAGACACTCTCGTGTCAAGAAGAGTTGGCGTTGCCGGATTCTCCCAAGGCGCGTTGGGGTCCAAAATCAGCTTATGTCGTGCTTGTCACATGTCTAGTCCTTCGGGGGCCTCGTTCCAAGCATATCCAGTTGCACATCCCTACATTTCAAAGCTTCAATCAGCCTAAGGTGGACGTCTGGCAGCCTCTGATCTGATGTCTAGGTGTTAATTTCCACATCCATCACTGGGCAAGCCGAGTTCGATCGGAACGCCGTGGCCGGACATAAGGCCATCGAGCGGGGTGGCCCCCCGGCCCCCAATCTCATTCTCCAATTCTGTCTCCCCTCAGCGAAGCTCGTCAACGAGTGACACAAGGGACGATTCAGCCCAGCTCGACGCCCGATCAACGTGGGCATTGGGGATCAATGCAGAACACGGCTGCTTGCTGCGCTTTATGACCCTCCCCCCAATGTGTTCATGCAATGGCGGTGATGACGATGTACCATACCTTGCTTGCTCGCTCAACATGTCTAGCGCACCCACAGTATGTGTGTGTGGGTTGACAGTAGTGAAGGGCAAAAAATCAGCATGCTGAGCCCAGGCTTTCTGTACAATGCTGCGGGCGCTTCTCTGTCGTCTTCAAGTCCGCCGTAGCACGCCGTAGCACACCGTAGCACCCTGACGAGAGATAACTGATTGACAGGGCACAGGGTTTCCGATCCTGCAGCCTGCTCTGTGCTGGACACCGAGACTCGATGGCTCTTAGTGTACAATCGTCCAAATTCAGCCTAACGACGATGCTCTCGTATTCGGCCTTGCTGGCTGTGCACTTGTGCTATGAGGGTGTGTCTAAGCAGTGAGATGGAGCTCGTGGTAAGCGAATGGCTGACCCTGGCGAAGTCGAGAGTGTGCCGGCTGGGCTCTCGATGTTAGGTAAAGGCAGACAGGTAAACTATGTCTCTGCTGTCAGGGCGTAAGGAAGGAAGCGGACAGCACCTGAACGAATCTCCCCTTGCTTTCGTTGTTGAGACTGGATTTCCATAATGTTGCCAGTCGGTGACTCTCTCCGCAAGATAAGCCGTCGTGCGGGTGATCATGGTTCTACCAAGACAGTTCCAACCACCAGTACTGTGCATGCAGGTATGCGTTGTTGGAATGCATGCTGCAACGTCCATTCACGCATTCCACCGGTGAACGCGTGATGTACCCCGCATTCTCGCCAAACAAATGCAAACTTGAGGGCATAAAGAACTTCGCCCGTCCGCCATCGTGTCTGTTCTGACGCAGTTAATATTCGCCACCCGTCCCGACCTTCTTGCTTGACTCTGCCACGAGATGCATCGCCGCAGCGGCAGCATGACTGTTCACCGAGGCACTCCGCCGGGCTTCTTCTCGTGGGCCGACTCGCAGCTTCCGGGGTGCCCAAGCCTCCAAGGCCCTGCCCCGTGTGGCGGTGCTCGAGCTGGATCCTAGGCACCAGCTGGGCCTAACCAGGTACTATGATGCTATCCGCAAGCTTCGACAGCGGTGGGCGGTCTTTCGGCCACAAGTTGGTGCCTCCTCTCTTTCCTCCTCTCTGGCATCCCGAGCGAGTCTCTCGCTCCGCGTGTTCTAGACTCGTCTAAGAACTAGTCCCATCAGCCCAGGACTTCGTGTCGAACGTTCAGCGCGACCAATTATCTGTCTTCCTGTCAGCAGCTCGGGGGCCCAAAGGGGAATCGTCCCTTGCGAACCATCCTAGGCGACCACTGTCGCCTCGACGAACTTACCCACCCACGCTCGCTACCTAGTCATGGCATCCATACACTCAGGCCGTGCAACTGAGAGCGATACGTCAGCTACCTTGGTGACAACACCGCCGGATGATAGCTTGGCAAGAAGCCGGCCCCGCTGTCTTTGTCTGCACGGCCCCCCGGAGGCGAGTAGACAAGGCGGCACGGGTCCTAGGAAGTAGAATAAGTTGACAAAGTCTGCGGCTTGGGGAGTGACTAGTGCCAAAGGTTAGTCGTCGCTGCCTTGGGTGACTCCTATTCTTTCAGGCCCCTATTTGATCCTCAGAACCCCGCGTCCGCATTTGTGTCGATATAGAATCATAAGCGTACCACCAGTATTCCAACAACACCTTAAATATCACGGCTTCGCCTGACGAAATTACTCACCAAGACAGAAGATCCAACTCACACCACACATTCCCACACGTACTCATCAATCCAAACATGACTCGAAGCAACAAAACTCACTCGGCATCAAACAAGCGGTCTCATGTCTCGAGCAGCCACTCCTCATCATCGGCCTCCTACTCCTATGGCCAGCACTCCTCCATGGGAAGCAGCCACGGAAATCCTGGGTCCTACGCTCGTCCAAACGGGTCTGGAAACTGGTATCCGGAATCAAGCGGCCCATCTCAGAGTGGGTACGGGCAGCAGGCGGGCAACCACGCCAACTCTTACCGCTCAAACGACTCTCAGGCCTCTGGAGCTGGCAGCTTTGGGTAAGAGTGCACCATGTGTCCTCATCTTGAAGAGTGACTCTGACATGTTGATAGTAGTTCCAATAATCAGCCACGCCTGCAAGAACCAGGTTGGTCTCCGGCAGAGCGACAAGCCTACTCTCAAGGCCATCCTGGACTGCCGATATCCCGTGCCCAGCCACCTCAGCGAAACCACGATGCGGTGCTCAGAGATGTCAATGTTCTAGTGTCCGGCTACGGCCAGCGGCCCCCGTCGACACAGACGTATCCCTATGCCACAGAGCTCAACGATGACTTGGACATCCCAAGCAGCAGCCGCCAGAATAGCTCATCATCTCGCCGGGATACTACCAGTCGGTCTTCCCGGCGGTGAGAGTAGAGGCGTCGGGCAGAATATGTACTTCTTGCATCGCTTGAGGCAGAGTAGGTAGTGGTCCACTAGTCGCTTCCATACCCGGACTGACATGCTCTGTAGGCATAGGAACCAATGATCACAAACTTTTGTTGATCATCGTCATCCACTCCATTCTTTTCCTTTCGACCTCATCGATGTTATACCCCTGTTTGATAGAGCGTTTCTTTGAGTAAAAATGCACTTCGACATCTGTAATAAAGAACACCCGCAAGGGCAAACGGAGAAGACAATGATAAAGACGAGAGCATTGACAGAAGAAAACAATACAATGCATACCAAGACGGTGGTTATCGCATGTAACGAGATGAGTTGTCGATTTAGAGTTGGCTTCGGTTAGACTGTTTTGATTCATTGTTCGGGCAGGAGGCGTCCTTGCTTGATCATGTCGTCGAGTTTCCGTATTGCAATATACCATACTTGAACTTCGAATCCAAAACACTGAAGTGCGAAGCAGGATGACCTAGGGCTTTTATAACTCTAGGGTTTCTCCATGTTGATGAGCAACGTTTCATTCGGGGCAGCCGGCTTGAGTCAGACACAACAATGAGGCGTTCTTTGCTGTCGATTTCCAGTGCCGAGGGCGAAATCAGACCATGGTGACATGGATCAGTTTTCTTGTTTCAATGACTATGACCTTGATGCCCAGACCGTCTTGACTTGCTTGGAGGGCATTATTGTTCTGCGCAACGTGTCAGGCAAGGAAGCAGCTTGTTTTGATGGCTGTCGACGTCGAATCATTCATTGTCTTGCCTCGTGTGAGAAGTCGCCAGTGCCACCTTGTTGTTATAAAGCCCCGTCCCCCCTCTGCTAGAATTCGCCCCTTTGCCCCCATGGTCGGTCTCGGCTTCGCATTATCGCCATTGACATACGTATTGAAGGGAATCTAGAGCGACTTACCTGGTAGGGTTAATTTCCAATCCAAGGAAATCTTCGAGGCAGTGCGACGGCACTACGGGTGGCGGTCTAATCGAATGGAATCGTGATATGGCCCTCCGATGCAGATCTCCCGGGCTGTGGACCCGGCTGCAGCGGGTATGCCACCCTTCGGCCCCGATCTGCGCTGTGTCTCGACGAGCGTCGCTCTCCATGATTGGCTGAACTTTCTGTAGATGCATGAGGTTTCGGCTGTGCCGGTGAAAAAGAAACCTGGGCCGTTTTGCGATGCAGTCAGGGTCCCTTGCAAGTCTAGAGAAATCCTCAGAGAGCGCGATGATTGAAGTGATAGCAGAAAGAAACGTGAAGTTCCTTAGACAAGAGATGTAGTTGAGAGGATCCCGCAAGAGGTTCCGGTGGATCACCGGAAGCCGAATTTGGTTGGCAAGCGGACTCTGAGTTCTGTTTGCGGAAGTAAGGATTGACGGATGAAACTAAGGACAAGAATGCACCTACCATAGAGAATTCACGTATCCAAACTTGAAGTGCCATCCATCTGCTCCGTCCAACCCAATACTGACATGAATCAAAGGTAAAAGGGGCTTTATGTAGATCGAAGTGAATGTGATTGCATTCAAATACCATTGTTGCCTGGGTGTTCATCGACCCCCCACCACCCCACGTCCTTGCCTTCCTAGAGCACGGGTAGTGGCAGATTCTCTATCTTGTCAGTATCTGTTCGTTCGTGTCCCATTTGCTGATTCTATGACTATGTGAACGGAAAGAAGTTGTTATTCGTACTGAGGCTGATGTGGCCTTCGCCAAAAGTCTAGCTTCTGGAAAGTTGGCTGCTAGTCCATTTGCTTCTCCTAGTCTGTCTTGACTAAACGTCACTTTACGCGTTTTGATCAGTAGATCCACAGAATTGTACCACATACCTCACAAGCTCTGGGACGTCGACATGTTTGTCAGGTAGGCCGAGTCTTTATACTCTCCTGACTCCCCGCTATGTAGTCACACGGGTGAGTCACCCAGCGTGGCTCTGTCGTGTCCTGCATTGAAGCCTAAGATGCGTCGTCTTGATGCCATGCTGCCTTGGAGTACTGAGTGGCTGCAATTAGGTTTCTTAGGGTTGTTCTGGGGCCATCGAGTTGCGTTGGTCGAATCAGAATCCGTCGGGTCCCGGGCAGACTACGTGGAGTCTGTGGCTTATAAAAACCATGTGTCGCTCTCTATATCGAAGGCTGAGTGGTCTTCCCGATTCTTTTGCTTCTCACCTCCATCTCTCGACTTATTCGTCCTCTCTACTTATCTTCAAAGTCGTTCCCTCCGGCAGCGTCGGCAGTCGGTCCTCGCGTGTCCGCGAGTTACACAGAAGAGGCCTTGCCGAGGTATCTCGTAAGGCCAGAGACCGAGGCCTCGTAATTCTTGTAAGGCGCAGCTAAGACAACCGCTACCTTTCGGTTGTACGCCGACCCTGAGAATGCGGTGCACACCATTCAAAAAGGCTGTGGTGAACAGCGATGATTGGCTCTGTGAACCCCTGTCTCTGCAGCAAGATCTTCGTGGGTGCGTCGGTAGAGCCTAGAAAAAAGCCGGCGCTGAAGATGTAGCCTGTGCTATGGCCAGTATCGTGGATCAAAGACACAATGACGAGAAATGTAGTCTCAGGAGGCCTCGAGAGGACTTGAGGGAAAGAAGAGGTGAAGTTGAAATAATCTCCGGCGAGTCGGCGAGGTCAAAGCGGCCCCCGATGGCAGGCGGACCTTTGACGCCGGGGCAAACTTTGTCTGTTTGCAGGGGCAGGTGTCATTCATTAAACAAGGTCCTAGGGAAGGAAGGAACTTAGCGCTACAAACGGGTAAACAATGCACCAAACCGTTTGATGACAAAAGATGTCCACGGGTATGAAAGAGACCGGTTTGCGCTGGCTTTATCAGAAATCAGCAATTGAGGCTTCTTTTGTATCGGGACATACGAGATCCGTCAGGACACACATGCAAGCGTTGCCTCACTTTACCTCGTAAGCATCCCACTCAGGGGCTGAGTCTCTAGTTTTAGTAGACGGATGCGAAAAGATTTTCCTTCCAACATTCCTTCTACGAAGGATCAGACTCATGTCGGATCAATTGACGGAAGCCTAATTGCCTATTTGCAAAGGTCCCTTCATTGTGATTAGCCGCTCCAGTTGGCGGCGCAGGGGCCGTGCAAGTGGACTGTACCAACATTGGAAGATCGCGAATACCCCTTCGGTGTGTGAGTCAACAGGCGTTCGAGCTCAAAGCGGACGGTATCTCCATCAACATGCCTTATTCAGCCAGGTTCTTCAACCTCATGTTCTCATAAAGACTCATCGAGGCCATTTCATGATTCATCTATTTACTTCAATCGCATCACTCACATCTCACTCAAGCCGTTAGGTTTCGGAGACTTTGCTATACGTGAGACGGTCGTGCCGACAGGTCTTGGAACACACCCAATCACTGGTGCAGCCAGCTTACCCTCGTTGAAACATACTTCTAGTCTGGCGATATACTCAATCACTCTGAATCCGGCAATAACATGCCCCGCAAGCCCATCGAAATCGACGGGCGGACCGGAGAAGGAGGTGGACAATTAGTCCGTGTCGCCATAGCCCTCGCAGCAGTAACAACCCAACCAGTACGCATCACCAATGTGCGCGGCAACCGTCATTCGAGTGATGGAGGAAGAAGCCGTAGCAGCAAAACAGGCGAAGGCAGCAGAAAAGGAGGCGGTGAGCACCACGCGTTCATTCATACACAGCCCAGTCTCAACCAACGTGGTAAACTAACACCAACAAAAAACAGGTCTCAAAGCACAACACGTCACCGCGATCCGCTGGCTAGCAGAAGCAACAGACGCAGAGGTAGAAGGCCTATCCGTAGGCAGCAGTACCCTGACTTTCAACCCCCGTCTACCGCCCTCCGCCGCTCTAGACAAGTACAAGTCCCGCAAGATCAAGATCGTGGCGGACACGACCGCGGCGAGCACGCTGCTGATTATCCAAGCCGTCCTCCCCTTTCTTCTCTTCGCGGGCGGAGACGCAGACGCTGGGCCCACCGGCGATACCTCGTCGACGCCAAAGCCCAAACCCACAGAGCTAGAAATCCAGGGCGGGACGAATGTAGACTTCTCGCTCTCGTACGAGTACCTAGACCAAGTCCTCATCCCGCGCCTAGAATCTTCGTTCGAGGGCGTACACGTCGGCCGGGAACTGGTGAGGCGCGGATGGAGTAGAGGTCCGCAGGGCAAGGGTTCCATCGTGCTCACGATTCATCCTCTCAAGCCAGGTCAGACTCTACGTCAGACCTCTGCCCCGAAGAACCCACACGAAGGCACACCCACCGGCCTTCGCGACGTGGTGCACTGCATAGACGTCACAATGATCGCCCCTTCAGACTCGGAGGCTCCCTTGCAAGAGACACTGGCAAAGGACATCGCACTCGCTTTCCCCGATGCCAAAATCACCTTCAAGCCCTTTGAGGACTCTCACAATGAGAAGCGGACATACGTCCTCCTCGTAGCCCGCGACGCCTCCGGAACGTTATGTTGGGGCAGGGACGATTACGTGTCTGGGCCACCGCGCAGGCACGCCTGTCATGGGAAGCATAGATCGTCTGACATGTCGTATGTTGTCGGGGCAATCAGCCGCAGTGTTGTCTCGAAACTCGTCGATGAGCTTTCGACACCGGGCTCAACGATAGACAATTTCCTGCAAGATCAGCTCGTCATCTTCCAGGCTTTGGCGGAGGGGACGACGTCGTTCCCGCGTGCTGCTGCGCCGAAAGCTGGCAGTGGTGATGACGTGAATGTTGCGAGTCAAGACATGGCGCAGTTGGATCTAGAGAGGATGAGGAAGGACAAGACGGATAAACCATTCGGATACGGCAGCTTGCACGCTCAGACGGCGAGATGGGTGGCGTCGGGGATCTTGCCTACGGTGGAATGGTATAACAAGGGGACGGTATGCAAAGGTGTTGGAACGAGCTTCAGCTAAGAAAACTGGATATCGAATAACGCAACTGGAACCTAAGTAGAAAGGACTCGAGCACGCAAAATCAGTCTGCCTCCAACTCCATGCCAACGACAAGCGCCATATAATAGATGCCCCTAAACAAACTTTGATTTTCCAGTCCTCACTCTGCCTTGTCAGCGGGAGCAATTGTCCACTGTCCCTCCTTCAGACTGGCAGGGCCGCACTTCCACGAACACCCTCTCCTCAAGAACGGAACAGCCCCCTCGTTCTCTTCATCCAGGTCCGTCCATGGACGAGCCTTAACGATGTGGCCATCTTGGGGTTGCCTACTCTCAACGAGGCAAACCTGCCACCACTCCAGCCACTGTGTTGTGGGTGCCACGAAGGACTTCTTGCACGCAGAACAGGTAAGCCCGCCGACCTCTCGCTGGTCGGCAGCACGCTCAAGGAGGGCTTGCAAGTGAGGCAGCGAATCAGGGATGTAGTCGGGCAGCTCGCAGAGGTCAGAGCTCTTGTAAGCGCTGCGCAACGCCAGTTCCATCAAACTGGGAACGCGGCTACCCTTTGCACTCGAAACGCTTCTTCCAGCGGACTTGGAGTGGTAGGGTGCCGATGACGGTGGGGAGATGAGTGACGTGCTGTCCCCGGCGTTCTCCAGTCGCTCTGTCTGCACAATAACTCCCTCAGGATCAAGGCGGAAGTCAGAGTGCGAGAAGCCCGAGCTATCGAGGTAGTGGACCGGGGACCGCACAAAGAACCTGCCTGCAACACCGTCAAACCCAGGTTTCCATGCCTCGGCCAGTTCCGAGCCTCCCGAAGCGTCGCTCTCGAGACTTTCCAAGTCAGCCAGGACAGGTCGCTCAGCCGCCTGGAAAAAGTGATTGCCCTGCAGAAGCAACTCTTCCAAGGCGGAGGGAGCTGCCATGAGATCCAGAAGCTCAGCCGGGAGGTATCTAAGCAGGTTCTGGGCGAGGTTCAGGGTGCGAAGACTTCGCATCTTGCCAATCGCAGGAGGCAGCTCTCGTAGTCGGCATCCCCGCAGGGAAAGCACTGTCAGGTGCTCCAAATCAAATATCGCCCCTGGCAGCCGCTGCAGAGGGTTACGGTAAAGATACAGCTGCAAAGCAGGATCCTTCTGCTCGAATGGCACGCCTTCAGCTACGACCGGAATGCAGGAGAATTCGGACAAGGGTCGAATAGTAGCATCGGTGAGAGTCTTGAGGCCCATCATGCTGTTTCTAGTCAGATCTAGTCAGGTCTCTGCAATGGATCGCACACTCACGATAGATCAATGTACTCGGTTCCAGAGTCCAGACATTGCTGTACCCTCTCCCGCGCTTCCAGCTCCTCGGTCGAGATGACATTGCGCCGCCGAGCCATCACTCGGCTGATCTGAGGAAGCTTCGACTGGGTCGGCATATCGGGCATCATCACGCTCTCGTCGCCATCCGTGCTGTCGCTGCCCATCCAGACACCACTGTCCAGGTCACGCTTCAAGGTTCGCTTGCCCCTCAGCGCTGGCCGCGGCTCTCCGGTTGCAGAGTCGGAAGATGCAGGCTGCTGGTGGAACCAAGAGCCTACGTACTTCTTCTTCTTTCGCCGTCCCTCGACATAGTTGTCCAGACCTGGGTCGTCATCGCTGGAAAAGACGGCAGGGTCACTGGAGTTGGACCATGATGGAGGCGCGACAGAGTGGCTTTTAAAGTTGTACCTCCGCTTTCTCGGATTGTTGCTAAAACTCTGGGTCTGGGCGTTCCATGAGATGGACGGCAACAGACTGGGAAGACTGGGTTCGTCGGACATGGCGAAAGATTGGAAAAGAGATGTAAGAGAAACGAGTCTGCAATGTGTGCGAGGTAGCCGGCATCAAGAGATTGGGAAGCTCCCGTCTGAGGCCCGCCACCACGACCCTCGCCCGCGAGTGGGACAGCGCGTCGTGACGCAAGTGGGGGGGTCGAACGCGTTCGGCCAGGATCAAGTCCCACAGGGGTATTCCGCTCACACGATCTCCGAAGATAGCTCCGAACACCCTTGTACTAAGTTCTGAGTGTTCTTAAAGTTCAAGCTGAGAAGACCTCGGAATCATCAACTTGCTCTGTCTTTCAAGAAGCCGTGAAAGGGCATTGTTTACGTCTGGACGCGACCAACTTCTGCACAGTGGCCCTCCCGCATTGAAAAGCTGCTATCCCAAACAGGCCTAGCCTGCTTTTTCCCCGGGAGTCAGGAACACCCTGGACTCCACCCATGCACACGCCAATCGATAGCCGTTATCTTCAGTCTTCAGGGTCTCCGCAGCGGTAACACGCGGGGCATCAGATGCACGAAATCCAGGAACCAAGATTAGCCCCTCTTCATGTGGTGACACTTCAGCACCAGCTGCCCAAATTGCTCTCCTTCAACCCGCACTCCATCTCATTTTCGCCTAGAGGTCGAGAGGAATATGGTGATCAAACTTTGGTTCTTGTGCAGTGTCAATTTCGCACCGACGTGCGGCCTGAACCTTTCTATTGAGGCAAGTCTTGAAAGGCCGAGCTTCGTCTTGCAGAGCATGATACCTCAGTGTAAAAGGAAGGCTCATGAGGCCTGCAAGTGCCATTACTTCGCAAGAATGGTGACGCAAAACTCATAATGAGTCAAGTTGCGCGTACTGTAGATCCTACGGATGATCAAGGTATCAACAGCTTCCCATCCATACCATCCGTGCCACTTCCGCCCATGACGGGGCACTCGCGCTGATAATTCGAGGACATTTCTTAGTCCCAGTCATCATCGTCGCTGTCGTGTCCTTTGGTCTTTGACACGTTTCCTTGCCGGATGCCTTTGCCCATCGCCCTCTCCTCCTCTTCGTCGTCTGCTTGCCTCCGGCGCTTGGCCACGCGCATGTCCGTCTCAGGTACAGCGCCTACCTCGACCAGCAGGTTGTCAAGTTGGAGCATGTTCACCTTGACGCCTCCCATTTGCATCAGTGTCACGACCTGCTTGGCAATATCGCCGTTCTTGTAGACTAGAATCGTCGGGCAGTTCCGTTCGGGGTAGTTTTCGATGGCCTTGTCCGCGCGCATTTCGCAGAATTTGACCTCTCCATATTCCTGCGCTGCCTGTTTCCACAGCTCCGACAGCACCCGGGACTCGACGTTTGTGCCCAGCGATGACGTCAGGTTGACAAAGACCGGACCGTTGTTGGACGCTTCTGTGACCTCGCGCGAGTATTCGGGTTTCGAAATCGGGTAGACGGTGCCGTGGAGAGCCTTTTTGGTAAGCTCGTTGAGCTCCTGCATCCTGCGCTGACGATATTGCTCCAGGAATGCCTCATCTTCGTCGTCCTCCAGCTCGTCCAGCTCGTCGAGATCCTTGCCCTCCAGTCGGTTCTCATGCGCTAATCTGCGTCCTTCGGCGATGGCCTCTTCGATCATAGGTGTCGGACTGGGAGGCTTCTCTGGGATGACGCCATGTTTCCGGAGAATGTCGTTCCTGGCAGCACGTGTCAGGAGTCGCCGAGTAGTTGTCGTGAGATAACATACCACTCGGTGTCTGCATTGGGATCATCGATTGGTACTTGTATCCTCTGGTCCATTGGCGCTGCCATTGTGACGGTGTTTTGTGTGCGACAATTGTGGGTGAAATGAGTCCGAGAGAGGGGTGATTGATGATAGTCAGAAGTTCAATGTAAGTTGATGGATGCGACTATCAATGATATGGCCAGTGACTTCAGGCTACAGGTTAATGTCGCAGATGCCTAAGTACCCAACTGCCTGGAAAGAATGACATGGAACATGGAAACGGCTGAAGGTGACCAGCGGCCAGCCCAACACTGACACCCCGCCCTCACCAAGCTGTTGGCGGACGCGCTTGTATTAGGTAAGATGTAGGGGCAGCGAGTCTAGAGCCAATCACAGGCGGGGCAGAAGTGTAGGCGTCAGGTCCCGTGATCCAGCCCTCCTCGGCACACTGTCCTCCCCTAAATTTTTAATGTGGGTCGTCGGAGAGAGGATTTTTGGCGGACGGGTCCCCTCTCTGGCTCACAATTCCACCACCCCATCATCACCGTTCTTTTGCGAGTGCTACAATCTGCTCTCTCAACACCACCAGATTCCCGTCAAGCCCGACAGCACTCGCATCCGATAACCGATCAATCAATTCTCGAACAGATCAGTCAAGATGGTAAGGCCCTCCTGCTGCTATGGTATTTCATGCCTGGCAACACCCGTGTGATGTTGTCTTCCTCCCCGACGAAACGAAATCCGAACAAACCGACCGCATTGGGAACACGCGAGTGGCGAGAAAAAAAATCATAGCAAGAGAAGGAAAAGATGGTTACGGCTGGGCTGTGGAGGAAGGACACGACGATTGCGCATGCGATATTTGATGAAGGAACCATCATGCTGATGGCTTCTCCCCCAGGTTCTCGCCGTTGATCTCCTCAACCCCTCCCCGGCCGCCGAGGCCCGCAAGCACAAGCTCAAGGTACGATAATACCCACGATGCCTTCACGACATCTACACCTTACCTTTACCCCTCCACACCATGGACATGGTGAAAAAGAAGATGATGACGCTCACACATTGGACAGACCCTTGTGCCCGCGCCCCGCTCCTTCTTCATGGACGTCAAGTGCCCCGGTTGCTTCACCATCACCACCGTCTTCTCCCACGCCCAGACCGTCGTCATCTGCCAGGGATGCACCACCGTCCTCTGCCAGCCTACCGGTGGTAAGGCGAGACTCACTGAGGGCTGCTCTTTCCGCAGAAAGTAAACTGTTCGCCTCGACGGTTTTCTTTTAGCCCTTGGGTATTAACGACTTGGACGGTTCATCACTGGTGGGACATCTCGGATCTGCAAAAGCAAGCGACCTGGGCATGGGCGTATAGACAACCCTGGCACGGGCTCTTAGAGTCTGCTGTCTTCGAACAGAACATAATCAGACACCTTTGCGGATAGAAGATGGAGCTTCCAAAAAATCTCTTGACCAAAAAACACAGGGGCGTTTGGGGTCTCCGGATATCCTTTGCATCACCAATCGACGCATCTTTTCCTCAGTTTTCTTCTCTTTCCTCGCGCGGCCGACAAACAATCAAAAAGGCAACCAATCGCTCACCACACACACTCCCTCTACTCTGTCTTGTTTCGACGCCCGTCTCTTCTGATGCGTTGCGTTTGCTCAGTCAGTACACGACACAATGGGAGTTTTTATGTCGTCTCTCTGCATGGGGGGTGGACAGCTGGAAATGGCTTTCCGCATGAGCGTTTGGGTGGTCCACGGGATGACCTGGACGTGAGGACGTGGAACCGCTGGTTGAGGATCGCTTCATACCCGGAGTGCAGTGAGTTTCGGAGGAATCAGCACTGCTTGCGAAATTCAATGGTTTCCACAAACGCCCCGGCCGGCCTCTGAAATCGTGTTTTCTCGTGATGTGTCTGATGTGGTGAAGTGACGTGCTCGCGTGTACCTTGACGGATCTGTGACGGCCCCCACCAGGCGCCCACTTATTCTCTATGTTGAAGTTGCTGGCGAAGTAGATGCTCGTGTGATGTGATGGTAGGCTTGTGTGTCTCGACCATAAGATTTGTTTCAGCTCACCGGCCTCTCCGTGGCTCTCCAAGAGGCTAGACCGTCAGACATATCTTAAGTTTGTGCGACAATGCTCTCCGCAACATAATGACAGTGTCAATGGCACACCTTACTAAATTGTAGAGCTTCACTCTGGGGCTCGGAGTTGTAGTAGTCTAGGGATGCCTTGACAGCTGTCTCTGTATGGAACGAGACGTCTACCCATAGGAAACATACCGAAACTTGAGACCAGAACAAGATAAGAATTGAGCCATGAACAACGCTTTTGCTGTTACACCGCTAGAGCTTCCTTCTCCTCACGGCCTGCATACTGCCCTGTTTGTGTGTTGCCTCAATTGGACGATGGAGGCGCACATCAAGACCGTTCTCAATGATGATCGCCTATCAAATGTGTCACCTTGCTGCAGTGGCATGTCAATTGGCACCATGATATCCAAAGCCAATGCTGGACACACTGCACCTACAGGCGCTGAAAAAGACGAAGAATGGAATCGAGAAACGATGATCATGAGAAGCATTGTTCGAAAGCTGAATACAACACAAAACACAGCTGAGATACAACTCCGCCTCCTTTGCCCTCTCGGCCGATGCTGAAAAGGCCGTGTCGCCCGTTGTCAAACGGGCTCCCGTCCTTTGGAGTATGGCCCGTGGAGCAGCAAACCTGGAAGAAACCAAGGAAGGGGGAATGGAAACGCAGGGGCGCCAATCATCCGCCGGTCAATGTCAGTTTCAGGGCACATGGTCCCCCACCAGCGCAGCTAAAGTGGTTTTTAGTGGGTTCAGGCCGCGCGAGTCTCGCGAAAAAACACGCCCAGACGCGCTTTCTTTCGCCTAATCGCAGCTGCCGCGGATCGTCGGATGTCCCATGCGTTGTCCCTCCGTCTCTCTTGGTAGGCTTGCAACCTTGGAAAACCGCCCGACCTAGCAGCGGCCCAGGTCCGTCATATCCCCCACCACCACCAGTCCACCAAACCCTTCCTTCCCCCTTCTCTCATATCAACTTAATCTCCCATCATCTTCCCAACCGCTTCTATTCCCCCCTCCCCCCCGCTCATCTTTCTTCCACGACATCTCCTCTCGCTTCTATACGTCATTCCTCGCTTGCGATCGTTTCTAGGATTACCATCTCCTCCGACTATTTTTGGACGACGAATTGGAACTCTCCACTCTACACTACCGAACTCCCGTATCTCACGATACTTTCACCTGCGCCGACCCAAAAGAAATCAACGCTTGGACCACAGCCACCAAAACGAACCTCACTTCTTCCTCAACGTCAATTCCGACCTCTTCAAAAGGCCGACAGTGCGAACGTCAACCCAGATTCTTGATCTCCTCAACGACCACGCAACCATGTCGGCCCCGAGAACGAAACGTCCCTTCGCCGGGGCATCAAGCGACCCCTCCCAGCGCCAAATCACCTCCTTCTTCAGCACCCAATCCGGCCCAGCTCCTCCTCCAGCCGGTCCCTCGCCCAACATCCAAGAAACCATCCCCTCAGACGTGCAATCCAACCTCCTCTCCGTCGGCATGCGCGTTCGCAAGTCCGTGCCGGAGGGCTACAAAACGGGCTCCTACAGCAGCTTCAAGCTGTGGACCGACGCTACGGACCGCCGCACCCCCGTCGTCCGGACAACGACCACCACCAGCAACACCCACCGCAACCGCAGCGCCGCCTCCCAGCGCGAACTCCTGCCCTTCTGCGGCATCAACAAGGTCGGTGGCCTATCCAGCCAGCCGGTCCACTCCAGCAGCGACGAGGACGAGGACGAGAACGGTGGCGGCGTGCCTGGATTGGACGATATGCCGGGCCTGTGCAGCTCCCAAGAGAGCGTGGAAAGCGTCGAGAGCACGGCCAGCGACGGACGGAGCAAGAAGCGCTTCTTTGCTCACGATGAGGAGAGCGACGAGCCGGTTCAGATGTGGGCGGACCGCGCGGCGTGGTTGGAGGGCGAGGTGAGCCCGCGGAGCCTGGCACCGTCTGGATGGGCAAATGCCCGTCCGCTGGCGGTCCCGAGGAAGAGCCGTCACGGTGTGAAGACTAGGCTGGGACAGGAGAACGTCGTCCTTGACGATTTCGAAGACGCGGAGTTCCTCGTCACGCCTGACACTGATATGAGCGACGCATAGGGGAGAGGGCTCCCTCTATGCGGTTTTTGGAAGGGAGTGAATTCCATGCTATGATATTGTTCTGAGTACCGAGACGGTACGGAAGTGGGCGCCTGGAGTTTAGGTCGCAGAGAATCACGGAGCGTGTTTCTGTTTCACTTGTACTCGGCAAGAGCTGCTTTGAGGACATTTGTTCAGTATGGTGCGTGGAGGAACCGCGAGAAAGATTGTCGTCTCTTGCTCGTTGGTGGTATGAATAGTCTGGATTGTACTACGCCTCTTTCTATGGCTAATGGTCTGCGCCATTGTGTTTTTATTGTATTGGTATCATAGGCTAGCACGTTACCCCGGACCCCTTGCGGCCCAGCAAATTCGAGTCCCTTTTTGATAGAAGATCTCTCGGAACCCCTCCATCCGTTGACCTTACCTCGCTCAAGGTCGTTGCTTGATGTTACATACCTGTGAAAGGATCCCGGAACTCGAGCAAATCGCGCTGCCCGTAAAACTCACCAGCGACGGTCAGAATCATGTTGAGCGTGGCCCGCATGTTCATCCGCGCCCGCAGCTGATCCGCTACGTCCTCACCATCGCCCTCGCCGTCTGGGATAGCCTCCTCCGCGATGGGTTCCTCTGATGGTGCCTCGGACGGCGCATCCTCGACGGCTGCGGCAGTGTCTATCTGGGCAAGGAGTCGAGCGCGCGCTTCCTCGAGCGTTTCAACTGGTGCTGGTGCCGGTTCTTCTTCCACGATCTCGCCTTCGTCGATTTCGCCGTCTTCAGAGACGTCCATTGGCTCTGACTTTTGGTCGTCGTCGTCGATTTCTCTGTCCTCGACTTCGCCATCACCGACTTGATCTTCTTCACGCTTCGAGGCCACGACTCGGACATTACCCTTACCGTTCGGCGTCGTCTCCCCACTCCCCTCCCCCTCCCTTTCCCCATCCCTCTCATCAACCTCCATCTCCCTCAACGCCTCCTCATCATCAGAACTTTCATCGACAGCATCATTCACCCCCAAATCCATCCCCTCCCCCTCCAACGCATCCCTCAAGGCCGCCATATCCGCCAAACTCTGCATCATCAGCACCGCCCGCCGCCCCAGATCCCGAACCCACCCAACCTCCACATGGTTCATCTCCCCGCGCTCCGGCAGCCGCGCGAGCAAAGCCCACAACCACCGGCTCGTGCGCTCCTTCATCTCGCTCCCGCGGCGGAGGAACGCGCCGCCGCCTAGGAGGACGCGGAGGACGCGTAGGACGCCTTCTTTGTCCATGGAGGCGACTTGTGCTGGTAAGGGGTCCGCGTCGCGGAGGCGGTTGGACCAAGTTGTGTAGGTTGCTGATTTGGGCGCAAAGGCACCGACGCGGAAGTCGTGGGGGGATCCGGGGTGGAGGGCAGCGACGGCGGAGGGGGGCGGGGTGGAGTGGAGGGTTTTGCGGAGGATGTTGAATCGGGTGAGGATGGCGACGAAGTAGGCTTCGCGGATGGCGGACTCGGGGTCTCCTCCGGCATCGCTGTCTTGGTCTTGGTCATCGTAGAGGCCTTCGTTGCCGGGCCACTCGCCCTCTTCTACTTCGTCGCCGTGGCTGGTTGTGTGTGGTTTGTCCCAGTTGTCGGGTCGTGCTGTGTATGCGCCGTCGGCGTAGTATCCTCTGAAGTCGCCCTCGCCTGTGGTGTAGATGTCGCGATCGCGGTTCTCCTCCTCTGCGTCTTCGCCGTGACCGTCATCGTACTGGAGCTCTCTCGGTAGTTGCGGGCCGATTGGGACTTTTGGCGCGACGAGTAGGTGCGGTATGCCGTTTGCTTGCGTCCTAGAATACTCACCACATCAGCATCACCTTGCGCTACTTCGAAGACCAGTTCAGCACATTGGAAGAAGACAGTCTAGTGGAAAGGGGAGCGGTTCCTTACCTCACTGATTTGAGATACGCCATGGCATCTCCGTCATCCTCAAAATCCAGCTCCGGGTCTACCGGCACCGTCGTCGAGCCCGCGGCGGACGAGAAGACGTACTTCTGTCCCCATGTCGGGTCGATATGTGCGTTTTGGTGGTCGCGCGCCTTGTTCTTGTTGCGTTTGGGCGCGGGCTGCGCGACGTCGTTGCCGTCGGAGGCATCGTAGCTACGTTTCGAGGCCATACTTTCGAGGAGATTTTGGAGCTATTGCGCTGGGCCCAGGCCTATGTCTTTGGATTGGGCCAAGGAAAAGTTGGCGACGTGATTCTAGTGCAGCGCTGGTGTTCGGGAAAGGTGACGACGAGTCGCGAAATTTCCCCCTGGTTGGAGCTTCTGCCTCCTGGCGCTGATCCCTAACTTTTCAGTGGAGAAATGTCTTTATTCAGTGGGGTCCGCGTTAACGGCGCCGTCGGGCTAAAGCCTTCCGACTGGCTTCGGGACATTGAAGCTGCTTTTCCGACATCCAGTCCTGTCTTCAGGAGCACGTCAATACTAACACTATCGTATGCCGGGCATGCTCAATCAATATTAAACGCCTGAAGTTCGTTTGGGGCATCAGCTGCAAATTTTTGTTGGTTGTTGGAAACAATCATGGTCATAAAGCCCAATCATTGCAGTTTCGTTACTTTTCACTGAACAATAGATTGCATTAAATACGTACCAACTTGATCTTAGAACTGTCGAGAGGATTAGAGGTATATTGACTCATTATGACACTGCATTCTGCTCTCTCCGATAATGACTACCATGTTATTCTATGATTTGGTCTAAAAAGAAGAATGAAGAAGGCTTAAAGAGACAGAATCTTGGAGTTGCAGCGAATCTCCTCTCATTCCGAGCTCTGTGTTGTCTCATGCTAGACCACGATGCTAGAGTAATTTGCCGGAACGGCAACACTATGGCACTGTACGCACAGTATGCGACTTGAGATGATCCAGAAGGACTATTGCATGCGGTGACCTGAACGCGATCCGTTGGGTGAATCATCGGTCAACGCCTTCAGCCTTTCTCATCCAGCCACGAGACCCGCCACGTACCTCCAATGATCTGGCCCTACCCTAAGGGTATACATACCAACTCAGCGTCGTACCCGTTACTAGCACAGCGGCTTCCGTCTGGGTTGACGGGTCAGGTCAAGCTGTGTGCGTGGTGTAGTGGTTAAGTAAACATATACTTCAATGAAGTCAGAGTATGGGTTGACTGAGGGGCGCTCTGGCCGATCCCGGGCAGGGACGTGAGTTCTACAATATGTTATCCCCCTCCCTCCTGCTTTCCTTTTTGTGGAATCTGAGATTAAGAAGGTTTTCGTATTTATCACTGGGTTGGGTATCTTGGCTAATCTAAGTACCTATAAAATACACATTCCCTTTTATAGATATAAATAGGAAGATGTGCCCTTGAGTGGAGTGGATTTCCGCTCCCTTGGCCGACTTGTGCGATTTGTTCCCTCATACTTCCAATTCTGACTTGAAAAAGCTCATACTAACAATCTTATAGCTAACATATCCAGCCACATTCTAACTGAACAGGCCAGTTGGTCATGGGTTCTCACTATCGCATCTTCGGGCACTCATTCTCTCAGAATATCTAAAGACACAATGAGAGTAACGCCCAAGGTAATATGCCTGGACGCCAGCGGGAGAGAATGATCTGCCGCTCAGCACATCATGAGCTCGACTTCTTCATTCAATGTTGGTTCTTCGGGCTCCGTGGATCAGTCACTCCTTACAGATCAGATCTGTGGCCTCCACGAGTGTGCTGTTGCCATCGTCAACATACGTGTACCAATATAATATTAGTGTTTTCTCGGTTGGTAGCTATTGGGTAACGTTTGGGACACGATCGATCTTGTAGTCCCATACTCCCGGCTGTGAGATGTTAGAGGGTAAAATCGCTAGGATAGAGACGTGGCGGGAGTATATATTACCTCGTGAGCTCGCCGAGCTGGTCCGCTCCGCTGGAGCATCAAATATCAGATACGCTTCGTCAACCTTACGCACATTGGCTTTTCCCTGTGGTACTTCAGCTTTGTAAGGCAGGTCGCTGAAGTGACCCCTGTGTTGGCGACTAAGTGCTCTAGGTCCTTCATGTTCTCCCCATAAGCCAAAGGGGCAGGTTAACATATCGGTTCTATGCATTTTTCCAAGTGTATTCCTTACATAATATTTCCAAGAAACCCAGTGAGGTAGCATCAAGGGCTACGTTGATGAGGAAGGGCCTGATCGGACTTTCTCGTCACCCATTTCCTTGGTATCTCAGAAATGCATTCATCACTAGGAATGTTGAGATATGTTTCAATCGATTGTGGCTCGCTGAAAGAAATTCGTTGAATTTGTAGTAGTAGAATTGTCAATTGCCTAGGTAGTTACACACATACAAACGATCGATATAAGTGAGCGGTGTTGAGGTGCAGGGGACCTTGCGGCTTCCCCGCGGAAACTACTGCGTATGAAAGTTTGATGGCAGGAGACCTAAGTGGCCCGAGAAAGCTACCAAGCTGACTAGCTTCTATATCAAAGAAACAGATTGTTACAGTCTAATTCCTCCAAATTAATAACCACGTCTTGTGAAGGCTGAGTTCCGTTGTGCTAAGGGTTGAGTTGGATTTAATCTCAAGAGTGAGCAAGACTGGCTGGATTAAGCCAAGGTACCTCCGTTAAGAACCGTTTTGTCACTGTCCATCGGCTGTTGGAGGAGCAAGTTGTGGACCCCTGTCCAAGCTCCAGATCCAATTCCCACTTCATCCACCGACTTCAATCTCCCCGAACTTCACAATCGCATCCCGCAGAACACACCATCAATTGCGACAATGACGACGACAGTACCAGACCAACCGCCCCCGCCGCCCGACAATGAACCAGTGTACGGCGGCTACACGCGATTCGAAATCGAACTTGAGGTAACATGCTCCACTCCGTCTCTCAAGAGTTCCTGCTAATCTCCTCGCGCGCGCGCAGTTCGTCCAATCCCTCGCGAACCCCCTCTACCTGAACCATCTCGCGACCCAGAAACTCCTCACACGCCCCGACTTTGTTGCCTACCTCGCCTACCTGCAATACTGGACCCGCCCGCCGTACTTAAAGTACCTCATGTACCCCGGCCCGACGCTCAAGCACCTCGAGCTCCTGCAGCAGGAGCAGTTCCGACAGGATGTCATCAGTCCCGATCTCGTGCAGAGGCTGATGGACGACGGGATGCGGGCTGCGGTCGACTGGCACCGGAGCGATGCGTGAGGCTTTTGAAGGGTTTGAACGGAATGCGCCTTCGGTTCTGGGAGTACACGAAAACACGGCGATCGACTTATATCCCTTCATGGATTGGGATGACAAGCCTTGGGCGCCCAAGAGATGTGCCGCGCAAACACGGCCAAGATGGAGAAAGTGGAATCGAGGAGCCAAGAATCGCGCGCGGCTGTGAAGCAGCATCACAGCAGACATATCACGAAATTACGACTTAGATAGGGAAGGCCCACAGGAAAGTGCCAACGTACAATCCAAAAAAGTCGCAGAAAAAGGTTCGCTTTACGGAGCGGCCCAAGAGGAAAGGCATGTTTCTAAACAAGTTCTAGAAACAGATAGTTGCAGTTACAGCGGGTTGCGTGTAGCAGATAAAACAAGAACAAATACACCCATCCAATTGTCCCCAACGCCTCGCAATGCCCAGTGAAAATCCCAGAATATTTCCTCGTCCAGCATCAGTTTTCTCTCCATCTGTTTCCGCACGACATACACTGCAATCACATCAAGTCAGCGTTCTACTATTCCCTCCCTTTCGACAAGACCAAAACAGAGCATACCTTGTAAAACGTAGTCATAGGCTCATCAGCACTGCGAATCTGGACCTGGAAGAAGGCAGCCTCCTCGCCGTTGCAGCCGTCCTTGGGGCACTGGGCGCGCGCCTTGTCGGCATTGTCCCACTCGCCGGGACCGCCAAAGACGTCCTCGCGCTCCTTGCGCTCAAAGTCGCGGCGGGAGTAGATCGGCTCGGTGATGGCATGCTCAAAGGGGCAGGTTCGGCACTCGAGGCGGTTGCGCACGCCCGCGTAGGCGGAGACGGTCAGGATATTGGCGCAGTTGGGGCAGACTGTGTTTTGTCTGGTTAGCGAATGCGCCTGGTAGAGGATGTGAGCTTTGGAGTGGGATAGGGTCTTACAGAGCAACATCTTGGCGGGAGGTGTGGTTTTCGGTTGTTCGTGTGAACGATTGTGTGGTCGCGGAAATGTGCTTTGCTTCTTGGTGATGTGCTCGGCTCACCGCGAACCTCGTCTCTCGGTGTGATCGTCTTGGAAAATTCAGCGGGCCTCGGATGCGACGGTGGGGGACGAAGCTGCGATTGACTAGTACCTTAGGCCGGAACAGTCACCATCGACCAGCGTCACAGGAAAAAAACGGTCTTGGCACAACTCTGAGAAACGGTCCCGCCGGAAGCTCGCCGCAATAATGTTCCGTGCCCCTCCAAGAGGCTCCCGTCCTCACCCCGCCTTACCCGTCCCGTCCGTCCACTCGAAGTGCGAATAGCGGGGTCAACGGACTGTTTCCAGGATCGCTGGCCCTTTGTTCACTGTAAGCACTGCAACAAGCTACCGGTTGCTGAGGTTCAGGCATTGGATACTCTGGCAAATACGCTAGGTTCCTGGCGTAGAATAGGTAGGTACATGGGCAGCAGCTGGCGGCTACGTATCCCGAGTGAATCAGGGGTTTGGCGATCACCGCCACCTCCTTGACACCCCCAAACCTGGAAACTGCCGCGTAGCCTCTCAGCCCCACGAGCCTTCAGGTTTGCAAAGGAACCTACCTAAGTTTGGGTACCTACGTAGCTGCACCTCACCTCATCCGAAAGCCAAACGCAGCCCAAAGTTCAAGTGACGACTCGCAACATCTCCCCGAACCCAGATCTACCTTACAGCGCGATCGGACGTTGCGCGACTCACCTTCTTTCTTCCTCTCCAGTCTACTGGTATTCTTCTCCCGCAACCTCACACGTTCACCGCCTTGGACGAAGCCATCGTACCTTACCCTATCGTCCAAGCCGCCCCTCACCCTTTTCCCCCACGATAACGCACCTTGAAAAAAGAAGTACCGCCAGGGTACCACTAAATACTTTTAACCCCTCACCGTCCTTCTACCTTGCCGCCGTGACCTCCGATCCACGAACCCCACCAAAGCGACTTCCTCCCCGGCCCAGCACGGAAGGCCAATTCGAAACACCACCTTCCTTACCCAGCACAGCACAGCACGGCAACAGCAGACCCTCGTCATTCTACATCTTCCCGCCTTCGACACGATAGCCTCATCGTGAACAAAACTGCGCGCACACCCATCCACGCACGACTCCACCACAATTATGGCAGGGGATCACGAGGAGCACGAGGTCCGTCTTGCCCACCTCTCTGCCACACAGAGGCAACCCTCCCGTGAGAAAATGTAAAGAGCTGACATGACACCTGCAGGGCGCCTCCGTCCAGGAACTCCTCATCGAGGCCGCGCGGCGCGACAACACCGAACTCTTCAACGACGTCATCGCCGGCATCAAGGACGAGAACGAGCTCTCTCGTATCCTCAACGAGACTACCACCGTCTTGGGAAACCACCTCTACCACGAAGCTGCCTCCCGCGGAAACTGTACGTCTCGCCTGCCCTCGCACCCTTCCTCTCGACCACTCGAACCTTCCTCTAACACGCCCGACTCCCCCTTCCTTGCCCACATCTCTGAGATCCTACAAATAAAGGAAACATGCTAACTCCAACACCCCTCTCCCACAGACGACATAATCGACCTCCTCCTCGACCAACCAAACTTTGAATGCGATCCCATCAACCGCCAAGAAGGCGACACACCCCTCCATACCGCCATCCGCTGGATCAACAACGAATCCCAAGCCAACCGCGAATTCGGCAACGCCCTCGTCGACATGATGCTCGAAGCCGGCTCCAGCCCACGCATCAAGAACAAGGGCGGCCTCACGCCCCTCCAGCTCGTCGACCCCCGTAACCCGGCCCTTCGCGAGCTCATCCAGAAGCACGAGTACGCCTCGCTCAACGCCGGCGACTTCATCAACGTGGACTCTTCATCCGCTGGAAAGAAGAGTAAGGGCGGTGCCGCTCCGGCGTCGGCGCCTCCTGGTGCGCCTCCTGCCATTCCTAATTCCGCCGCACCGCCTGTGCCGTCTGCTGGCTACGCTTACGACGACGAGAGTGACGATGATGCCGAGTTCAGTGGTAGCGACGACGAGGAGAGGGCCGAGTGGGATCGGAGACGCAAGGAGCGTGCCGCGCGCAAAGGTTGAATACTTTCCGGCTGTAGGGGCGTTTTGATTACCTCCCAGTGAGTGAGAGAGAGAGAGAGAGAGAGAGAGAGAGAAAGGGAAGGAGGGCTTTGCAAATTTTGAGCACAAACTTGGTTGCACTTATTGTTTTCTTTCGCCGGTACATCTGTTTCCATGTCAAACCCCTCGCCTCTTTCCAATACCCTCCACCCATTCGACGGCAGATGCTTGGAGGGGGCAAGGGTCAAGACAACGTACAAAAAATGACACGGCCAGTACGGAGTATGGAGAGGGGAACAGGCGATGTAGGAAAGAAGAGAGAAAGAAAAAAACAATCCACAAATGTTAGACTTTTCAAGTGTCACAATCATGGGGGTCAAGGGGTTTTCAGGCTGGGCATCATCTCACGAAAAAAAGAAAAAAAAGAAAGCGAGAAAGAAATGGAGAAGAAAACCACCTCTTGACGAACACGGGGTGAGGACCATGGGTTGAGAGATGGAATGAGGCGGTTATAGAACAACGGAGTCGGGACATCGGGGCTGATTTTTTCTAGGTACGATTTGCAATCAAAACTTCCAGACGTTGATAAGTTGTATCTCTTCAGGTTTAAGCCATGGAAACTTTCCTGTCTCTCGTGTTGGAATATTGGATCTCACCACCAAAAAGTCCTACGAGTCGGAAAGCATACTCGGTTGGCTTTGGATGCAATACCTATCTAAACTTGCTATTAGTTGATGCAAGCTCTGGACGGCCTCCCGGTTGCACGGCGGCGCATCCCCGTCTCCGTCGCTTTCCCTTCCGAAAAGCTTACAACTCTCCGCTTGTTACACAACTACCGGCTACCTTACAAAAGTAACTGAGCATTGGTTTGTGTGGGGGTTTTTTTCTTTCTTTTTTTTTTTTTTTCCAAAGGATGAAGGAAGTCTAGTGTATGTTCTCAGGATACCCATTCCACATCAAGATTTTGGCAGCGGCTCTTCAAAATCGTTCCATCACGCTGAAAACCACGGTCTAATCAGTCAAAGTATGAAGTATATTGTATTTATCATGGGTATAAGCTTTCTAGGTACTCGAAAGGAAGGTTGCGGCTATGCCATCTTCCAGCTCACACTGTTGAGCCACTGTATCGCCGTGCCTCTGCGCCATGCATCTATCATCCATGCCTCGTACAATCATTCCAGGGTATCCCATTGCCAAAATCCAAAGTTGCAAAGAAGCACGTCTGATTGCGTGGGTCCAGCCCGTCGTGCTTATTCCAGAGAAAGCAAGTGCAAACAGCCCAAAGGAATCTACCAACCCAACAGCATAGTAGCGGTTGCGGCCGCCGCGCAGATCGCCCATAGAGACGAAGAAGCCAGGCCTGGAGCAGCGTTCTTTTCACTCTCAGACTCTATGTAGGATTGATTCTTAACCAGATCCAGGTTTTTCTGACTCAAGAAGCCGGCGCTCGCAAGCTCAAACAGCTGCGGTCCCATGGTGCGGAGAATGTTAGTGCTCCGTCCAGCGGGACAAAACACAACCTCCCAGCCGCCGCCCGACGGGATGATAAAAGTCGATGTTTGGTCGTCAAAGGCGAAGCTGTACGCATCAGGACACAGGGACTTGGCGTGTCTGGAGTACAAGCCCGGCTTGCACTTATTGGGGTCATGCCATTTCCCTATACAGCAGTCGGAATCCTTATTCGTGGCCGCACATTGACTCTTGCACGGGCTGAAGGTCGGACGTTGGATGTTGTCGTCAGGGTACGGGTAGACACCATCACCAGGCTTGTCTGGCGGGTTGGAAAGTAAAGGCCACGGGCACCAGTCTTTAGAACTCTCGTTGGATTCAGTTGGCTCCCAAGGGACGGGGTATGTGCTGTTGGTGTAAACGGTGCCGCTTGCCGCGCGTTGTGAGAGGAAGCCTGTCGTTGCGATGCAGGCACAGTTGGTCAGGTTTGGCGGGATGTAGGTTGTGTTCTCGGCGGGGATGTAGTTGATGCCCACAGGGATGTTGTAGCCGTCGACAAGGGAAATATCGTAAAATGTTTGGCGCCCAGAGACACCACCGGCCAAGTTGAACTCGGCGAGAGTTGCGGGAACAGCACCCTGGGTTGATCAGCATTTGTCTATTTCATTTAGGATAGCGAGACTTACACTGAATTCACAGTCAAGCTTTCCAAAGCAATCACCCGTCTCACAGCCTGCCGACTCTCCATTGACGGTACAGTTGGTTCTTCCCCAAGCGCGGCCTTGCCATGTTGGCCCAACCCACATATCTCGACTGTCACCTGAGGCGAGCTCGAAACCACCGATGCCGGGGCCGATGCCATGCTGCGTCGTGATGCCGGGCCATATCGTGTTAGGGCACGAGTTAGTGACCTTCAAGGGGATTCTCCCATTCCAGTCCTCGGGCGGGCCTCGTCTGGCGGGGTTGTACCGCTTGTTTAGTTGAAGGTAGTCGGTCTTGTAGTTGGGGTGATAGCTGGGGAACACGATTGCGTTGGCTGTGGGTAGCTGCGAGGATATAGCCAGCGCGACGAAGAGGCTCTGGCCTGTTCTCGAAGGCCGCTTCTCGCCTCTCTTTGAAGACGACGGCCTCATGGTTCCGTAAGCTGGTCGTCTCTGACAGTCTTTTGGTGTAATCCAAGAGAAGTAGCAAAATGATGGTGACAACACGTCGTGTAATTCGTCGATTCGAAGGATCCAATGTATGTTTTATGCCGGGATGCTGTGACAATTCATGGTTCGGAGAGATCCAGGCTTCCGCGGTCTGGACGAACGACGATCTGGAGTAGATATAACAACCGCCCAGCGCCCAACAGTGGTGAGCAATTAGACGCCACCAATAGTCTGCGACGGACCTGCGCCGAGTGACGTACGGGAGCGTCGACGTGAGAGCGAATGGGCAAAAGCAAGGGGCGGCGGGATTGCCCAGAGGGCGATCGGCCTGCTTGATCCAGGGGCCAATTCCTGATTATCCCTGCACACGCGATGTAGCGTCAGAGGTCGACCAGGTGGGAGACGCAGGTTGGTTGGGCGGGCGTGGAAGGGTGGAACAGGAACTGGGTCGTAGGGCAGGGGAAAGGAAAAGTAGGTTATTTTTCTTCGCGCTTAATCTACAAGCGTTATCCGACACTAGTGATGCAGAAAGGGACGTCGCCGAGTTTTGTAGGAATAGCCTCGAGTGAGCGAGGTTGGTGAGATGTCGAGTTTCAAGAAGAGGGAAGAACACACAATCTCATCAGTAGGTATCCGTACAATGCCTATTTACCTCACATGAATTCACCACATACTTGCCCTCAACTGAGGGGGCATTGGCCCGTCCCATTTACCTGCTGCCGCTGTCAGTAGTCGATGGTGCAAAATGCAGGGCCCGACCTTGGGTCGAACCTCCCAGCGGTTCATGTTCAGACGATGACGCAGACGCAACTGGCTGCCCGGTTTCCCGCTGGCACTGACCGGGGGTTGATCTGGTCTACTTCGGCTCCTTAGCGACCAGGGCCTTCCTTGCTTGGCTCTCTTCCTTTCCCCGCGCCGTTTGCCAACTGAGCCGTGGGCGCAACTCGGTCTCCACAATGAAGTTGCTGTGGCTGAGTCGAGGCATGCTAGGACCGGTCAGCATTGCAAGTACTATCTCGCTGTTCTTCCACTGAGGACTACATCATTCCAGTCCTTGTCTTATCTCTCGACATAGCCCCCACAACGTTGCTCTTCACCGTCATGACCTTGGCCAGGAAGCTTAGGAAGCCTCGTCAAGATAGAACATGGAACCATCTCTCAAGTACAGGATAAGTTGTTTGGGTGGGTGTGTCTTGATTCCGAGAACCGCTAGCCCGGCATCCATGATCCTCCATCCCACGTGGCGCACCGAGTTTGCAAAACACAATTCTTGGCAAGTCTTGTTCTAATCAGACCAAGACTTGGTCAAGCGCTGGCTTAGATACTACCCACATAGTCTACAATTACAGCCAAAAAGTACAGAAGGTCAGCCCTCCTCACTAGGGGGAAGGGGACTTGCGACAATTCCGAGGAGACTTCTACCAGCCCCAGGTGTAACGATGCAAGGATTTTCACATGAAGATGACGGGACTTGAACATGCCACGCCATGAGCCTTGGTGATAATGTCGAATAAAGCCATAATTTATAGAGGCATCGAGGCATCGAGGCGGCGGCGGCGGGCGGTGTGTCCGGGAACCTGAGGCTGTTGGAGGTTGGGATGAAAGGGTGATGGCCTCATCAGGTTTGCATACGACCTGACCCCGAACCCTGTTGGAGCTCCATACGACCTCATCTGGACCAGGACACTGCTTTCTTTTGGAAAAAAAATCTTGATTTCTCCCAAGCGGGGAATGTCGTGCGTCTACAACACTTGACAATAGGCCATAATCCTTCCGCGTCATAAAAACCTCCCAAATCCAATCCTCGTCTTCCAGTCATCTGTTCTGGGAGGTCTCTTCGTGATATGTACTCTCGGCCATTATTAGCCTCGGCTGTCCTTCTGGCCCCTTATCACCTTTTCGAGGTATCATCCGAGTGTATGGAAACGAAATGCCCAATGCAAGCAAGCAAACATTATCAATCTCTCTCTTTCGTCCACCGCCTTCTTTACCTGAAGCGCGCTCTGCAGCGGCCCATGACCTCGCCTTGGCACACCAACTCTGCGCTGAACTCGGACCCGTCAAGCGTCAAGTAGATATCGAAGTAGACACGGTAGAATGTGCCCTGTGGTGTGTCCATTCTCTCAAAGTCCTTCTCGAGGTTCTTCCGCGACAAATCCGACGTCAGGGTGACAACTTCCTTGATGCCTGTGTCTGAGGTTAGCAGTGGTCAATTGCGAAAGGACATCTCTAAACTTACGAGGATCCTTAGTATACTCGGGGCAAACATCGTCGTCACAGGCGTACAAAATGTCCTCATACATGAGCGTCGCGCCGGGAGCGACTTGACGGAAGAATGAGACCTTGACGGGCTCGCCAATCTTGACCTTTTGACCCTTTTGCACAAAGATTTGACGGGTGAACTTGCAGCGGTCCTTGCCGTCGAGGGATGGGACGCGGTAGGCCTCAGGATGGTATCCTTCCTTAAAGGGTTGCAAGGTGGCCATGAGGTAGTGGCGACGGGCAACACGGTGTGTGACGACGCGCTCGGTGATGCCGGCAGTAACGGCACCTTTCACGATGGCAGCCACGGAGTCCATGGGGCGGACGACCTTGGACTGGAACTGGGGAGGAACGTGGAGCTTGATCTGCTGGAAGAGGTACTCGGAGGCACCGAAACCACCAACGACGAGAATGTTTTGCAATGTCCGGTTCTGGGCCTGGATGGCAATGATCTGGTTTCTGACGAGCTCGAGAATGCGGTTAACAACGGGCTCGAAGCACTGCAGAATCTCCTCGTTGGTGAACGTCATGTAGCCCTCCTCGATGCCGGCCTCGGGGAACTCGGCCTCAATACCAACATCGACGGCCCACTTCTGACCGTTGTTGCGGAAATCGGCCTTGATACGGTTCTCAAAGTCCATGATACACTTGGCGTACACGCGGCCCGCCGTCTTGGATCCGTCGGGCAGCTTCATCTTGCGAATCTTGGTGCGCAGGATGTTGCTAAAGTTGCGGTTCAGCGCTGTTGAACCACAAGAATCACCAGATCCTGCCGTGCACTCGGCAACGGTGAAGGGGTTCTCCTCCTCGACTTCGTACGCAATCAAATCGACAGTACCACCACCGCAATCGACAATCAGGACGGCGTCGTGGACCTTGAGGTTCAGCAGTCCTGTCTTGGAACAGAAAATGGCGGCGGCCTCAGGCTCGGAAACTAGCGTCAGCCGGTTGTCGTTTTCGTCTCTCAGGAAACCGGCTTGAATAGCGGCGGCTCTGGTGGCGGCCTTTCCTGCATCGTTCCAAATGGCAGGAACGGTGAGGTAGTAACGGATGTTTCGTTCTTCACGGTTGAAGACTTCGCCGAGCGTCTTTTGCAGAGCCGAGCGCATAGCCTGGCGGAGCTTGAAAAGATAATCGGCCGCAACATCGATCTCAGACTTTCCAGGAGGCAGAGGGGGCAGGTTGATGGGGTCGATATATGTGTTGCCGGACAACATGAGCTGCAGCTTGAACCATTCGACCTTTTGCACGCCGGGCTTCGGGTATCCAGTAGGGGCGAGGGCATCGGCGATGTCGGGACCCCAGCCAACAACCTTTTGGTACTGGTCGTAGTAGAGCACTGTGGGAATCTGGGGACAAACCGTGTCAGCCGAGGACAAGAACGAAAAGAACCCTAGTCTCTCTGGGGATGTGTATATTTTCCTACCTTCTGCTTTGTGTATGAACCAGCGCCGGGCCACTCTGTTATAATGTCTTCCTTGGCTTCGTTGTTTGTCGCAAAAGCAAACGCCACACCGGAGAAGGTTGTGCCCTGTGGGTCATGTCAGCAACGCGAAATATGACAGACATTCTCTTGATCCAAGGAATCCACGTACGAAATCGATACCGACAATCAGCTGAGCCTTACTCCTGCTGTTACCTTCAACCTCGGCCGCGCTGCCGCCTCGCTGGTACTGTGCCATAGGGCCACCCTGAGGAGGACCCGGGGGAGGATAGCCACCGCCGCCACCGCCGCCGTACTGAGGAGGACCACCCATGGGGTGTCCTTGACCGCCGATGGGAGGGAGCTGAGGGGGGTAGCCGGCGACGGGAGCACCAGTGTTGATGGGGGGAGGACCGCCAACCATCTGAGAAGGCGGGGTGCGAGCCGGACCTTGACCCGTCATCGGGCTGGTGCGACCCATGGGAGGAGGACCGCCCTGGGGAAAGTTGGCCGAGTAGCTCGGAGGCCGGTTACCGGCGCCTGGGTGTTGATTCATGGGAGCGATTGAAGCGGAAGAAGTCGAAGCGATGGAGCCTGGGCGGACGGGAATCTGTTGCGGTATTTGAGGGGCACCGGAGGGGTGACCACCTTGAGGAGGAGGGGTCGGGCTTGGGGTTTGGTTCGGATCGGGTGTCTGGATACTAGCAGTTGACTTGCGTTTGCCGAAACCAAAGCCTTTCAGGCGGGAATTGGAAAAGCTCATATGGGATTACTGAGTCGGGGAGAAGAAGAGGGAGAAAAGCGAGGGCCCAAGGTGGGCAGGACCAGCAGAGGGTATATCGATTTGGGTTGCAGGGCGTCGGCAGCCGTGCGGTGCGGGTGCGGGTGTGCGGTGCAGCAGCAGAGAGGAGAGCGGTGGTTTGCGGTGGTCGTGCTTTTGGTCGTACTCGAGTAATAATCGGCGGGATGATGGATGGCCTGGGCTTAGACTTTTAGGACTTGTTGCTGCGGCTGCTGGGCTTGGGCTTGGACTTTTGGGCCGGGGTGTCGGGGTTGGGGGAGTGAAGAGGGGGAGGGGGGGTGAGGTGGTGGTGATTTTTTGGTGGTAGCTGGTCCGGTCCGGGTCAAGTCAGACCAGGTATCCGTAGGTCAAGTCACGGTCCAAGGACGAGAGAAATGAAGCCTTAGGTCAGCAGAAGACAAGAGCTTTTTTAGGACTTGGCTAAGACTTTCTTCCGGGACTGGGAAAGAGACCAAAAGTCTAGGACTTTTTCCTCTTAGCTGCTGGGTCTGTCTGCTGCTGCTGTTGCTGCTGGGACGGGTCCGGAGCTCGACAGGACGAAAACGAGGACGAAAGGCGGGAAGGCGAAGGGGGAGAAAAAAAATAGGTGGGAAGGAGTGAGAAAATAGAATGCGGTGCTGGGAATGGGGGGGTGGAGGGGGTGGAGCGTGCAGCGTGGGCCGTCTCCGTGGACCGTGGGCGCTTGAATGAATCCGCCGTTTCTGGGATGATGCGGGTTGGGCTTAAGGTGCAGTGCAGAGCGGTGCAACAGAAGGAGCAACAACAGTATTCGCAATGTGAGGTAGCAGCGGGCACACAGCAAATGCGCAGAGTGAGAGCGAGGGGAAATGCGTGTGTGAGTGAGAGAGAGAGGCGCGGGAGAGTTGCTTGGGGAGGAGACTGTGTGAGAGTGAACGCGAGCAAATGTGAGAGAGAGGATTCGATAAGGTAAGGCAAGGTGGGATGGAGGACTGGGATGGTGAATTGGATGCGAGTTCTTTTTTCTTCTTTGCCAAATGGAGGAGGACGACAAGCAGCAAGAGGAAGACTTGAGAAGAGGCACCAACGAGATGTACAGATAGTTACTTACGGATAGGTACCTTTGCCCCCTTCGTTTACTTACTTTGGTGAGGAAGCTGTCTGGCGTTTAAAACAAGACGTTGATGATGTAAGGTAGCCCCAGGCGCGGAATGGTAAGCTTGCGTCGCTTCGCTTGCTGTCAGCGGGTTGAGAAGGGAAAAGCAAGGGTGCAATTGCTGCAAAGAAGACGAAGATTTGAAGTGTCCAAGACGAAGAGAGTAAGATTCGGAAGTCGGAAACGGTGACGATGAGCTGGAGGATGAAGATGTGGATGAAGCAGGCAGGCAGGCAGGCTAGGCATGCAGAGGAGGGCGACGAGGAAAACGACGGGGGTTGGCGGTACGAGACGCTCCTTCTTTTGGTACCTTAGTCTCTACCTAATGACAAGAGGCTCACGCTGGGCTGGACGGGGTGGACGCGGGGTCGGGTGCCTTCCATGGTACTGCGTACCTAGTAGGTATGGAATCCGTAAGAGCAAAGCAACACGAGCAGGAGGTAGGTAGCACACACTGGCATACCTTAGTAGACATGATGAAGCGGATGAGAGGGAGAGAGGGAGAGAGGGAGAGAAACCACAGCCTGCTGTTGGTCTTGCTTTCCAGATTCTTCTGGTAAAGGAATCGGGAGTCGAGGCGTGATGGGCCAACATGACGAGAATCATCTCATCTTGATCTACTTCGTAATCAAAGGGCATTCGAGTGTGTGGTTGGCTGTATACTTGCCTTTCTTACTTGAATTTCCTGTCTACTTGTGTACATGGAGCACACAGAAGGTTGACTTGTCTCGTCTTGTTTCGTTCTGTTTTACGGCCTCGCTTTGCTTCAAAGAACCACACCGTTTGCCCCTGCTCATTCTGTTTTCTGCTTCTAACGCTGCCGCTGCCGCTGCCATGAAAAGCTACTGCTGCTCTGTTTCCGAGTTCCAACGAGTGCTTGCTCGCTTGCTCGCTGCTCTGTGCCCCCCGTTCTGGCGCGCATCCAGCATGGAAGGAAACCTTGAAGTGAGGTGCGAAGGAAGTCCTGTGCGATGTCTGCCTGGGGGTGGGGAATCCATCCGACACATGTCACTCTCCGCCGCCGTTAACTGTGAAAGTGACCTCGACCGGGATCCTCAGCCAGGCGGTGGTCCGGTCGGTGGCTGAGAAGTGATGGTATTGCCAAGGTACCCACGAGTACGGAGGACCTACATACTCGCGCCAGCCAGCTGATGGCACTAGAACGAGACTGCGGGTGCGCTAGGTGGAGGAACCTCCCTCGGGTCGCTTTCTAGGCAGTGTAAGGCTGAGAATGTGCCCAATGGCCCCAATGCTGTCTCTGGATTGGACTGCGCGGGTTTAAACTGGCTGCAGGGCGAGTTGTGTGCGGTGCGGAGCTCTGAAGCACAAAGTACCCTCTGTTTGTACCCCTCGCACGTATCCATCTGTACGCACATGTGTTGTAGGACTTTCACCTCCTAGTGACACAGGACGCTCACTAGGTATTTGCATGTCAGCACACAAAGCATCGTGACATAGCTGAAAAGATACGTTGGGGTGCTTGACTAGCCAGGTCTCGTCTCGTCTGCGGCCAGATCAGATCACCGACGGGTTTCGTCCAGTCTTCCGTCGCCGTTGTCAACGTCTGTGACCCGGGCAGAGGAGGGGGCCGTAGCCATTTACACGAGGCATCTCGAGACTGGTTTCTCGCCGGTGCCTGTGTCAGGACTCAGAGAACCCCAAAACATTGGACGATGTCTGTTGGGGTTCTTTGTCTACCCATCTCCAGCCTGCAGTGACAAGGCATAACAAGCTTGACGGCGAACCTCGAGCTGAATATCAATGTCTCAACCCCCGGACGGATTCCTACTTGCTGTACCTTGATGATGAAGGATGCAAGCAATCACACTGAGACAGCCTGTGGGAAAACCGAACATAATGTCAAGGACAGTCAGTTCTAGGTTTTTAATCTTGGTGCCTACAAAGGAACAAACAATAATTCCCTTAGCCCTGCCGTTCCCGTCAAATGTGCCTGACAGCTGACATGTCGTGACAAACCAGCGCCCGCCGCCAGGGCAGGGAACAGGCTGATGCGACTCTCGTGGAGAAAAATGGGGACGGGATTCCCGGTGCGTGGGTATTCTGCCAGGCGTCGGGAAGTCGGGACAACTAAGACAAGGTATGGACTTAATCGTCGGTCTGCGACAATACGTTGCTGCGGGGAGTTGGGACCCGGAAATCTGGCAAGCTCTGTTCATCTTTGGCAATGTCCTCTAGCAGGAACTCCAGGGCTTCAGATGATGGCACCCATCAGATGCCTGTAGTCAGGGTCAGTCAAGGACAAAATGGAAGCGCCATGGGGCACAGCTTGCCTTCTTCGTAGAGGAACACGGCCACTACTGTGTAGGTACCACCCATGGAACCTACCATGATGAGTATGTATCTGGATGCTAGCACATCAAACCCTGAGAATCATTGATGGGGGCACGCAAGCAAGGCAGGGCCGGGATTCGATTGAAGGGATGAGTCTGACTGGACCAAGGATCGAAATGCAGGACTTTTGGCGTAGGACTTTCTGACTTGAGTGTACAGATACGGAGTACGAAGTACCTCGACGGTACATGATGTGCCCTCGATGCCGGGGGAGGGCTTCCGCACATGCAGCTCGCCGCCTGTGTGAGCTTACCTGGTTGGTAGCTTCTTTTTCTCTCTCTCCCTCTCTAGGTCTTGACAACCTGGGAAGTCGGAGAGAGATGGTTTGAAGTGGAAGTCGAAAAGTGTTGCCATCGCCTTTGTCTCTCTATCATCTTCCCTTAGCGAGTCTGGTCTAGAAGTGCCCGTAGGTAAGATACACCAGATCAATCGCCAATCCATGGCTCTTTCCTTTGTCTTGGTCAGCGTATCGGGGGAGGAACGTGGGGGTTGGTGGTACCTACCTACGCTTAGATACCTTAGGTACTGGTAGGGTAGGCAAGCACCAGACGGGACGTTTCCCCTCTCTTTCCTTCTTTCTCTCGTGCCTACCCCGCCAGATCAAGGTAAGCACGTATTTTGTGCCTACTTAGAGTACCTAAAAAAGGTTGGTTGGGCCTGCCCGTCCTGCCGCTTTCCTCTTTGCCCGGGACGCCTTCCTTCGTCAGCACTCAAGAACCTCGGGTCCCTGCCCATTCTGTTATGGCTTTGTAAGACGACAGGAAGCAAGAACAACAAGATTCCCTTTTCCCATCCAATATCTTGCTCTCAACCTTTCTGTCTCCTTGTGGGAGCCTTCGATACATTACATATGGCTGCGCGGCGAACTGAACATTCAGTTCGCAACGAGAAATCCATGCCCGAAACCCCTAGGTTAGGTACATGAGCAATTCTGCTTTAGTCCCGCAGAATGCTGACGTACAAGGTGGGGCCAATGGATCCCTCATCCCCTTCTTCGCTCTCATCTTTTAGCGGTCGTGTTACTCTGCTTCCCCAGTCCAAACTCCAGACTCCAGACTCGAGAACAGCCACCGTTAAAAGTCTCGAAGTGCTTACTTCAAGTGCTCGCCTGGTATCAAAGAAGCAAGAAAGCCTTGCTCGTGCCAATCATTTCCCGTCTCGAAAGCACCAGCTTTGGGACCAGCCGACGCCATAGCTGCACCTCCGATCCCATCCTCGTACGACTACGACATGCATCAAAAGTTGGTCCCGAGGATACCATCGACAGATACAGACAAATGAGGGAGACCTCTCTCGTTGCGAACCATCCTCATATCGTACTAACGCTACACGAGACAATCCTGTTCCCACAATACTGAATGGAAGCCAGCCGTCGCGAGGCGTAGCACAACAGCCATGCTAAGCCCCGTGGTCGTGTAATAGGCCAGACAGGGAGCACCCCTACTGCCGCCCACCTCTGATCGGCCTCCGTAAGCTCAGCCGCAACGCTATTGAGGTTCATCAGCTTTTACCGAGTCGGCGCCAAACTTGCGTCCTATCGAGTGGGCTTCGTGGAAGTCCTGCCAGTCTCCAAGCCCCCCGTCAATTGGGGCGTGAGCTGAGCACGGCTGAATGAGAGCCTCACCTTCTCAAGAATTCTCGAAAGTTTGAACTGTATCTCGGTGCCGTAGGAGCATACAGGGCGCTATGGTTTGGTGTCCACTGCCCATCGCCCCAGCCTCCGAATGGTCTGATGGTTGGAGTTGTTTTGCTAGGTTGGTGATTATTACGACATACCGATTCCCATCCCGGCATGCTGTCGCTCCGGTCGGGCTGTCAATGTCCCGGATCCTAGTTGCTGGCACGCTCTCATTGCGTCGTCTTTGTTCGTGCGGCGGACAATCGTTGCGAGGGTCCCACGCGTCCTGGACACCGCCAATTCTTCTCCGCCTTGCCCACTGCGACCTAAGCTTCTCGAATCCGCGTAATTCCAATGGAAGCACTGCCCCCCCAATCCCGTCCGCTCGGTGGGCCCACGTTCCTCGGAGCAGTTTGAAGGCTCCGGACTGGCTACGGCCAGGTCCGAGTAGCTTTTACCAGGAACATGGAAGAATATGGGCTGTATCTGCCGCGTGGACAGGCCCTAGTATCGCTGTCGCCGTGACGCCGTGGGCCGGGATATGTCCACGTGCCCCGGAAGAGCGCCGTTGGGTCCCTTCGGGGCTCCGGCCGTTGCTCCCGAACAAGTTGGGCCCGTGTCCAATCGCTTCCCCGCGAGTGGGAATTACTGGAGACCTGTCGACTGAAACCCGAGCCGTTATGGCCGGCAGTATTCTGACATACCGGCGACCGGATGTCAGTGCAACAAGACATATAGGTATCAGACATGGCTTGGTGAAGGTTCAAATCTGGTTTACAGCGAGTCTTTTGCATCCCTTGAAACTGCTTCTTTCCCCTGTTTATTTCATGCATCGTGTGGTTTCGCATACTTGCAATCAAGCCAAGGGGTGGTGAAATTGCCCTACGTGTTTTCCTTTGGCTCTGTGTAAGTGCGGAGGACCGTTCGAGGGAGGCCTTTCTCATGGGTTTGCGTGCCACTTCTCTCCCTTCCAGTCCCTTTCTAAGGTAGGCTCTAGTACGTGAGACAACACGCCTCCTTCACAAGTGTCAATGGAGAGGAATGTACAGGTACGATCAAGTATCTGCTGGTCACCTCAGTCTGTAGCTCCATGTTGGCAGCTGGGTCGGGTATGGCGAGTGCCCGCCATCATCACTTCCTGGTTCGAGCTCGGGCCGAGAGCTGGAGGAAGCTACGGCCGACCTCTCACTGGCCCCAGCTTTCTCCCTCCCGTCCCTCCACGCTGCATTTGTCTCCGCTGCTTTGGAACACCCGCGGTGGCAGCAGCATTTGGGTTAAACTCAGGATACCAGGCCAGCCAAACTCTATCGAGAAGGGCAATTAGGGGACCGGCAGATTGCACACACAAAATAGCATTCGTGGCAGGTACAACTGTAGGGGCTGCGTTACAGATTCAATAGCGCAGCCAAGCCACTGAATCAGCATGGCGTCCCATGTTGACGAACCTGCCCTATTTTTCATCCGTTTCCAGACAGGGTCGCCTCAGCCTTCGCAGCTGCCGACTGATGTTCTAGCAATTTCATTGGGATAACGCAGGTCCGTAGGTGCCGATGGGAGAGAAGGAACCAAGTGAGGTGTCCCTTCCCATTCTTGTTACAATGTGATAGTCGTCCTTCGCCAACAATTCTCGGCCTCTGTCTCTTCTATCATTTCGGTCCGCTCCAGAGTCCTCCAATTATTGCCAAGCTGAGGCGCCACCGAACAAAGGGCAGCTGAGACACCACGAATGTCAGGATATCCCAAGATACGTGACGCCTGCTGATACTTGGCTCGTGGAATGCTGGTCTCCCGCGTCGACAGCCTTATTATACCAATTCAACGTCCCGCAAAAACTACGAGCAAGACTACACCTTTCTACATCGCTCGGAAAATCACATTCGCGACGAAATGGCTTTCTACCAGATAAATCTGGCCGTTTTCGCGGCGGGCAACGGATACTTGCTCTACCAGCAGTACAAGCGCCAGGGACAAGAAGTCATCGAGGAGCTGAAGCAGGAGGCGGCCGACTCGCAGGAGGGTTCTGATGGAGAAGATGTAGAGCATCAGCAATTGCTCTCCTCCCCTGGCGAATCTCGAAATGCCATTCGTCAATTCCAGCTGGACTTCTTCCCGGTCTACGCTCTGGCGATGGCGGCGGATTGGCTCCAGGTAATGCGCCCTGCGACCGCTGCAATGGAATCAGACTGACGTTGGGATAGGGTCCCCATATCTATGCCATCTACAGATACGAGAAGAACATCCCCGAGAAGGTTGTGGCTGCTCTGTACGCTGCAGGCTTCGTGTCCGGTGCCATTTCTGCGTCCTTTGCTGGCGAGCTAGCAGATCGATATGGCCGCCGCCTTGCCTGCCTCACGTACTGCGCTACCTACATCCTCACCTGCCTGACGATGCTTACCGACAACCTATACATCCTGTTCCTCGGCCGATTCGCTGGTGGCGTTTCGACGACACTGCTGTACAGCGTGTTCGAGGCTTGGCTGATCACGGAGTATAACCAGCGTGGTCTTTCGCGGACGAACCTCAAGCTGGGCTCCATCTTCGGCAACATGACCACCATCAGCTCCATCGTTGCAATCCTGTCCGGTGTCATTGGTGACATCTTGGTCAATTCGCTGGGCGGCCGCGTCTGGCCTTTCATGGCAAGCGTGGTCTGCTCCGGGGCTGCCATGTGGTTGATCTTCAAGGGATGGGGCGAGAACTTCGGAGCGAAGCAGAACGGTCAGGCAACGAGCTCACTAGCCGATGTCAAGAGCGGTATCCAGATGATCTTGGCCGATATGCGAATCCTGTCATTGGGCCTGACATCGACCTTCTTCGAGGGCGCCATGTACCTCTTTGTGTTCTTCTGGTCTGCTGCGCTGAAAAGCGCACGAACCAAGGCTGGCTCAGACGAGGAACTGCCGTTTGGACTCATCTTTTCCAGCTTCATGTGCGCGATGATGGCCGGATCTTCTTTCTTCTCGCTTTACACCAAGACGCACTCCAAGGAGACGACATCGTTTATTCTGATGCTAGTTGTGCTCGTGGTGAGTTGTTGCCTGTCTGGAGCAGTCGTACTGGACAATGAGAAGCTCTTGTTTTGGGCATTGTGCATGGTTGAGGCCAGCATTGGAGCCTACTTCCCAAGCATGTCGTTCCTGAAGAGTCAGGTTGTTGAGGACGGTGTTCGTGGTCGCGTGTACAGTCTGCTGAGGCTACCCCTCAACGTATTTGTTGTCGTTGCGCATAGTTTGGATGAAGAAGGTAAGTTGCTGGGACACGTCCAAGTATCAAGGTCGCTGCTAATGAAGAACCAGGTGACGGACACCGAAACACCGTCTTTATGACTTGCGCCGCGCTTCTCATGATGTCTTTCTTCATTGTCAAGAGGAACTTTGCCCAGGGCTAGGTCTGGATGGATGTTGATGATTGACACGATATCACATGAGCAGAGTGAGTTCGCGTCATAGGAGCGAAGTGGAAAGATTGACAAGCAAGGAAGTATCACGGGATCAAAAATGCAGTTACGAAGTTGGTCAGCGATGGGTAGAGGACACCATTGAGGAAAGTAGATGATACATGATTAAGACTACGGCTGAATACAGTGTGGTACATAGACTGGAAATTTCTGGAAGTTAAACAAAAAGAAGACAAAGTGTCCTGTCATATCTAGGTATGCAGGCCATGGCTCGTGTGCGAGGCTCCCCTAGCCAGAGGGGATATATTGAGTGCCGGGTAATTTGTGATAGCCGCCAACCAAATGCTGGGGAGCGACGTCGTGGGAGAGACTGGAAAATACCCCCCATCGCTGTTGCCAGTTGGAGGCAGGGGCGGCCCGTTCACGCTGGGGGTTCCGTTTCATCAGCTTCCCAGCTTCCTTCCCCTTTCGGGAGAGCCGTTCCTGCAGTGCAGTCCAAGAGTCCCATACTCCCCCATGCACAGTGAATTACTTAATGTACGGAAGGTTCGTGACTTCCTCCACGATCCATGGAATATCCTGTGCTTTGTCTCTGGCCTTGTTTCCCAGTCTTGTCCCTCTATTCAAGCCTCGTCCAAGAAGTCAGGCCAACGGCACCTAGCCATCCTCAAGACGGCCAAGCGCCATCTCTCTTCCCCTCCCGTGGCCGGCTGTCATTCGCAGCAAGATCGCTTGAAGATCCTCTTCTCTCCAACGATCCAGACTCTACTTTGGACAAGCACCCCGGCCTTGCAGCTCACACCGCACAGTTGGGCGGGACCCTGCAACGGTTCGATAGCGATCTGAGTGGTCAACCCAAAATCTCAATCCGGCGCACCCCCTCCTCCAATCCAATCCCAGGAGTGTTTCTTATGCGACAGAAGCGCTCAGGAAGGAGAACCCGCCTCGGCTGACGAGAAAGAGACGAGGGGAGACAGAGAGAGAGAGACAGAGTGGAGGGGACCAAGAGAAGGATCGACTTGCGCGCCAACCTCCTCTTTGCTCTTTGTCTTTCTAGTCTTGTCTCGACTTGACCTGAACTTGACCCGTCGCCTCTTCGTTTGACTGTTTTGTTTCCTCCTGAAACCACCAACTTTTGAAGACCTGGCCGTCTTATCTCGCCTTCAATTTGTTCCACGTCGACAATAAGTAGTGCCGGCGGCGACTACACGTTGTGCGACAGTCGACGCTAGCAAATCAGAACAACGGCGCTCGATCTTCACACTCTGATCAGAATTATACACTACCTATCTACCTATCCGCACCACCACCACGGCTGCTACTAATCACCATTTCCAAAACATAAACCGGGAAGCTGGTCGTTACACCAGGAAACAATCTCATACGCCTCGCTATCAAGCTTGCTTCTGCACCTTGACGTGCCTCCCAGTCTGTAAAAGGGCTAGACCGCTGCGTCTTGGGCAACTGCGTCACCTCACACTACGGCGTCTGCCAACTTCCTTCAGACAAGACCAGCTAGGATAGCCAAATCCATCGCGGTCGCATGACATACAACTGCAGACACTAGCTGAGGAAGCAGCTGCGAAGAAAAAGAGGACAGAGACCGAGCGACGTTTGTTTGGCACATGAAGTGCTAGAGCTAGGGAAGAAGCAGCCGCAAGCCGAGGAGCCCAGTTTATTAATACCAAGTCAAGCCACCAACAATCCGAGTCGAACATCAAGACGCACCAGGGAACCTCCCGACCGACTCAGATTTGAGACCCCAAAGATCCGGGAACCCAGAACCAGAACACAGAACCCAGCAGCTCAGCTCAGATTCATAACCGAGGGACCCTGATCATCGGTCTAAGGTGACGACCGCACGACTATCACGAGCAATTGAACGAGACAAAGCGTTTACGATTTCCTCACGAGGCCAGAAAGGACTCTTCCAGAGCCTTGCCTTCTCCGTACTTTTTCTTCTCCAGTACTCCGTACTCCTCTTCATCACATAATTCCACAATTATCATCCTTTGATTTTATTCCCCGCTAGCCCCCGCCGCCTGGCGCAACCCACGAATCCACGAGAATACGGCACACGAGGACATCAGAATTTGGCGCAAACCCTGCAGGCGTCTTCCCACCTTTTGCGAGAATCCAGTCCAGGTACGGAGTACACCAGGGATCCCCATATATGACCTCATTGGGGCACCAGGCCTGGGTCCTCTTCGTCTATCCGCAGCGTCACACCCGGGAAACTAATTACAGACGGGCCGTTTAAACGTAGGCTGTCTCCTCCAAAGGGCCGAGAGGGAGAAATTCGGCACCAAAAGTTACCACCACCGGTCGCGGCTCGCCGCTGTTATTCCGCACCTCAACGCCGTGCACCCTCTCGCAGGCTGCACTTGCACTTGCACGCACCAAGGTGAATTCGGTCGCTTCACCGGAGCCAGATCCTGTCCCGGGCAACCTCACTTTTGTTTGGGTCTCGTAGAAGAGAGAGTTGAGGATTCACCTGGCCGTTCTTCCATCTAGGAGTGCGCCTATTATCACCTTATCTCAGCAAAACGCTAGTGTTTTCGCAGCGAGGTGCAGCATCGCGCCCGCAGCGAGAACCCGTTCGTTTTCAACCTGTCGAACACCGGCACATTGTCGGGCTACGTCCGGAGACGAGGCGCTGATTGGCGCGCGGGTGGTCTTGGTGTCGATTATCAAGACGTCAAAGACCAGCAGCAGCAGGGTCAAGGACAAGCCGGGGAAGACAGTGTCGGCAGCCAGAAAAACATCTCAGTCATGGCTGTATCAGACGAGGCATTTGACGACGATTCCCAGGGTATAAGCAACAATGGGGTGGTGTTGAGACATGGCGGTGGTGTCGATGGCGGCAACGTCGAAACTAACAGCAGCGAGACCAACAAAAGCGACGGTCACGTCAAAGGCCACGGACCAAGACACCGGAGAAGGAGGAGCAGCTTCCTGGTCTCCCATGGGGTCTCCTCATTTTGGTACGGCCTTTGCTCGGTGGTGTTTTTAGCACTCGTCCTAGTAAGTACCTCTGCAGCAGCGCAGATTCTTCTCTCTTCTCTCCTGTCCATCCAATTCATCAGACAAACCTATCACAGCACCCTAAATCCCAGAACGCCAATCCATAATGCCCTGAATCCACACATACTTTTCTCAACGTCCCCACCCCCTTGTTTTCTCCCCGGTGACGGCGTGGTGTTAGTTGCATGCGCTCATTTTCCGTTCGATTTTTTTCCTACTGCGTACCTATGTGTTTTACCAAAGTCTCTCCATTTCCGGCATGTTCGGTGGCCCGCCCGGGTGTGGACGATTGTGGATGGGGACGGGAGCTTCTTCGGCGTAGAAGTGGGCCACCGTGGGACCGGGGGTTGATAGTGTCGCCTGTCAGAGTCCCTGCGAGTGCAGTGGTGGTGAGCCGCCGCGAGCGTCAGTCGCGCGCGTGGTGGCCTGGCTGCCGGGGGGGCTTTAGGGTGTGGTTGTCTGAGTATCCCATGTCCCAAACTTGGGGGAGTTTGTCCCCTGGGGCATCATGCGGACTTCCACGGGGGCCCAGGTTTTGGGGAATCTGCTTGTTGGGAGGGAACATGGCATGGCCCACGGGGGAAGCATGCAGACGACTTGCGCCGGGAGAAGCATTGGAGACTGAGAGTGAATGTTCACCACGGATGACGGACGAAAAGCGGTTGGCCGTCTGCCGCCATGTTTGAACTTCGCACAGCTGCAGCAGACCAGACCCGAAAAAACAGCAGTGAGCTGGGCAATCGGTGAGCGACAAGCGAGAAAATCGAGCGAGCGAGCAACACGAGAGATGAGATTGAGAGGCATCGATGATCGGGATCTCGCCGGAACCGATTGGGGCCAACGGCGGGGCCGAACTTCATCCCAAGATCCAATGACAGGCGAACAGAGCTGCTTTCGGCTCCCGAGCTTTTGCCAGCAGGGCCAAGGCCAAGGAACTGGACGGGAACACCTCACCTCACCGGACTCTGCCGCCGTCGCCGTCGCCTGCGCTGAGTGCAATTGCAATGTAAGCCTCAGGCCCGGTGCCTTGTCGTCATGCCAAATTCTAGGTGGTCTCTCTCGCTGAAATATCCGTACACACTGGAGTCCTGGAGGCGTCTGGAGACTTACGGATACATTGGGCGGACGATTCCCCGCAGCACCTTAGTCAACACCCCCCCAGGTCCCAGCTGGTTCCAAGGTTCAGTTCCATTTCCAGCTTTCCGCGGCCACACACCTCGCCTCACACCACGCAGCTGTAGCAGCCCAGGCCGTCCGTTCAGCATGCTGGCTGGGTCTACTCTGTAAGTTGCTGCAGAAGACCCTGCCTATTCTCGTCACGCAGCTTGGTGCTCCGCCCGGTTCGACATCTAGAAGGGGTAAAAAAAGGTCTCGAGACCTGAAGACTTGACAGACGTGGTGGATGTGACCCAATGGCATTTGCATCCCGCATGCTTACCTGGGGAATCATCAACTGCTGAGAGTTAGTCAACGACAACTGCAGTAGCAGGGTCCTAGACAGGAATCCCTCTGCAGGTAGCTTTGCAGCTGTGCTTTTCCTGGTCCTCGTTTGTCCCTGCTCCGTATCCTTGGCCTCGGCTTCGCTGTTCTGGGCGACCTCTGTCATAATGGCCAACATTCCCCCAATTGTCATGTTTCCCAAGGTGGAAGACAAGAGTCTTGGAGGCTTGGAGATGGCAAAAAATCAATCGTGTCTAGTAGCACGAAGGCAGGCCACCTCAGTCACCCCACCACGACATTACCTCACTGCTCTGGTGGTTGCTGACAAGGTACCGACGGGAGTACATACATAGCAATGCCTGTCGCGGCGTCGCCCTGTTCCATTGGACCAGCAGCCCAGAGTCCCAGAGTCCCAGACTCCAGTGCCCAGTGCTCCACATCTGCTCCATGCTCCATGTTCGCTCCCATGCCAATTGAACCCCATCCCCCGTCCATTCCATTGCGATTTCGTCACATACATCATCCGAAGAGCTCCCCCAAAAACTTCCTCATCCTCGCTCTGTCCGACCTTCCTCCTCCCATTGTCCCATTCCCTCTTCCTTCCTCACCCTACCTTACCTGGCTCTGCCTCGTTCGAAATCCCAAGATCAAACTCTCTTCTCTCCTCACATCTATATTCCCTTATACTTGGAGAATCACTTTGTGCTCCTCTTACGACGAAGCTTACTTAGTACTAATTCCCACTCTCACCAAAAACAGCTCACGCAGCTCCTCCTCCGAGACGCCAAGCTCCTTCCGCCGCACCTCCAACTGCAGCTTCGGTCCTACTTCTCCCCCTCTCACAACTTCTTCTACCCGCCTCCTCCCTTCTACTCTCCTTCGGCTCAAATCTTCCAGGAGCCCGTCTGCGAAAATCCAGCGCCTTTTCCAACAACGCCTCCAATCTCCATACCTCTCACAATGGCGCTCGAAGCAGAGACAAAACGCGTCGTCGACCAGTTCGAACTGTCCGATGCATACCTCAACCGCGCCGTCAGCGAATTCCTTGGCCAAATGCGTAAGCTTGCCCCATCTCCCTCACGCTCTCGTCTTTTGCGAGTGTTCGCCTGCGGGGATTATCACTGCATTGTCACTGCCTTCCAAAACTGTGCGCGAACAATAATCCTGCGCGGCAATACTAAACTGCCTGCTGGAGCTGGACAGCTTATACACCAAGAACACTGAGCTGATTTCGGCATCTCACAGAAACTGGCCTGGAAAAGGATGGATCCAGCATGAGCCAGATTCCGACCTACGTCACTGGCGTGCCCAATGGCACCGAAAAGGTAAATTGCGCAGCAACGAAGCTTTGCAATTTGCAAAATCCCCCTCCCCGGATTCCACTCACTGACACCTGTTGCAGGGCCTGTACCTCGCCGTCGATCTTGGCGGAACCAACTTCCGCGTGTGCTCCGTCCAGCTCAATGGTGACACCACCTTCAACCTCACATACAGCAAGGTCGCGATCCCCAAGGAGCTCATGGTCGCCAAGACCGCCGAGGAACTCTTCTCCTTCCTCGCCAAGCAGATTGAGCTCTTCCTCCGCGAACACCACGCCGAGCACTTCGAGCAGCACGTTCGCCGCCGCCAAACCTACAGCGCCCCCGAGGGCTACCGCGACGAGCATGTCTTCCGCCTGGGCTTCACCTTCAGCTTCCCCGTTCAGCAGCTTGGCATTAACAAGGGCAACCTGATCCGATGGACCAAGGGCTTCGATATTCCCGACGCCGTCGGTAAGGATGTCTGCGCTCTGCTGCAGGTCGAGATCGATAAGCTGCACCTCCCCGTCCGGGTTGCTGCTCTCGTCAACGACACCGTTGGAACCCTGATGGCGAGATCCTACACCTCCACCGGCAAGTCCGGCTCCATCTTGGGTGCCATTTTCGGCACTGGCACCAACGGCGCTTACCTCGAGAAGCTGTCCAACATCAAGAAGCCCATTGTCGGCGACTTCGAGTCTGCGACTGGCGAGATGGTTGTCAATACCGAGTGGGGTTCCTTTGACAACCAGCTCAACGTGCTACCCAACACCCCTTGGGACGATGCCCTCGACAAGGCCAGTGTCAACCCCGGCATTCAGATGTTCGAGAAGCGTGTCTCTGGCATGTTCTTGGGCGAGATTGTCCGCCTGACCATCCTTGACATGCTCAAGGACGAGAAGCTTTCCCTGTTCAAGGACCAGAACTCTAGCTTCAACGACTGGAAGTCAACAACAAGCATCGGCGCTCAGTCTGGCATGTTCAAGCAGTGGGGCCTGGACAGCTCCATCATGTCCGTTGCCGCTGCCGACAACACCCCCGAGCTCTCAACCTTGAGACAGCAGCTGGAGACCGAGATGCAGGTGTACAGCCCCTCCCTCGAGGACGCCCAGGCCTTCAAGGCCGTTGCCGGCTCCGTCGGCCGCCGCGCAGCTCGTCTGTCAGCTGTTGCCATTGGTGCTATTGTTCTCCAATCCGGCAAGCTCGACGACGAGACGGAAGAGGTCATTGACGTCGGTGTCGATGGCAGCTTGGTTGAACACTACCCTTTCTTCCGGGACATGATCTACGAGGCTCTCCGCTCCATTGAGAGCATCGGCCCCAAGGGTGCTGACAAGATCCGCATTGGCATCGCTAAGGACGGAAGTGGAGTCGGCGCCGCCCTCATTGCCCTCGTGGCAGCTGGCATGGAGAAGGAGGGTGACGTCTTGATGGAGTTCAGACAGAATGTCAAGAAGGAACTCGACTCCATCCCCGAACAACGTAAGTTGCTAGTCGCTGGAGTTGTCGAGACGAAGGGCGACTTTGAGCGTGAAGAACTTCCTGCTGCCATGCATTGCGAGACTGTTGGCTAATCACATTTTGTGCGTATGTTACAGGCGAAGAGGTATCGACAACCAACACCGCATTGATAATCGGAGGCCTCGTTGGCGTTGCAGCCATTGCGGCCGTCTGGTGGTCTCGGTACAACCGTCAATGATGAACGAAGTATAAAGAGAGATGATTGAATGGGGTGGGGACTGAGGAATGAGAAAGGCTGGAAGTGTCATTTGGGACAATAGACGAGGGAAGAGGGGGTTTTTTCTCTCTCTTCGCTGGCTTTTGCCCCCATCCGTGTGAGCATCTTGTTGTTTTTTTTGGCATTGGGGAATTGTTTCATTTCTTCATGATTCCACACACAAAGGGGAAAATACCGGAGTTTGGCCTGAGCAAAGCAAAAAAAACTTGCGTGGGAAGGTTTTTGTTCAAATGCATAACTGTTTAAATACTGTGTCTCTTTTTTTTTTCTTATCTAAACAAAGTTCAAAACGTCTATAGCTGGCTAGCCTCTACTTTGGGGGCGAATCTTTTCTAGCATCTTGTGTGTCTTTATTTTCGCATCCTGTGATGTCGACAGTGAGTGCGAGTGGCCTCGCCTACTTAGGATGCTTCGAAGTCGGACATGAAGCAGTTACCTGCCTGTCCTGGAGGCCAGCTGAGAACTCCTGAGGATTCAGGTTTGCATGTGATTGCAACTCTGTACCTTGTCGTATACCTGGAAACCGATCTCCATAGGGACTTTTCAGTTCTCTTGAGTCTGAATGTCTTGGAATTCCTCATCCCTGACACAATAGAAGTGTAGGATTCCCTCTCACGCCTAGCCCTGGAACGCAGCAGCCGGGTAGGACCTATCCTTCTTCTTCCTCACTGTGGAGCTGCTCCTGGAACTCGCGCCTGAGCCGCCATTGCTCTTGGGAGGGGCAAGCTTGGCAGAGGCCATCTCGTCGGGGAGGTCGTTCCACTCTGTCGCGGCGCGGCGATTCTGAAAGGATGTGCCCGATCTCGACAGCGGTGGAGGAGCGGGGCCGCCGCCATTGCTTCCGTTCATGGGTGGCAGGTTCGCGACAGCGGCGGTGGGACCCGGCATCGGAGGTGCGGTGGCTCTCTCAGACGAGGATGAAGACAACGATTGCTGTTGCCCGCCGATGGACAGAGGCCCGACGGCGCGGCGGACGATCCAAGCCGAGTCTGGGCGGAGCTTGATGTAGTACCCCTGCAGCGGCTCGCCGTAGCGCTCGAAGCCGCGGGCGGCGTACCAGCGCATGCCCTCCTCGTTGTCGGTCCAGACGTGTGCGTAGATGTGGCGGAGGTTGACGTCGGGGGAGGAGTTGGCGGCGGCGGCAATGAGGTGGTCTACCACGGCGGTAGCGAGGCCATGGGAGCGGTAGGGCGAGAGGAGGGCGAGGGACTGGATGTAGAGGGCGTGCTCGAGGCGGGTCGGCGTCGGGGTCGCGGAGGGAAAGGGGGAGGGTTCGATGCGGGCAACGACGCCGCCGACGACGATTTCCTGGGAGAAGTTTGTGGTGGGTTGGTCGCGCCAGGTGACGACGCGGGAGAAGGGGCCTGTGAGAGCTGCGGCGTAAAAGGTTTCTGGGTAGGCTACTGGGAGGAGGAGGGAGTTTATGCGGCGGAGAGGTTGTAGGTCTTGGTCTGAGACGGGGCGGATCGAGGCGCTTGGGTGAAGGGGCGTCGAGGCTGGCGGTTGTGATGTTTGCGGCGTCGTTGCTGGGGGCGATGTTCTCGGCGGTGATATCGTTGTGTTTGTCGTCGTCACGGAGGATTTCGGAGGGGGAGGAGGTGTTGATGTTGACGATGGTGGGGGTTTGGTCGTAGGAGGGGCAGCTGCAGCTGTTCCTGTCAATGACGGCGCGGGGGTGTACTTTGACGATGGGGGCGGCGGAGCGTAGGAGGGTTGCTGCCGCGGTTGGAAGAAGGATTTGATGGAGGATTGGGTCGGTGGTTGCTTCATTGTTGTAGTCTGGGGGAGAGACATGCTGTTGTTGAGCGGAGCGGAGGATCGTTCGTTTGCTGGCTTGTGAATGAGGGAAATGTACGTAGTAGGGAGTATTCGAAGTTAAGTTGACGAGGGAAGGATGGCGGGAAAAGCAAGTGTGGAGAAGCAAGCTGGCAGGGTAGCTAGGTAGGTCGAGCTGGAGGGATGTCACTCTAAGAAATAATTCCCGAGCGGATGGAAATTTAGATGCGCGTGCGTGCGCGTAGGCGTAGGCATTCACACGCGTGCAGTGAGAAGTTTGGTTTTGGGAACGCGATGATGTCTTTTTTCGATAATCCGGTAACTGAATGCAGGGAAAGGGGAAAAGGCGAGTTGGGAAAGAGGTTTCGGAAGCACTGTCTCTGAATGCGTGCGACTTTTTTCTTCTTCTCGGGACGCAGGGCAGGTGGACGGTTCCTTGCAGCGAGACGGAAGCTGGTGCAAGTCGTGACTCGCTTTAGGTTTGGTGGCTCCTTCTCCCTGGGGCTGTCTCTGGAAAAGGGAGACACAGAGACAGGCACAACCTCTGAGGCTCAGACGGGCAGGTGCGTTCGGGCAGCACCGATGCGGTCAGACACGGCTCTGGAGGCTCCGGCGGGAGAGCGACGGCTCCACCGGCTCGTCCCAGGAGCAATGGCAGGGCGACGAATGCCAGAGGCGGTGTTGCTGCTAAATATGCCCGTACATGATGTACCTTGGGTTCCTTTCCATCCAATATAAAAGACCACCCGTGGACTACCTAGACCAACTAGAGGGGCTGATGGGAGTGGTAGTGTTAGAACTACAGCATCAGCTATGGAAGGGTAGTGAGGCGTCCCAAGATTGGTGGATGGTCAAACTCTATGAACGAATCATGAAGCAATGGCAAACCCCTGGTAAACCGTCGTCTTGACTCGATAGTGACGATATCTGCAGTGTGCTTGCCAGGGTGTTATCTTGGGCATTGGAAGTGTGCCGGCGGAAAAAATAAACAGAAGACGCAAGGCAGTCAAAAGTGTTGTGAAGTGAATACCAGTAGCTAAGTCCATTCCTTGCCCAGAATGCTGCTCGAGACTTCAGCCCCAGAGTGCCAGGTGGATGACAGAATCACCTGCCGCTTAACCCTTCCTAAGTTTCTTGCTGTTGCTATCGGTACCATTACCATTGCCATTGCCACTACCCTTACCTATGTCTATACTTATCTTGTTCCCTATATCACTACCTCTGTGGTACTGCTTACTGCTCTTTCCAATGAGTTATCTAGGCATTTCCACTCAATGGTATACTTAGAATATTCTAGTTAGATACCTAGTGGGAAAGAAGGATAGAAATGATGAGGATAATAGTTGTTGGCTGGTGTCTCGTCACTTGGACCCCTGTGCACCTTGGCCATGGTACCTAGGCGAAAAGGGGACTAAAGTCAGGCACATGCATGCGCCGATGGGGACACTGTATCCGCCCGTGGTTTTCTATGACGGGATCCTTGGATGCGATGGGATGACATCCAAACCCCGTCTCCCTGCTCGAACTTCTGCGAGTGTGTTCGGCAGCGTGGATGTAACTGCAAGTGCATTTGGCGCATTGCCATTTCGTTGCTCTTTACAAAGACTCTGGGTTCCGCATAGGATCGTGAGATAGATAGGTAGACTAAAAGTCCGGGGAATGTACTCAGTTATCTGCACCCACTTCGCTTATGTCTTCAACCATTTCATGACGTCTCTGTTGATTTTGCTTCGATTTCGGAAGGACGATCAATGGCTTGATCTAAGCAAGTCGGCTACTGTGAGTTGCTCCATTGCAAATTATACTTTATCACTGTTTGAGTAAAGGCAAGGAAGGTGCTGAGGTGTAGGGAGGTAAGGCGGTCCATTGAGTCCCTGCTCCATTTGCGAGTGGTCGTTAGTGGCCCGCAGATCAACGTTGACACTTTTGGGAAGTTGCTTCCGGGCTTCTTACCAAAGTCGCTCTTTGCCGCAAATCCCCTTGCCAATGATGCCTGAGCAATTCGCTAAGGTAATCCGGAAAACCCTCCCAATTCACATTCTCTCTTCCTCTCCAGCCCCCCATCATCAATCACCTCGCCTTCCAACAGTCTGAGGTTCCTTACCCGGTGGACTTCACCCCGAGCAATTGTCTACCTGTCAACTCAGACGTCAAACCCAGCTCCTTTCTTCGGCCGTCAACCAACACTGCCGACATTGGCTGCGACCATCGGATTCTCTCGCCTCGCACCTTCAACCCCCCCAGTCCTATCCAGATTCGGCATAGGGCCTCTCGCATGGTACGACAAAGGGAAAGTCGACCCCCTAGCTCGTCGGAGACAACCTACCTACACCTTAACCGCAAATCCTTGTGTCCGTTGCTTGTTCGCCATCGTTGTTGCACCCTTATTACTTCAGCAAAGCAAGGTTCCGAAACTTTTTTTTCCCTAACCCTTCCCTGGCGGCGGCGTCGGTCAGTCGTTCCTTCCATTTGCTCAGCTTGACCTCATCTCCCCTGCACCTGCCGCTACTACCTCCTACAACTGCACCCACTGCTCAGTTGCTGCGGCTGCTGAACCACCACTTCACCCGCCCCTCGACCGGCCGTGTGGCACCTTATTTTAGTTACCCGTCAACCCGATTCAGATTCCACAAACCACATTTCTTCCTGCACACGACCACAAAGCTATCCGCCCTCCGAGGCTGCGATCACGACGGCATCTTACTCCCTTCAGCCTCTGTGCGCCGTTCCGTCGGCCTCGTCGAGATGGCTTCCAACACTGGAAAAGCTGGAGTGATTGTCGCTCCCGACGACGCTGGCAACATGGACAAGCTTGTAAGTCCTCCCCCATCCCCTGCCCTCAACCTTTCATTCACCTTCTGCCTTCCTTCCTTCCTTCCTTCCCCAGTCTCAGTCAACCCATCGCCGCCTTTCTACGAATCGCTGCGGGTGGGCTGGGCGACTGTTTGCCATGGCTGATGATTTGACGTGATGCTGACCATAGTCTGTTCTTCGGCAACAGGCACACGCTGTCCTCGACGACCTCATGTACAACATTGTCCATGACCTGCTGCTCAAAGTCCACCGCGACGAGAAAATGGCGAGAGCGTCCACCGCTGCCATTCGTGTCGAGAAGCTGGCTTCCGATGCATCAGAGAGCTCCACCCCCGATTCGAAGCCAGACGTACGGATAGAAACCGACGCCGCGATATACGAAGACGGCAAGGTTCTACTCAAGGGCAACCCCCTCAAGACCACATCCGAGATTCTATGCCCCCGATGCCACCTGCCTCGCCTGCTCTACCCGACCGATGGCAAAGGCGCGCGAAAGCCCGATCCGAGTGTCATCTACTGCAAGAAACATCCCTACATTGATAAGCCGGGCTTCGACATTTACGGACAGACCTGGGTTCAGCCTGGTCCCGGTCGAGGCAAGAAGAAGAAGGACATGAAGCCTGATCCCAACATCGAGTCAGCCGGCCCCGGAGAAGCGCGGCCACCCAACGTGCTCTCGTTCCCCTCCGCCACCTGCAGCAAGTGCAAACGATGCATTCTTGTCACCCGTCTCAACAACCATATGGGCTCCTGCATTGGAAATAGCGGACGCAATGCCAGTCGCGCTGCAGCGGCGAAGATATCAAATGGCAGCAACGGCGCTAGCCAGCACGACGGAACGCCCCCGTCGAGCCAAAAGGCCACACCCGCGCCTGCATCGCGGGCCTCAAGCCCTAAAAAGCGCGACAGCGAGGAGGTGGCGGCACCTGAGGACGAGGATGAATCAGGAGACAGCCATAAGAAGAAGAAGCTGAAGTCGACACCCTTGATGACAAAGAAGGTCATCCTTAAAACGAAAGGCCCTAAGAAGGAGAAGGTGAAGACAAACTCACTCTTGAGCCGTGAGGCAAAGGCGGACGATGGCGACAACTCTACTGTCGAGGTCGCGCCAAAGAAGGAGAAGAAGGAGGCCAAGGGCATTAGTCCGGCCAAAAAGCTCAAGCTTGGCGCCGCCAAGCCGCCCTTGTCCTCGCCGTTATCCAAGAATGGCCGGAATGGAAAAGAAAAGGATGAAGACGCAGAGTCAGAATCGTCCGGCACATTGTCGTCGCCGCCAAACTAGAAGCCTGGCAGCACGACGAGCGGCACCAAGAGCGGTACGACGAGCGGCAAAACGACTAGCGCAATGACCAGCATCAAAAGATCGACCGGCTGCGGTCTGAGGAGACCAAGCGAGTTGTTGGGTATGAAGGGCACATCGCCGCCTTCGACAATCAAACGCTCACCCCCGCAGCCGCAGTCGCAGCCGACTAGACAGCGACTGGCTTCTGTCTCGAGCAATTCTCCTGGCCAAAGCAGCTCTTCTGGTCGTTCTTCTGCAAAGCCAAAGTCGCCGGGATCTTCCCAAGACACAGTTCGCTCCACGGGACGAGTCTCAAAGCCCCAAACAACTAGAAGTCAAGCGCCTCCCACTGCCGGCAAAATGCCCGTCAAAAGCCAATCTGCCGTGGAGGCCCAGCCGCCATTTCGAGGCCAAAAAAGAGCCTCGGATGAGCATGAGAAACAACCCGCCAAACGGCGTCGTTCTTAATATCGCTCCTTTGTATTCATTACCACCCATTTTACTTTCAATGTCCCAGGCCCGGCTTCAGATATCAGCCGGGATGGGCATATCTTACTTCTCTGGGCCGCATTTTACGACGAAAGAATAGGTTGTGGGACTGGCCACAGAGCCGGGCCCCTAGCCGTCTTCTTCTTTCACTTTGTACTCATCAAAAAACTGAAGCCCTGGTCGACGAGAGATCGACACTTGATACACGATACTCAACAATGCATGGTCAGGGAGTCAGTCGGGAAGGTCTTCTAGGAATGAGGAGGTTTCCTCCCTCCATATTCGTGTGCATCGCCTGGCGAGGCGGATGGCGGCGTTTAGAGATTGCGGTTACATTTTATAGGCATTGTGACAAATGATATTGATTCCCCCCCATCACTTGGATGTTTGTGATCTCCCATTTTATTTTTGGTTTATCACTTAAGGCCGCTACGTGAAAGGGTAGACGGGAAGAACTGGATATACCTTGTCCCCAGTGTACGGTCTGCTCGACCAAACGCCAAACTCCACGTAGATGCTGACAATATGACCCTCTAAAAGTAGGACCTCACCATCCCTCAGGCTTCATCGCCGCCCTCCTCAACGACAGAAGCCTTGATAATCTTGACCTCCTCAAGCGGCCGATCCTCCGGCCCTGTCTTGACAAGTCCCATCCTCTTGACAACGCTCAATCCACTCTTGACCCGTCCAAAGATGGTATGTTTCCCATCAAGCCAAGGCGTCGGTGCCAGGGTGATAAAGAACTGGGAGCCGTTCGTGTCCGGGCCAGCATTGGCCATGGAGAGAACGCCGGCGCCGGTGTGTTTCAAGCCGGCGTGGATCTCGTCTGCGAATTTCTCGCCGTAGATTGAGGTGCCGCCACGGCCTGTGCCCGTCGGGTCGCCGGCTTGGATCATGAAGTTTGGGATGATGCGGTGGATTATGGTGCTGTTGTAGTAGCCTCTCTTTGCGAGGGTCGCAAAATTTGTGCAGGTTTTGGGGGCGTGAGTGGTGTAGAGTTCTAGGATGATCGTGCCCTGTTCAAGGGGAGGTGGGATTTAGCCTTGGGCTTCTTGGGGGGTTCTTGGGGGTTTTTTGGTTTGGTTTGTCGCATGGATTGATGGTGATGTATGGATCGTGGGAAGGGTGGACTGAAGGATGTATGGACGTACTAGTGAGGTCTCGAGGGAGACGTTGGTTGTCATTTTGGAGGAATTGGCAAGCTTTGCTTGCTGCGCGGGGTATCTTAGAGTGTGGTGTTGCTATGATGGTGGAGGGGTTCACGAAGGAGTATTTGGGGGCGAGGCTGGCGATGCGATGCGATTGAGGATTTGCGGTCGCACGTCAGGTCCAATTCGCGGATCGCGCGCCCGATTGCGGGTTGCGCTTTCGATTGAGACCGTCAGTGGTGGGTGGCCAGGGGGTAGCTTCAGCCACTTCCGGGGCGAAGGTGCGCCACTGGAAGCCGGGCAGGTCTCCAAAGTAGGTAATACAGAAGCCAAAAAAAAATGAGCTGTCTGTGACATTATGTAGGACCACCAAATTCGAACTCGCAACCTTTGCAGGACCCAATTACGCTCAATTACTTCCACCACTAGGTCGTATACATTTCAGACGCTGCTCATGCCTTTCATTCAACGACTTCCATCCTACAGCGGTACGGGTGGAGTGGTTGTGGTTTATTTGTAGATGTTAATTCAATGATGGACATTCAAGTTGAGGCGGTAGGTACCTTACAGATGGATTATAGCGTCGAGGTGGGGCCCCTGGGAGCTGAAGCCTCAAGGGCCCATCTCTCCCCGCACGCTCTGAAAACCTCCTGCAGCAACGCTCACGCCGCACGGATATCGATACAGCCTTTCAAGAGTTTGGACACGGGGAAGGTGCGTCTTCTCTCTTGAAGAGGAAAGACGGAAAAAGGGTGCAATTTATTTCCATAAGACGTCCGGTCCGGTCGTCACTTTTCCATCTTCAACCAAAGGTAAACTCACCATCTTACCTCCAAAATCCTGTCACCTGAAGCAAGACCTGGCTAGGGCAGAGACCGTTTCTCAGAATTGACTTCTCACCTTTTGTTTCTTTGGGCAGCGCAGCGCAGGAAACACCGTGTCGTCTTTCATCCTCATCAACCGGTCCGACCCCATCTCCAAAACAGGTGGCTTCAATTCTTCTCTTTAATCAGTTGGTGAGGATCACTTTACTCATGGCAAGAATTACATCTCTCTAATTTCTTCTACAGCATTCGACTGTTAGTGGCTCTATCCAAGGGTATAAAATTACTGGCACCCAGCTTCTCTACCTGCCACTCACAGCGGCCATTGACTCGTTTATTCAGACTCAGCTTCTGTTTCCTCATCTCGATCACCACCACGAGCTTCACTTGCCGTGGACGAGTGTCCTCATCACCACCCTTGGGCCGATTATTTCATCTTGGCACTCGGGAATGACAGCGACACTGCCAGCAACAGCAACAGCAACAGCAACAGCAACAGCAACAGCGGCAACATGGCTTCGCCGGTCCCCAGCCCCATCAACCCTCCATTTGATGAGCTCACCCAGAACCTCACGGACAACCTCACGGGCAACTCGACAGCCGCAAATGTCGCCGCTGCCGTCGTGGAATGGGGCTTCACCCAGTATGCCAGCTTCCTGACGATGGAGGCCAAGCTCATCTTCAGCGCCCTGGCCATCATCTACATCGGCGCCCACGGCTCACTCCGCCGCCCGCCTTCGGCTGCTCCTCAGAAGCGCAAGGATGGACGGGAACGCAAGGAGGATGAGCCTATAACGGAGGGCCTCATGCCTACCGACGCAATTCTCTTCCCTCTCCTGGCCGGCACCATGCTCATCGGCCTCTACTACCTCATTCAGTGGCTCCAGGACCCCGCCATCCTCAATAAGATTCTTCGAGTCTACATGTCCGTCATGGGTATCGCCAGTTTGACGACTCTCATCGCACACTCACTGCGGATTGCTTCCGGATTCGTCTTCCCCAACTACTTCCGCCACGATGGCTCGCTGTACAACGTCGACGATGACGATGAGTCCTTCGTCAAGGTCACTGGCGAAAAGGCGGACCGAAGCAACGCGCAGTTTCTTCAGAAGAGCAACCCGCTGCCCTTTGCTTTACGGAGCATCATGCGCCTGAACACCATCAAGATCAACCGATTCTTGTGGGATTTGCGCCACGTTCTCACGGACGAGTGGACGGTGAAGGCGAAGCTCCATGGCGTCTTCCGTGAGAAGTTCAACATGACCATCCTCCACGTCGTTGGTCTCAACCTGGCTGTCGCGACCGTGGTGGCCTACTTCATGTCAGGCTCGCCCTTCCTGTCCAACTTCATGGGCTACGGTTTCTGCTACGGCTCGTTCCTCATTATGTCCCCGACGACGTTTGCGACGGGTAGCTTAGTGCTGATCGGACTCTTCTTCTACGACATTGTCATGGTTTTCTACACGTAAGCTGTCCCTCAACCTAGTTGTGACGAACCCCTCAACGCACGTCATCTAACAACTCACCAGCCCTTACATGATCACAGTCGCCACCAAGCTCGACGTGCCAATCAAGCTACAGTTCCAGTCCGCCGCTCGCTCTAGCATCCTCGGACTCGGAGACATCGTCGTCCCGGGTATCGTCATGTGTCTCGCCCTCCGCTTCGACATGTGGCGTCACTACCAGCGCCAGATCAAGTACATCCCGACCGATCTCAAGTCCGACCAGCACGACGCGACATCTGGCGACGTGGTCACCGTGAGCCAGACCCAGCACATCGCGCAAAAGGCCCCGTACCTCGACATCACCAACTGCTGGGGCGATTGGTTCTGGTCCGCCCCGTCCTGGTTGGGCCTCTTCAAGGCTGCGACGGAGACGGCGCCGCCGACTGTGCGCGGATCGACTTTCAGCAAGACGTACTTCAACGCCTCCTTGGTCGGCTACACTATCGGCATGGTGACTACCCTCGTCATGCTCGTCGTCTTCAAACACGGCCAGCCTGCGCTGCTGTACCTCGTCCCCGGCGTTCTCAGCTCCCTCTGGTTAACTGGCCTCGTGCGCGGCGAACTCAAGGAAATGTGGATATACACCGAGGACGGCAGCCTCGACACACGCGACGTCGTCGTCGAGCTCGATGGAGACGGCAACGTTGTGAAGGAGATTAAGAAGGATGAGGATAAGAAGGATGATGAAAAGAAGAAGAAAGACGAAGAAGAGAAGACCGCGGAGGAGAAGAAGGCTATCGAGAAGCGGGATGCCGAGAAGACTGAGTATAACATAGTCGCCTTCTCCATCACTGCTCCGCTTAGAAAGCCGAAGACGCAGTGATTTGGGAAGGTGGCGTCAGGATACGGGTAGTTGACTATGGAAAGGCAAGATAGAGGCATCTCAATTTGTGCATCAGGCGGTGTTGAGGTCTAGATTCCATCTTTACCATTCGGATAGCGCATGTTGATAGCTGAATACTGTCAACACGGGGTAGAACAAAATGGCTTATCTGCCTCTCGGAGAATAGAGATAATAACATATGCCCTCCTTCCACAGTATCTGACGCCAATATCATGAAGAGGCTTAATATCAACCACGTGACCGTAAAGCAGGCGCTGGCTCAGTCGCTCCTTCCCATACCTTCCCTTACCTGCTGTGCAAAGCCTCTATATACCCCCTCAACTCCATTCTCGTCACCAGCACAGCGGGCGGCCCCTTTGGGGGTCAGGTCAAAATTGGCTGCGTGGAGGGGCGGTTCGAGTCCACACAGCCTAATCGGTGAAGGCTGAGAGAGAGAGGTCTCGTGTTCGAGTCCCAGCTTGTGCGTCCAGAGATGTAGCCCCCGTTCGCCACCGGGGGGGTGAACTCTTTTATCTTTTTCTTCTTCTTTCAAACTTTTCTCGGGCCAGAGGAAAGTTAGGTGATGGATCTGTAGGTAGAGGATTCGCTATTTCCCCCCCACCCCCTCTTTTCTTTTCGGAATGAATGCCTCGTTTGCCTTCCTAAATCACGACTGTGCTCGATGAGAAATATGTGCTGACTGCTATTGCCTTGGATAATAGCGGCCGTTGCGACCCCTTTTTTTTGGGGGGGGGGGCAGGTCCGCATCTCCTACCGGGAAAAGGTAGCGAACTTCCCATGACGGCAAAGAGAGTACCGGAGGCTGTGACGAGGAAGATCAACTAACTCCCATTGTGCCGAAATGATATTCGTTCCCCAGTATAAGGTGATAATATCAAGAGTGGCTGACTCGTTGCTTCCTACACTCAGGTAAACATTACTACAAGAGTGGAGACCCAAGGTGTAATAGAGGTCAGGTCACTTCCGTTCCTCTCACCAGCCAGGAGGCGCTCGTCTAGGTCTACGGGTCAGGTGAGACTAGATGGGTGGTGGATTAGTCTAAGGTCAACAATTAATGATACGTTTACACGACAGGCTCAGCGAGTACTCAAGTTTGAATCCCAGCGTGAGCGCCCAAGAGATATAGCCTATCGAGGCAAACTCTTTTCCCTTTTTCTTTTTCTTTAGCGCCCGGTCTCATTTTTACTTTAGCCTTGGTGTTTTCGCTGAGGAATTTTTTAGTTGTATGTCTCGGAGCCTAGACTTGAGGTAGGCCTCGTTCATGTTGTAGTATGCGTAAGGGAAACCAGTTCGACGTGTATATTGAGAAATGTGTTGCCGTTTGTCGAGAAGCAGCTGTGTAAGTGGCTACTATGTCCTAGGGTTGCGAATGCAACAACGAGATCAACTGTTTGAGATAGGCTTTATGACATTCTCTAATCACGAATAGGATCTTCCTACTATCTCGTAAAAGGACTTGGTGAGTTTCGGGTGGCCCAAACCAGCAATGCCGTAGTCGCCTTTCGTTTTCCGCGTTGGGTCTGTAGAATTAAATTGATACACGGAATCAGAATGAGTCCTATTCTAATCATAGCGTATTCACCCGTTGAGATGTGTTATCAAAATGTGTCTAATGGTCTCAAACTAGTCCTCTTTATGTTTGCCCGAGCCTCCGGTTCCTTCTCGTCCGATCTGCAAGGCTTTGTTGATGCCACATGCCTTCTATCAGGAGCTAACGGGCACCGGCATCAATCACAAACGTTTGTATACGCACACTACGCCATCTTCTCCAAAATCAAGAGTCTGTCAATCTCTAATCTAATCTTCCAGCGAATCAAGAGCGATGAAAAAACATTTCGTCGGACATTGAGTTTGGAACCGTGTCCAAGCTCCGGGGATAATTGACTTTCTCGAGCAAGGTTGGTAGTAAAACTCCGTTCCCGCTTCAAACGCTTCACCCCCGCTTATCAATGGATTTACTTGGCGTAGATATTGGTGACACCATCACAGACTCACAGCATATGATACTTACAAATCAAGTCTCTGTGTTTGGCGGGGATCTAGGACTTGGTGCAACGTTGTGGGTTGTTTATGATAAATAGCTCACTACCCTCGGAAGTGTCCACCTCTCAGTCTGGGTGTTATATTCAACATACGGGCTTCGTCAGATATTTCTACGCTGCTTTCCACTCTCCTCCAAGCTATTCCTTTCTCAAACCGAGGAAACTACCAGATAATTTGATCGGAGGTTTGACGTAAACACGCAAGAACTTGATCTAAATTTCAAAATGGCATCGAAGATGAACAGGAATGATGCTGTCGAGAACTTCATGCGCTCAGCTGAAGCTCTCGCTATATCCTTTGAAAACGTCAGCGATGATGATAGATCGCGAGTCCTTCTCAAGCTATACGAGCTCACAAGTAAAGTCGAATCTCCTTGGGAGACGTTTGTCAGGCTCTTCTTGAGCAACGTAAGTGCCTACCGTACGATGGCTCTAGAAAGAAGCTTCCTGATTCATGTACTAGTCGGCCGTCCTAGCATCAGTCAAAATACTGCAAGATCTCAACATCTTTAGGAAATGGAAAGACAATGGGAGCAGACCCATGAGTTGCGCTGAGCTCTCAGGCCTCGCGGATGGTCCCTGTGATACTGCTTTACTCTGTAAGACCCGCCGTCTTTAATTTATTGCAACAGTATCTAAATTGCTCCGAGACCGACTCCTCCGTCTACTAGTCTCAAACAACATAGTCGAGATGACTTCCGACGGGACCTACAAACCCACAGAATTCTGCACTCAGCTCGCAAACTCGGACTTTGGCACCACCGCAAAATTCTAGTAAGGAGATTCCCTATCCCCCCTCCTTTCCTCTGCTAAACCTTTTGATTTCCACACAATTTCTAACTTTCAAGTAAAGCTACGATCACACAGTTCCCATGTTCACCCACATGCCCACCTTCTTCCAAGAAACATCCTATAAAAACCCTCGCAGCGCCCGCAAAACGGTCTTTGACTCAGCCCACGGCTGGCAAGGCGGCCTCTTCACCTACCTCGAAGCTAACCCGGCGCAAGGCGAGGCCTTCAACACACTCCAACGCACGACGACGCTCAACAGGGCCAGATGGACGTCCATATTCCCCAGCCAAATGCTCTTGGACAGCGGCTCCGGCGATGACCCGAATTCACCGTTGCTAGTGGACATCGGTGGCAGCGTGGGACAGGATCTGCAGGCGTTTTACGAGTTGCATCCGGAGACGGCTTCGAGGTTGTACTTGGAGGATCTACCTTCCGTCATAGCGGATAACAAAACTTCCGTGTTGAAGGGGATCAATAAGGTGGCGTATGATTTCTACACGCCTCAGCCGATCAAGCGTACGTTTCATCCATCTCCTTGCTCGACTAGGCAAACCTCAAGTACTTAACGAAAACTGACAAACATCACGAAGACGCCCGCGCATACTACATGCACCACATCCTTCACGACTGGCCCGACAAACAAGCCCGCAAAATCCTCGAGATTCAAAAAGCCGCCCTGAAACCGGGATACAGCTGCATCCTGATCCACGACCAAATCATGGATGACAACGTCCAGGCCGTCCACCCGCACGCTGCCGTCTTCGACATCAGCATGATGACATTTGGCGCCGCGCAGGAGCGCACGGAGAAGGAGTGGCGGGCGCTGATCGAGTCGGCTGGGTTGAGGGTCGTCAAGATTTGGAGGGTGCCGGCTGCGGTGCAGGGGGTTATTGAGGTTGGGCTGCGGGAGGGGTCGAAGCTTTGAGGGTGAGTGTGTGTTGGTTATAGTTGTTTTGAGAGGTGAATGGCTATATGAATTCGTTTTCCTAGTCGGTGTACGTAGGAGGAATGAACTGAATTGGTACGAGTCGAGACTTGTAGCATCTTGAGGCCGCCCCCAGACTGATCTTGATTCGAAAGAAATCAAAAAAAGAGTTCACCACCGGTGTGACTACATCTCTTGGTGCTCATGCTGGGATTCAAACTCGGGGACTCGTATGCGCTTAGCCTGTCGTCGAGTAGGCTGGTTGGCGATTTAATTGTTGACCATAAACCACTCCACCACCTAGCCACTTTGACCTGACCAACCGACCTAGGAAGGTGCCTGCTATGCTGGTGACAGAATTGGACTCGGAGGGGTATATGAGGGCTTCTCGTGGCAGGTATGGAAGGTGCAGGCCAACACGCGCCTGCTCTGCTTCGCAGCCACATTCTTCGTCGTGGTTGTGATGATTGAGGTCATTTTTCGAGGATCAGAGCAGCAATTGTTAGAGCTTTCAATTGCATTTGCAGCTACTTTCAACTTGATGATTATCGCTAGAGGTTGAATCTCGGCGCCAATCTCGATGTTAGAACGTCGACGCTGACCCTTGACGTCTGGTTCGGTACCGGAGCTCCAACGGGCCCGGCCCCACTGCCGATGTGGAAAGGGATCCACTACCCCCGGCCGACCGAGGAAACTCCCCCGGAAACAAAGAATCAGTTGAGAAAAGCTGCTTGATGTGCGTAAGATCGATCAGAGAACAAATCCGAACACTGTTATTCGCAGGTTGAATGTAATGGAGGGACAAGTCAAGGGTGAAGGTGTATGCATTACAACAGAGTCTTATTGCAAGAACATCTCATAAGTAGGTAATCCATGACATCCTCGGACTCTCACCTCCCCTTCCTGTACCATCATACTCCACGCGTGAAATCAGTGCTTCAGTTTCAGAGTAAGACTAGACCAGCAAAGTCTCCAAGGCAGAGTCAAATTCCCAGTAATTCAAGCCAAACTCCACCCCGGTATTTTTTTCCCATGAAACTTATCCGGAACTTCGGCACGCGACATATCCACGCCACCCGTCGATAGCGTCGTCCACCTCGGGCCGTTGTGGAGCCTCCATGCTCCGGGGGGTAGGCCGGCATCAGTCAGCCCACGCTAAACCGCTTACAAAACCTTTTTGCAACGACCAGCGACTGAACATGTGAATTCGAGCCTATTTCCATGGAAAGAACCCTTGCAGACACGTTCTTCCGGTGCGAAGGCCTCCATGGTTTCATGACTGTGGTCGTCATCTCAGGGTGCTCTGGCCATCGCTGATTTGATCATTGTAAACCACAAGATCACAGAAATGACCCAGTTCGGAATCAAGAACCTCTCCAATCATTATTCAGGAGGTCCTCTATCAGGAACGCATGGATCTAGATCAGCGTCCACTAAATATCTTGAAAGGCACATAAATGGCAGTAGAGTAGATATGGTTTAATACAACCCATGTATTAATGCCCTTAATAGAGATATCATGGCTGATTACAAGTTCAGAAAATAGATAGGTATCATGATAGTGAGAAATGCCGAGAGCTAAAGCTGCTCATAGGCCAACATCTCCTATTTACATCTTCCCCCAGATGTTTCCTCCCCTTTGGTGCTAGATAATCCAGCAAGTTTGAAGAGCAGCGAGTCCTTTAGAAGATGGTACTTGCCCACCGTCTCCACTTGGGCCAAGCGGCAACCTTCGCGCGGTAGGCGTTAATCTCATCCCAGTCAACCTCACGGCGACCAGCATCGAGATCGATCTCGGAAAGCTTCAAGAAGCCCTTGCGCTTCCACAGGTAACCGCAGGCCCAGAAGAAGAGAACGACAGGCAGGGCAAGATAAGCCTTAAAGAAGTCCTCGGCGGAGGCGAAACCACCACCAGGGGGGCAGATGGCGACGAAAAGCTGGGCGATCAAAGAGATGGCAATCAGGAATAGGCCGAGCCAAGAGCCGGCAACACCACCAATGGCCTGGAAAGGAATCTCATCAAGAGTGTGACCCTGAGCCTTCCACGCAGCGCGGAACCGAATGTGGGCGGCGCAGATGGAGCCCCAGGTGAAAAGGGCGGCAAGACCAGAAAGCGACAAAAGCCAGTCGAAAACGACACCACCGGAGGACGCCATGCGGACGTAAGCCAGGCCACCGAAGGCAAGGTTGAAGACGACAGAAGGCAGGGGACGGCCTGATCGGTCGATGTAGGTGAAGATCTTGGGTGCGTATCCCTGCTGGGCGAGGGCGGTCAAGGTACGGGAACCACCGTAGACACAAGAGACACCAATAGAGACAACGGAGACGAGAATGACGACGTTCATGAAGCTGTCGTATCCGTAGAGGTGGGCATCAAGAGGGGCCAGGACGAAGGGGGAAACACCATCGGCGTAGGGGTTGGCGGAATTCAGGAGACGCTCGTCGGTAGAGCTGACGAGAAGGCCGACAAAAGTAAGTCCCAAGACGTAGAAACTAATGATCATGATCAGTCAGGGCCCAAGACATTTGATGTGGGAGATACTTACAGGGTAATACGCCAGAACACCTGCTTGATGGCACCGGGAAGGGACTTGGCGGGGTTGGCGGACTCAGCGGCAGCGAGACCGACAAGCTCGGTACCGGAGAAGGCAAAAGCGGCAGTGACGAAGACAGAGCAGAAGCCACGGAATCCGTTCTGGAACGCGCCGGGGTCGCTCCATAGACGGTTACCCCAGTACTCATCGTACTTTCCACCCTCAGGGCCGCCACCGCAGATAAGAATGAGGGCGACGACCATGAAGATGACGGTGGCAAAGAGCTTGAAGGTAGAGGAGATGAACTCTTCCTCGGCGAAGCCCAAGGTTCCAAAAACGTTGATGAAGATGATGAAGAGCCAGAAGATGGTGATCCATACAGCGACACTTATATCCTTGTTCCAATATTGTATCGTAAACGAGCAGACTGTTAGTTCGAGTGGTAAGACAATAACCCATTGGAAGACCTGTGACATTTTGTTAGAGCTTTGCGATGCGATGCGCTGTGCCGCGAGAAGTAACTTACATAATTCCAGCCCATAGCGAAACCCCAGGAAGGGTCGAGGAAGCGGATAGAGTAGGTGTAGAAACCACCAGAGACAGGGTACAGGACAGCAAGTTCACCGAGAGCGTAGACGACGTTGAAGATCATGACACCGGCGATCAGGAAGCAGATGAGGACAGAGCCGGGGCCACCTTTGGTAAGAGCGCTACCGGAACCGACGAAGAAACCAGCACCGATGGAGCCACCGATGGCGATCATTTGCAAGTGACGAGGCTTCATGGAGCGGTCGAGTTCAGTGTCACCGGTTCCCCAGTCACCTAACGTTATCATGTTAGCGATCCAGCTACGAAGAGATCTCTGCACAAGGCGGGGGTGAGGAGATAGGCCCGAAAGCAGTTCATGCCGGTGATATTGAGAGTTTAGACTTACGACGCTGGAAACTCTTGAGATTCAAGCCATTGCGGGTCATGAAGTCATCCTCGCGAAAGTTCTCGGGAACGTGGCCATCACCGGCAGTGTGGCGGGCACCCTTCTCGGAGTCGTACGTGGGCGGAACCACGCCGACTTGGGCAGCGTCCTTGGTCATGATGAAGATATCGCTCGATAGCTCTGGACAGAGGCTAGAGACTGGTTGAAAAGAAGAAGTAGTGCGCGTTGGCGCTTGCCGTGACCTTTGCCCTTGTCAACGACGGGAGAGTAACAAAGCTGATGTTACTCTGTAAAGGACTACAAGAGTATGAGGGGTAGGAGGGACAACAGGAAGGGACGAGATGGAGAGGGAGGCGGCGCGGGATGCCGTTTAATAAAGGTTCGAGACAACACCCGGAATGAGAGACGGGGACGGGGACGGGGGAGCTAAGGCAGAGGGGAGAAGCAAGCCAGGCGCAACAACGACGACGACGACGACATATGCAGGTGCATTGCCCCATGCAAAGAAACCATGTAAGGTATCTGTAAAGGTACCGTGTAAAGATGTTGGACAAGCAGAAACGGACCAGACCAAAGACAGGAAGGTGTGTGGGATGGGCAGGACTACCTGGCGGGATGGGTAGGGGTACGGCAGGCAGGCAGTTGGTAAGATACGGAGGGTAACCTTACGGATACACAGAAAGGAAACAGGAGGGACAGACCCTCGAGACTTACGCCGGGACTCGAGAGACATCGAGGCAGACATAGGGAGGTGCAGCATATGGCTCGGGCGAGGAGCTGGTGAGCTGGACCTGGACGAGAAGGGGACCAACCAACTTGAACGCGCTCACCGGCGCGAATCCAACAGATGGGAAGCTGCAACATGGACTAGGGAGACCAGGGAGACCCCGGCTTGAGTGAACGACCCAACGCCCCCTCCTCTTCTTCCTTCCGTGACCCTACCTTGCCTACATTGTACATGATTTCCCGATGGAGGGAGTACATTGTTTCTACAAAGTACAAAAGTTGCCAAGGGCACCTTGCCTGTCTTACGTTAGTCCCTTGTTATTTTTCTTCTCCGTCTTCTTCGTCTGCTTCTTCGTTTCCGGGATACATTCTCCCCGGGAAATCACCCATGATAGCTGTGCCGCTAGCTTGCAGAAGATGCCAGGAGGTAGTAGGAAGGTGACCTAGAGTTTGAGAGGTCTGGACAGGTAGATGAGTCTTTCCGGCAGAGTCTTGGCAGGCGATTGGACCGGTCGGTCAGCCGTGAGACGGGAGAGAAGGAAGGGTAGGTCAAGGGGGGTGAAAGGGGACGCCCGGCATCTAGCAGTAGTGTAGTGTAGCACAGCTAGGTAAAGCCCACGGTAGAGGTTTACACTACACTTCCATCGTACATGAGAATGCGGATGCGGATGGCGGATGTAAGGTATCATGTGGGTGTTCGGAAGCAATGGAAGCTGCGTGGAAGGCGAAGATGGCAAGGCTTGGAAGATGGTGGGATGGACGAGATCGTCGAAGCATCTCACATATCTAGCCCAGCGCGACGTCGTCAACTCGCCTCACATCCAAGGGCTGCATCAGTGTCACTCGACGTGGCAGATTCGGTAGACAGGCAAACACCGCTTTTGTCGGTTCAGCCTTGAGCCTTGCCATTCAGACATCAGACTGTGGGACGCGGCATTTCAGGTGGCTCCATCAGGCAGGCCGGTGATCTGTGACAAGAGGTTTGATCCGAAGGCTCGCATGCTGTTCACTGCCCGCTGGGAGGAATACAGTGTGCTCGCTCGACGGCGCGTGGCCCGATGCCTCTTGAAGGTTACGATGCGTCTCCCTCGGGTCTCTTGGTCTAGAGACGTCGACGGCCGGCGGATATGTCCCATCAGAGGCAACACAGCGGCTTGGCGGAACCAGTAAGCTTTCTGAGAGCAGAAGGTGGGCTCGGTGGGGATTGCTGATGCCAGACGGTTCAAATTGGGGGGTTGCCAAGTGATTAGAAGAACCGGTCATGGTTTTTGGTGAGTCTTGGCAGAAGGGCTATTGGCTGGTGGACGGTGCCGGCTGGAGATGGGTTGCGATATTTGTATGTTCAGGTTGGAAAATGTATTGATGGATCCATGCGATGGAAATTGATTTGGCAGAATGGAAGAGAGTGATTTGGCAGCGGCGCGCGGGGGTGGGACCTTGCCGGGCATTTGCCCTTTACTCGACTGGCCCGGACTCTCAGTCTCACTGTTCCTCTCACTGTCACTTTCACTCTCACTCGTTCGGGGCCTGGGCGGGACGTTTCAATGAGCAGGGTGCGCACACTCACTACAAACACCCATCTCACTCCACTGGCACGCTATCAGTGGAGATCCGTCCCAAGCTAGGAGTGACCCACGAGACTGGGAGCGAGATGGGGCACAATGAGAACTCGGACGGGGCAAGGAATGGCCCATGCGATAGCCATATAATATTCTTTGTCTGTGAGCCAGCAAGATCCATCGAGGTGGGATGAGGGAAACAAACATTGAGATGAGACTCTTAAGATTTCAAGATGAGGAGTGAGATTGTGAGATGAACTGACCCGGTATATCGCCGTTTCGACGACACTGGAGTCCTGGACAGTTTGGAGAAGCAGCGACGGCACTGAAGGGATGAACGGTGCTCCACCACACCTTCCCCAAGACTGGAATGCGCGACCTGCCGCCTGCACGCCGCATGCCTTCCTCACCTTAAACAAGTGCCCGCCTGCCTCGATCCTTCCTGCAGACCACGATACGTACTTGAGGTAAAGGTACACTTGTACATGTACGTATCTTCGTACTCACCTCCGAATACCTTTACCTTGGGTACAGAAAGCACACAGAATCTAGCTTCTTCTCTTCCCTTCCTCTATCCATGCTCTTTCACTCCCAGTTCGGCATGAGAGACTCGCCGTCTCTTACACGCACAACTCTTCAACTTTACGCGAAGTCGTCTACTCAAGCCAAGGCCGTGGCTCCCTCCTGGAGCTACCGACCTGCAGCCAAGGTCTTCTGGAACAGGGCTGTGCGGCTTGGTGTCTCTTGGCCGTACCTCACGATCCAAGTCCATCCTGACGAGCTTCCTCTTTGGGAAGGACCAAGAACTGGGGCGTTATTGCTTGATTGATGGACCTCGAAGCAGTCCGACCCTCTCACATACAGTCTTATGTACGGACACCGTTCAATGCTATTCTCTGTCTGGGCCTCCCTTCCCCGACTCTTAAGTTTCAACAGCTCGTGACAGGCGAGGCGACGAAGACGAATCCCCATTCAATCCTATTGTAGCCAATCTCGACCGAAATCCTCAGATGCAACGCCTTGGCTACCAGCCCAGCCCTCGCGGCTAAACTTCCTCGGTTCCCGGTCACCGGTCTCCAGCTTCTCTCCTGCCTCTTTGCGCTTCTTGGCCCAGCGCCTCGTGACCAGGGCTGCCCAGCATCTGCTGCCAATGCCTTCCATCATGTCGGCGCGTCTCTGCAAAGTGCAGCTCCCTTGCGGTGGATCAAGACGGATACCTATCAGTATCAGACCCTCGATCGTCTGCTGGGAGCTGACGGGAATCGTCACACTCATCGCTGATTGATTTTCGGCGCCTCCTTTGGCCTCGCAGGGGCGGGCGCCACGGGACAGGGAGGCCGCCGCTAATCATGCGAAGGAATCCTTCTAGAATGCCGCCAGGCCGCCAAACCACACCATCAACCTTTTCACCCTCGATTCCTCGAGGAACCGTCTCGTGATGCGATACGCCTATTCCCACAGCGAGAAATCCGTACAGCCAACCGTAATATTTTGAGGGGGAGCCACTCAGGGAACGAAACGGACCACACACCTCCCATCGCGTCACACACAAGACACTCAATCTCCGGCCGCAACCCTGTCACCCTGCTCCAACTGCCAGTTGGGGGCGCTTTTGATATTTTTCAAAGTTTTGATTGATTTCGCAAAACTCTGGCTATCCGATCCCTGGCCTATCTGGGGCGACACGACTCGATTGTGCCGCGCTGTGTACCCCAACCCACCGCCAAACTGTTCGAGCTACGTTATTTGGTGGTTGCCAGTTGACGGAAGGGCCTACGAATACCCACGCAATGCTTCTTCCTTGCCCGTCCGCATCCCTGGGGGTTGCATCACCATGTGCTGCAATTGGTCTACAATACACACAACATTCCCCTCTCTGGCGGGAAATATGGGGAATAAAGTCTCGGCAAAGATAACAGTCCTTCATGGGCGATCCTACATGGTACATGATGTGCGTGTGTCATACGCATCTGCTAACAAAACAGAGACAGAGACAGTGATAGCATCGCTGGCGAACCTGGCGCTCCTCCTCGCCCACCATCAACTATCCCTTGTCACGATATCTGCCACTGATACCAGAGTCGGCCCTGCCGTCATTCGCTCTGTCGCTCGGTGCTGTCTTGATAACCTCGTTGGTCGAAAGTTCGCAACGTGCCCACTTCGTCGCCACGATTCAGGACATCTCAACCAGAATCGTCTCAATTTGGTCGAAACGGCCCATCTTTTCTCTCCCGTCGTGTCATCCGAGCACGCCAACCCACTCGCGACTGCACCTAATGTCATTTGGCGTTCCGTGGCTTCGGATATCTGCCTCAATATGTCATTGAAGGTTGACCCAAAATGACAATTGTCTTGGCTGGCAATTGTGCCCTCTTGTGGCCTTATCTAGCGTATGTGATCCGTGAAGCGCTCGGGGCGCATCCGGGGAGGGGTGGCGACGCTTATCAGCACCATTTCTCCCCCGTGGCTACGAGACTGCGGCGGTTTGTTTGGACAATCAGTGGCATCCACGGTGTCACGGTTAGGAACGGGCTATCCGTCGGTCATATTCATTGAATGAGGCGTTTTCGATTGACGCGAGCCAAGACCTACTAATATGCGCCAGATGCCAGATACCTGAGCTGGTTGAAATCTCGACCGTTGCGCATACGAACTTTCGAGTTCTCTCTCACCATCACGACCGCTGACGCCAAGAGTGTCAATCCACTTAGGCTAGCGACGCTTCGGGAAGGCACACTCGCTTGCTTCCAACTCAAAATCACACAGCCATCACCCAAGAAAAAGAATGGTTCGCCAAAAGGTCTAAAAAGAACTCTGCGAAATTAGTCGTTTTTGGAGCGCATCCGTGATGAGAACCCTGAGAGACTGCGAGTCCTGTTCGATATGGCAAGCTTCCAAGACATGTCGTTGGGGATTCCCCAAAATCCAAGAGTTTGGCATCTCATGGCATTTCATGGCATCTCAGGGCCCAAAGCTTGACCCAGAGCAAAGACTTCCGATCGTCTTGGTGTGCAGGCTCGATTGGATGCGCCGAGCAAAGCCATGGAATCACGGCACCTTGGCCATACCATATTGACGGGTACTTGCCCAGTCGGCTTGCGATTGGCGACCCAAGCGAGCTTCCAACAGCGTCCATCCTCTTGGCTAACAAGTTGCAGCTAATTACGGATACCCAAGGCGCCAAAGGATCTTCTGTAGCCTGCCATTAGGTAGGTATTGCTCGAGTTCGAGTTCGCCTAGAGACTGAGATGCGGGGAGTTATCGTTACTAATAGCGTGTCAAGGAACACACCACCGCGCAAGGAGAGAAAAAGCACGCCACGATTGACAACGCTCCTTTTGCTCCGGGGAAGTGGAATCGCACACGAGATGAGAACTGAATCGCTGGTCCGCATGCCAAGTAACATCAGTTTCTTTTACGTACTTGACACCAAATCCCCAGATTTTCCCCTCGCCATCCACAAAACACAACTCTGTTCAGACGGCAACGGGTCGCTGGGTGGTCTGCGCAACAAAAACGTGTTCCAGTGTCCACTGTGGCAAGGAATCAGCTTGGCGATGGAGCATTGGAGCTCTGCGACTGCGCCTGTTCGGTGGAACCTTTTGAGCTTACTGCGACGTTGTCTCACTGAGCTTACGGAACCATACCAGACCTTTGGCTTTGCGCCTCAGTCGCAAATGTGGGCAGTAAAGGCGACGCTGTAAGCAAACATCCCGCCAACTTCCGTCTTGCATCAATCAACATGCCTCGGCCGACCTCTAGGCCAGGCTATAAATACAGCACGAGTCGAGTGTTGCTGAACCCGTGTCTTGAGTCTGATCCACTTCCTCCGAGGGCTAAGCACGCCACATGCATCTTGTGTCTTTCAATTCGATATCATCCGCGACCAAACAAATCTGAGGCCTCTAGATTTGATTTTGTTCAAACCGATCATCATTGGACAGACTGCACCACAAGTGTGCATTGAACCGAGGGCAGCCTTTTAGACCATTGAGGCGCCCAGCCGTTGGACCTTCCGCATGTGTGGCTTGGCGGCAATGGCTGGCGACCCCCTGAGCTTAATTGGGATGTTGAACGGGTAGTTCGGATGCGGCCTACATATGGTTTGCGCCTCGTTCAATCTGAGTACGACCGTACTAACGAAGATGTCCCTGGAAAGGAGGCTGTATCGGGAAGGCGGGCTTGATCTTTATGGCAAGGTATCTTGAGCAAGACGGGGATGCCAAGAGAATATGTGATGAGATCTAGGCGTACCTAAACGTTGAAAACGGTGCTGAACAACTTTATCTCTTTCAAGAGAGACAAATTTTGATTGGCAAAAGCCATACAGACCGAAATGCCAGATATAATGGTAATATGATATGAAGTAATTGGTTAGTGAAAACCAAGTACCGGCATAAATTGTCATTAAGACTTCCTATGCTTTCATTCTCTTACATGTCTCAGTACTCAAGCGCTCCCTCAAGTACCTCATCATGAAGGGGATATTAGATGCACAATACGAACGCCCTAACGAGGGTATCGGACGGCAGGATAGAATCATGTACCAAGATACTGATCGGGTTAACTACTACTATGTTAGGTCGTTACCAGACCTTGGCTGCTACAAAGACGGGTGAGTCTGATGCTCGTGCTACGCTCATCAAAGCCCTCAATACGACCAAGGAACTTGTGTGCCGAATTTTCAGCGTCAAATGAGTGATTTGTGATTACCATTTCTTCTGGCTTTTGTGGATGGCTTGGTCAGTTCGTAGAGATCGTGTCCCGGCCTTCTTCAGAATTGAGAATGAGGCCTGGACCCTTGGACTGAGATGCCTTTGAAGTTCACTTCTTTTGTTTCTTGATGTCCCTGGTATGCGCTTGCGCGTTAGAAATCTTGATATTTATCGTTTAGCCTTTGACATGTTAAGGAAGCAGGATTTTCATGAGTCACAGATACATCGACCGCATGGCAGGAATGCGCGTCTACGCAATTTGGGCAGCTACAGTCCCATCTGTGCTCCTGATCTTGACGGGCAAGACCGGTCATCAAAGCGGTCAGGTGTTTGACCGATATGACCTTAAGAAGCAAACGTTGGTGCTGGAAGCACGCAGACGTATGCCAATGTGAGGAAGGTGGCGCGATAGCGAGAGCTTCTCATTTGAGCACTTCAGGGTATCCCATTTTCAATTTGATATCAGCAAGAAGGAATATCTAGAAGAAAAGATCCTCGCATCGTATCTCGTACTGTCTCAAGAATACGATCGGACAGCCTGCGAGACTTCATAGCCGACGAATCATCACCAGCATCTCAACAACAATCACATGGGCAGTATGGTCGAGGGGTTAATCGAGCTGCAAAAGCCCCGGCTAGACAGTGAAGTATCTTGTCTATCTTCGATTCCTCGGTCGGTCGGACCACTGTTGTCTTTTTGATTTATTGGTCTTCATGTCTCCTTTGACTCTAGGCACCACACAACGGTTGTAATATGCAGAGGGATATCCAACGCAGCCTTAATGCCCGGCCATTCCAAACCGAATCCGAGATACCATCCTTCTCCACCTCCCACCGCGTGCCGACTGTCCCCCAAGGGATGCAACAGATGTTTTGCGGTTCTCTGTGCCACGATCTTCCCCTGTGATGCGTACGTCCCATCACTCTTGGTCTTCACTGTATTCTATTTGTTGTTGACGTGTAATTTGTCCTCGTAGGAGTGTAGAGGTTGGTGTGTTCTCAGTTCTCACACCACACCCAACCTCTGTTATGGGTTCTTTGTAGCTCGTCAGGACTCAAGACTTATCGCCAGCGTCGGGTTGTTTCTTTGGCCATGGCCACCATCCTTCCAGCGGCATATTGTCGTAAATCGCATTGTAATTCTTTCTGGGATCCAGACAGTCAAAGTTGTAGATGTACTGGCTTGGCTGGACATTTGTCCACGCAACCGCGGCGTAGGCTTGCTCAGTGCGAAGTTTGGCGACGTCAAACTGCGAGAGGACCCATATATCCCGGGCGCAGACTGTCAACTTGGCCGTCCAGTTCTGATCCGGGCTGAGGTCGGAGAGATAATAGTTGCGTGTGCAGTTCCAGCCAGCTCCAACCATGGCGGGCTCCTTAGCTTGGTGTTCGATGTAGCCGGCTTCTCGGTGGATGTTGGCGACTGTCCAGTGGAAGCCCTCTCTCATGAGGCGCGGAAGATCCTTGGACTTTACTCGGAGCCTGGCTTCCCAGCTGATTCCTTTCCTGCTGACATTGGCACCTGCTCCAATGGGAACAGGGGAGTAGACAATGACCAGGTTCTTCGGCACGCTTTCCCACTCTTTTGCGTCGAAGTTCTGGACTTGTCTGTCTTGCTGAACCGCATCGTAAGAAGGAGGCTCATGGGTGACGTGACTGACATCTGCGGAAGTACAAGGATGAGACATGCTGCTAGGCTCTTTCTTCCAATCTTGACTCGAAGGTTGTGCTTCGATGTTGTTGTGATTGATGCAGGGCCGAGTTGGGTTGCTGCCGTGAATGTTGCCGTGTGTTGTTTTGGATGGATGAAGAGCTAATGGGTGTAAGTGAAAGTCAGAAGTGGCTGGCCACTTCCATTTTATGGAGTCACTGGGAAGAGAGAAGTGGGACAGGGCAGACCCAACGGAGAAAGCATGCACGGTGCCACAGGGCTGTGAGGTCTATTACCTTGGTAGAGCGGAAGGTGAGCTTGGGCTGCTCGGCACGCAGCACCTTTGCGGTGCTGAGATATCTCCAAAGAGCCGCAGAAGGTGCCGGCGCGATTGTGTCGTTGACTTTCCTCAGATGAGCCGGATGCCATGGGAGCACCTGTTGAGAAGAAGGCAATTGCTCAGGTCACAAAGAGACTATATAGACACCATATCCCACTCTCCCGTTCCTCCTCTTCTTCTTCTTCTTCTTCTTTTTCTCCTTTTCAAGCATTCTCATCACTCACACTCGCTGCTTTTTTGGTTATTCCAATCAAAATCATCAATAACCATTCACTTTCGCTCCCAAAATTCGTTCCCCAAGTATTTACTATCACCATCTACGACATCTACCACAATCTCCTATCATTTATCATGGAGTAAGCCATATTGCCCTAGCCGTCTTTCCCCACTGTCTGCTGAGTATTTCGCTTGGGATTAACGCTTGTTCTTAGACGACTCTTCAATCTGATTCGCCTCAATATAAATATAGAGAAAAGAACTCCTCAGGCCGAAGCCGGAGCCCTCCCAGGGTTCATCGTGACCGAAGAAGGAAGGAACCCGGCCTCCATCCAGCCGGGCCAGTCCCCCTCGTCGGCCCAACAGTACGTGCTGCGTAGTGCCTTACCTACCGACTTCCAGCTGCACACTAACACTGACTTAGGCACGGATCGAGTGCAATGGGCGGCGCGGCGACGGGGGGGAGCCGAACTGGCCTGGGGGGGGGGCTGGGGGAATTTCTGGTCGGGGCGGCCCAACAGGTCTAGGAGGGCCTGAAGCTGCGGGCCGAGGTGCCCGTGGGGGGCTTCAATATCAATATCAATCTTGGAACCAGCGTTTTGGGGGCCTTTATTCTTATTCTTCTTCTTTTCACGGCCCGAGCATACTTACTTAACATGTCAAGAGCATAGATATACTTAGCTCAACCCATCACTCGTTTTTTGGCTTTCGCGGGTTTCTCTGATTACCTTATTTCTAGCTTCTAGCTTGGAGTCAATACAGTGGAGGTGATGTAGTTAATTGCAATAATAAGGGAGTCTGCTTCATTGAATGGGGTATTTATGATTCAAAGATCTACTCAGTGATGGGAGTAACACCCTTCTTGAGGATAATATTGCCGTACTTCCTCGTCTCCCCCGTCGCCACAATCGCGAAGGCCTTCTTGGACCGCTCGTAAAACGCAAACCTCTCCAGCTTCTCAATCTCACCGTCATACTTGAGCGAAGACCTGAAATCAGACTCGACGCTCGCGTCAAAGGTGTCGCCCTTGACGACCTCCATCATGATGACGGGCACGACGCCGTAGTTGTCCAGCTCGAGGAGAGGGGAGATGCCGGCCAGCAGGCGTGAGACGGTGATGCCTTATTCCTCGTCAGAATCTCTCGTGTTGCCTCGCAAAAAAGGGGTGCAAAAGTTGAAGTAGTGATAAACTTACCGTCGGCCCTGAGGACGGGGATGTGAGGCGGACAGATAGAGTGAGAGGGGAAGTGGGCGTCTGCAAGGACGATTTCGTCGCCGTGGCCCATTTCGGCCAGGACCTTGAGGAGGTCAGGCGAGATGACGGGGGAGATTCCCTTGAGAGGCATTTTCGACTGATTTGGGGATTTGAGAGTGATGAACGATGAAGCAAGGTTGAAAACTGTGAAGAGTTTGGTCTTGAGTCTGTGTGTGAGGTGTCTTGATGTCGTTGGCGGTGAGGTGAAGGTCCCCACGCCCGTTTCGGAAAGGTGGGGCCGGCGAAGCCCCTTACACGTACTGAAATACAATGAAGCAAACTTGATGAGATGGACCCTCTCATCGCCAAGCAGTCACTTTCATCGAGAAATCTTTGACTAAAGGGGTTCAATTTGCGTGGGAAGAAACTCAAATGAATTTGACGATTTGATATGATTGACATTGATTTGTCCCATTCTATTGACCTTGATGTCTATTATATTTACCCAATAATAATGAATCCATCCCGAATGAGATCTACTCCGGCCCTAAGATGAGAGAGAAATATTTGATGCATTGGCTTAGATGCATACGATTGACAAAATACACATGAAGACCACCCATTGCCGATCCCGAGATCTACCCGCGAGAGTGGTGCAATCTAAGATGCTGCAGCTGCGTACGAGGTATCTAGTGTTACGTGATATAAGAGAGAGAGAGAGAGAGAGATGAAAGTTCGGAACCCAAAGAGTGAGCGAGTGAGTTTACTCGGCCTTCTTGGAGGTCTTGGTTCGGAGCTTCATGAGGAGGTATACCAGGGCATACGAGCTGATGGCGAAGATGACGACAATGGCAGCATCGCGCCAGCCATAGTAGTACTCCATCAGGTTGATCGTCCTCAAATAATCGCTGCCGTCGGTGTACTGGCAGACCCTGCAGCCGGACGTGGCCTCCGGGTTGATGAGGTTGCTGCTGGAGCCCATGCCTTGCATGTAATCCGCCAGGTATTCCGCGCACGTCGTGCCGTTGACCGGGTCAAAGAGGGCAAACTCTTTGCTCTTGCACTCGACCTTTGTGCCCCAGATGTCGAAGACGAGCATGCTTCCCATGAGGTAGTTGAACGGGTTGAGCCAGTACATCCAGTACTTCCAGAAGGTCTGGAGCTGGGAGTACGGGACGAGGACACCGCAGAAGGAGACGAGGATACCGATGATGAGTGGGTTGACGAGGGAGGCGAAGACGGCGTTGGGGGCGTAGGCGGCGATGAACTGGCCGATTCCGGTGTAGACGAACTCGTACATGAGCATGACGAAGAAGGTTGATCCGGCGCGGGAGGAGTCGCCGGGGAAGCCGACGGTGTAGTACCAGCAGACGAAGTAGAGAACAGCGCAGATGATGAGGTAGGGCACCTCGGAGACGATGGAGCCGGTAACGAAGGCGATCCAGGAGTACATCTTAGACTTCTTCTCGCGGGTCTCGAAGATGTCGCGGCGGTCGATGAAGAGGGGCTGGACCTGGGCGAGCACGCCGGGGGCGACGAAGATGAAGTTGAAGATTGTGAAGAGGCGCATCTGGATGTCGCCGACCGAGTCGCCAATCATCCAGAAGGAGAAGCCGTTGAAGAGGGCGGAGAAGATGTGCAGCGCGAACTTGTTGTTGATGTAGTCGACGTTGCGGTAGAGGGAGACGTTCATGCGGTGGGTGACGATCTTGATCTGGTCCCAGATGGAAAGGGCGAACTCGTGGCCGTCGTCGACGGTGCCAGGGGGCTTGGCGGCGGCGTCCTGGATCATGTGGTCGAGTTCCTTTGTGACGTTGTCGTGCTCGGGCGAGGCCAGCCAGACTTCGTTCCAGTCTTTGCCCTTGGAGAGGTGGCCCGAGACGACGTCAATCATGTGCTCGGCCGGGTTGGCTTCCTCGGGGCAGGGGGCGCCGTAGCGGCCAAAGTAGTCGCGGATGGTCTTTGCGTTGTCGCCGATATCGCCAAAGTAGACAGTCTTGCCGCCCTTTGCGAGCAGGAGGAGGGTGTCGAACTGGGAGAAGAGCTGGGCGGACGGCTGGTGGATGGTGACGAGAACGGCTTGGCCTACGTCGGCGAGCTTGCGGAGGAAACGGACGGTGTTGAAGGCGGACTGGCCGTCTAATCCCGAGGTGGGCTCGTCGAGGAAGATGAGGATGCTGGGCTTCGAGACGAGTTCCACGCCAATGGTGACGCGCTTTCGCTGTTCGACGGAGAGGCCGTTGCCGGTGGTTCCGATGAGGGTGTCAGCGAGGTCGTGGAGTTCCAGGAGGTTGATGATGGTGTCGACGTAGGCGAGCTTCTCGGCGCGCGGGGTGTCACGGCTTTGTCTGAGCAGGGCAGAGAATTCTAAGGCCTCGCGGACAGTGGCAAACGCCTCGTGAACGTCGAGCTGTTCGCAGTATCCGGCGGATCGCTGGAAGGACATGGGAAGTTCCCGACCGTCGACCATGATGGATCCATGAATGGTACCGTCGGTCTTGCGCTGGGCCAGAACATCAAGAAGCGTCGTTTTTCCGGCACCAGAGGAACCCATCAGGGCACCGAGCATACCGGGCTTGACCCACCCCTGGACATTGTCCAGCAGAATGCGGTCTCCAGAGGGAGTCTTGACGGTGTATGTAAGGTTCTTCCAGGTGAAGATGGAGGTGTTGCGGACGAGGTTGTCGTCGTTACTGCTGCTGTCCTGCTTCTCGTTGTCGCTCTTGCCGTTCTCGGCGGCGGTCTCCTCGGACGACTGGGCTTCCTCGTCGTCGCGGATGGCCTTGGTGACATGGGCGTTCTCGCGGGGGATGAGCAGGGATGCTCCGCCCTCGGCGGTCGAGCGCCATCTCGAGGTGGAGATGATGGTGAGGGCAACGAAGAGAACCCACCAGGCCCAGACGATGCCAAAGTTTCTCCAGACGTGGCTGTGGCTGTAGGACAGGGCAGAGAGGTACTGGTCACCAGTGAGGGTGGTTGATCCCTGGATGGCACCGGCGACACCAGCACACGATTGATGAGCTGCGTCTGTGTATCCTGGGCCGTTCGGGACCAGATTGGGTCCAACGCAGGGGATCAGTTGTCCGTAGAACTCGGTTGACATGAGAGAATCAAAAGCGTATGCTAGAGGGTTGATCCAGAAGATCCAGACAAACCACGGGTGCATCTGAGACTTTTGAATCATGTAACCACAGTACATGATCAAAGCGGTAACCATGAAACCAGAGGCCTTTGACGCACCGTCGAAAGTCTGGAAGCCGGCGCCGATGGAGCGGAACATGGCAGTCATACACTACAGGCGAGTTAGTTGGGAGTCATAAAATCCGAAGAGCAACGCTACTTACCATGGTAGTTGCCACAACGACAACCCAGAAGGTGAAGAACGCCGCAGCTGACGTCTTCAATCCGACCATGAAGTACAGTACTATAGAGAAGACCGAGATTTGGAACAGGATAACCGGAATATCAGCAGCGATCTGCGCAATGCAGAAGGCGGCAGGGTGGTAGTAGGCAAATGACTTGTGCTTGATCAAGACGGGACGACCGGTGAAGGAACTGGTGACTTCGGACATGGACAGCAGACTGTTGAAGAGAAGAGCGAAGAAGAGGGCACCGCCCTTGAGGAACAGACCGCCCGACGTGTTGGGAGCTTGGTAGAATAGGGAACCGGCGATGAGAGCTTGAGCCAAAGTGGACACCTGCGTGATGATGAAGGTTGCCTTGTCACCCCATAGAATCTGGTACTGTCTGGTGATGCAGGCCCTGACCTGGGTATAGAAACTCGTCGTGAGAGCGCTGTTGGCGGGGAGCTGCTTGTGCTTCTCGCCGGCAACACCCTGTTGAAATAGTCTCGTCCTCT